AATTACTCTAGTTTATATATCATATGAAAATTATAACTATAAAACGACAATTATGGAACTGTGAACATACAGTATATGTTTGTATATATAATTCTATAATACTTAAAGAATAGGAGTGAGTGGGGAATAGTGGAATGATAAAAAAGAGAAATGGTGATAGGGTTGAGAAAATGAAATATAATTAGGAAGAAGCTATGGGGAAGCGACAAGTACGAAAATGCTTTCCTCAAAGAGAAATGAAGAGATGAGGATAAGACACTGTTTCTCTCAGATTCTCTGTTCCCTCTTTAACCTTTTTTTTTTTAAATATCCTTCTATTGGCTATATTCTTCTTGCATACATCATCCATGATCTCATCACACGCACAAAGTGAAATTATATCAACCCTAACATTCTTTTTCTTATCCCTTAACTAACTCTAATTTTTTAGGTCATATTACTGCTCTGATTAAGGACTATATATAGATGTCTTCTACCATGAACATTTGTACAAGAACCCTGGTTTTAATTATTATTATTTTTTTAATATATTTTTAATGTATGTATATAAAATGAAACCCTAATGATTCAAAAAGTCTAACTACAGTATGAATCATGTACTTATGGTCTAAAATGTATACATAAGTTTCATATGAGAGCGGTTCTGCTGAAACCTAAGATAAGATTTAGATATTCTTTGCGAATTAGTTCCTTTCACACTTTAGAACTTTTGACTTGGGCCCAGAGTTTCTCGTCCCACGAGAGGTTCTCAGCTCAACTTGTTAAACTATCTATTTTCTTTTTTCTTTTCTAATATTGTACTTTAAATTTAGCTTCTCCTAAAATGTACACGCATATGCATCTTTTTTTATCTAGTACTGTTGTATACTTGTATGTGTGAGATGTTCTTACACTTGAGGATCTGTATGTTCACAAGAAATAAGTCAAATAACATGTGCAAATGAGTATCATCCAAAATGTGACAAGATTGAAGGAAACCCAAGACAGTCAACCCCATTTAATCGACCCAGATGTTCTTAGGGCAACTGTATTGTGACAGGACCAGAGACTCTGTTACTCCAACCATACTTTTCACTTTCTTTGTTGATTGGTTAATAGTAATACTATTGGTAAGAAAAAGTAAGCATAGAGAATTTGAATCTGTTTGCAACGTCTACAGACCTTTTTGTCTTTCATATATTTTAAAGAAGAAATAACTCCTCCCCTAAAACCCTAAAATAGCTGATTTGGAAAGAAAAAAAAAGGAATAAACAGAAATCATGGTGCTGCAGGACTATGAGTTTGAGTAAGACCCACATACAGCTCTTAAAGTGTGATGATATCATTCTTTTTGTAGAATAATATAAAAGAAAATTAACATTTATTTGCAGCTGGAAAAAAAGGAGGAAATAAGATCGAACCATAGACTCTATACATATAGAGATAATTTTGTTTTTGTTGTAGTTATAAAATTTCAAACAAAATTTCACATTAGTTTTCAAAATATAGGTAGTATAAAACCTTGTAGTATAAGAAAATGCGGATAACAGAAAATGATAGAAGAAATTTATGTGTGAATTACAGATAAGTACATTTGCCAAGAAGAAACGATGACCGTTCTTTATTATTCGGCTTCTGGCAACATATATACAATATTTTTTTTCTTAACTACCAAATTAAAATGAGAATATATTAACTAATTTGAGAATTTAAGTAAACTACTACTCCATATGTTCTATAGCTTTGTAGGGAACCTGAACAAAACAAATAATAATCCATATGTAAAAAGTAAAACCTCGATGCTACTCCATCAAGCGAGGGTTAAATCATTGGATTTTCATGTTAATGACCCGAATAAATAAACTAAACCTCGATCCATGTTCTTCCCAAAATGATAAATTTTTTAACTAAACCTCATGCTCTCACTCATCTTTTCTCGTAGCGAACTCAACTTTACTTCTGCAGTCTCATCGCTACATCAATCTTTCACGGCTAGACTGCAACTCATTGTCTTATGGATAAACTGAAATATATTGTAATTATTTTCATGGTAGAGCTAACAATTACTCGACATCTCCAATTCCGGCAGGCGTTTTACTTACTATCGATATATCCATTAAGAATCCAGATTCACGGACTCTATGTCATTTTGGTTCTCTTTATCTTATGTATAAGTTTTTCCTTATCAATGCAAACAGAACTTAACCAAAAGTTTTTCCTTACTTTACTCGGTGTCATCCTAGGATTTTCAGTAAGTAATATAACTTTTCAATGTCTAATAATAAATATATTGATGGTTAAACAGTTTTTGTTTACCTTTCTGATTCCTAAATTAGTAGAAGTGTACACTATGAAGTTTTAATTCTTTGAATCTACTCTAGCAGTTATTGTCCGCCTGGTCTTAATTAAATATATATAATGGTAACAAATAATTTGTTCAGGGATTTGATCAATTATTTATAATTAATAATTTGAATTACAAATAAACCTGTTTGTGGGTTTCCAGAACTTGCTCTAGAACTTGGATTCTTCTTTTACATGGTCAGTATCGACTTATGGTCATCTCCGTGGCTTACAATACGTTCCAGTTGCGAAACATTAATGCGGCAGCAATCCTCGGAGGACCGAGGTAGTCGGACTGACAACAAAAAATGACAGATCGAGAAAATAATATTGGAAATTAGAGTTTTATCATATGGGAAATATTAACAAATTTTTTGTGGTATTTGAAGGAATTTCTCAATTTGGTTGTGTTTTGTTTTAAGTTGAACGTAAAATTATATTCAAAAAGAGTAAGAGTAGTTAGATTCGTATAAACCGGATCATTAACTTGAATATTACCTTAAGTGCTAGCAATGCTTAATATTTCAACAATACTTGTAGATCAAAATGCGCAATAGGTAGCCAGATCTTAAGTTAAATAGTTTAACTTCCGTTGTGCTTGCCATGAGTCCAAGACTGCCTAAAACTGACGTTTACCAGTTGCTAGGTTTATCCATGATCGATTAATTTTAGTCAATACTTTAATTTTATTTGTTTTTTTATGAACTAAAATTTCTGGACCAAGACTACGTTCCAGAGACATAAGCCTAGAGCATATATGTAAAGATGGTTCCTTCCCAATGCATTCCATCATTTGATTTGTAGACTTTGTCCTTAGTGATGTTCCTGTCGAATTACCGGTGCTTAGTGTTAATCAAATGGCAATTTACACGGGTTAGAACTCGGTAAACAAAGAATATATAAAAATACAAATCGTGTGTTTTATTGTACTTTTTTAATCATCACGGTCCAAAGTCTAATATTCTTTCTTTCTTTATTTTCTCTGCCAACTGTTTTGGTTTTAGCTTTAAAAAAAAAAGAGTAAGATAAATTACATTGTTGACAAAAAAAAAAACATTTAAAGATATATTTACCAGATCCAAATGAAGTAAAGCTATTTTGCAGGACAGATGGCTCCAAAATAGTATGGAGCTTCAACATTGACCGGGAATAGTATGTTTTTCTCAACAAGAATGTATAAAAAAAATTCACCCACGAGTCGAATTTAAAAGCCGTATATACCAAAGGAACCCATTTAACTACAGCATTATTCCAAACTTGTTGAAACAAAAAGATCAATGCAATTGGAGAAGAAAAATCACCACGTTGCTCTCTGCGCCTCTATAAATAAAGGCTTCAAGTAATGTTCTAATCATCATCTCATCAACAACCCTTTTGGTGTACTTCTCTATATCCATACATATATATCTATATCATATAGTTCTCCTCCATATACGCATATGCGGCAGAAAAAAGTATTGAGTAATAACTACAAGAATCATGAACTTTACTCTCTTTTTCAATCCAGTTCTTGATGTCCATAAGAGATTCGTTTCAGTTTCTTACATATATTTTTTTAACTCTAAATCCATAATCGGTTTGAGAAAGCATTATTATAGTGTTGACAGAAGATAGAGAGCACAGAAGATGAGTTACAGTTTGGAAAAAAATTCTTGTATCTTATTCATTTGTGCTCTCTAGCCTTCTGTCATCACTTTTGTTTGCTTGCTCTTTCTCTTTTCATTTTGTTTTCAAAAAAAAAATCTACAAAACCCATATAAAATCTTGCATCCATCAAATTACAACTAGTAAAGCTCATTGTCTTAAAAAGCTTTTATATTTAAACTCAAGTTCCACGTTTTGGTGATACAATTCACGTTTTATCCCAAATAAAGTTACAAATACTGAGTGAAGTAGTTATGAATCCTTAAGGACAAGAAACCAGTTTAGTTTTATATCCTAATCATCACATCTTGTATATATCTCGAGTAAGTCGTGAGATATTCATACATACCAATCATGACATGATCATTTGTTCTGGATCGGTCAGAAGATTTTCAGAACAATATGGGTAATAAAAAATATTTTTTATTTATTTTTTAATCGAAAATAATATTGTAAACTAAGGTTTTTGAACTTTAAATTTTCTGTTATTTTTATTTTATTGAAGCCAGTTACTATTTTTATTACAAAAGTCTATCACATAATCATATATGATTAGGTTATCTCTCTATTTTTGTGACATTTGTTATTTCGTTAATTTATGGGCTTAATTTTTCTTCCTATTTTTTTTTATAATTACTTATTTTAATTATACTGATATTCTTTAATACATTATGTGGAGTTCATTATGGACACAAACATTTGTCTTATGTATGTATATTTAAAGGGTCGGCCGTACTTCCACAATAGCTAAATTTTCTTTTCCAAATTAACTAACTTGGTTCAGGTCCTTCACGTTGTAGTCTCCTTGAGTAAGAGAAAAGACCAAGAGTAGATAAGTCTTTTCCTTGTCGGTGTGAAACTAATGTCCTATAACCAACAACATCGTGTTATTTTTTTTTAACTTTCAATTGTCTAATTTAGTAATATGGTGAAATCAGTCACAAGTGCACTTTATCAATCGGCTGCTAGATCTTACGCTTAAGATTTGACTCATCGGTTTGAACAAAAAAAAAAAAGATTTGACTCATCTTAACTTAAGATTTTTTGTTGATCTTGAATTGAGTCAGGAGCAAAACCACCCGCCTCCGAGTGACGAGACACCGCCTCATCATTCTCACCGGACGCCGAGATGATTCCCCTCCTTCGAAACCACCACGATCACGCCGGTCAGAGGAGGGAACGCCACCACCAGGGGTGAGGAACTCGTCCCCCTTAGAAGGCGAACCACCACGCGCCGGAGTCCTCAAACCATCATCGTGATGAGAAGCACTCTCATCGTGATGGGAAGACTCGTCATGGTCCGAGGAAGGAGGAGAGTCAAGCTCGATCACTTGCTCCGGAACGCCCTCAGGAACAGAAGTCGAGGCTTTCCTCGTCGAAGCCCTGCAAAGAACGTCTACGATTAACATCGGAATTCCTATCTCCTGAAGATCCATCAATAGGCGACTTACCTCGTACGCGACGCAATGGAAGAGCTCCGAAGGGGAGAAGGAGGAGAATCCCTCAGTCTGGGGGACTCGACCCGTTTCTTTTTGGGCGCCGGCTCGGAAGCAACGACAACGTCGTCAATAGGCACGGCCGCTCTCTTCCTAAGACCCATCGATTTCTTCTTAGAACGGGATGGCTTCGCTGCTACAAAACAAAGCGAAACGTTAAGATACCCGAAGATAGAACCAAGCAAAAAAAAGAGAAAGAAGCAAACGCTTACTAGATATCGGAGTCGCAGGGATGGCAGATTTGTTTTTCCCCTCCCTCTTATCTTTCCTCTCTTGCTTTTTCTTCTCAAGCGCCGCCACTACCTCAGGCCACAATCGATGGCTGAGCTCCTTCAGCAGCCTAAACTTCTCCTTGAGTTCGCCGTTCGGTCTCGCTCGCCTGGACGGTCCTGCGAAGACAACAAACAACATCAGAAAACGCAAACTCAGCGAGCATGGATAGCAATTCTAATCAAGAATTCTACCCGGTGATTTAACCCATTCTGTCCTAATCTGATCAGCTTTGATCTTCCCGACTGAGGCTCGGTTTATCTTCACAAAGAAGAAATATTTCTTCCACCAATGAATCTTGTTTCGGTAATCCCCGAAAACAATATCATACTTCATCGTGGTATGAAACCGCTTGAAGTTTCCCTCTCGCGACGAAGCCCGGAGATCAGTAACGTGCTCAAATAAGAGACGGTCGAATACAACTCCGGCGGCTCTAGCCAGGGCCTCGGTAAAAACGATGTGGCGAACCACGCCGTGGGTCAGTTGACTCGTAGGGACGCCACGATCAGCCGCAAATTGCAAAAACAGAGGAGACAGAGGGAAGTTCATCCCAAATTCGGTGAACATACACTCATAAACGCACATCCACCCAGCCGGAGCGTCGTAGGGCCTTTCAAGATGGCCAGGGATACGAAACTCCACGGAGTCAGGAAACTCGGCCTCCGCTATGAGGTCTCGAAGGATCTCCTCCGTCATCCACGACCTCCCATCGTGGATTAGGCCCGTAGGCGGCGTACGACTCGGCATCTTGATTACATCCGGGATGCCCTCGAGTCTCGCTTGGCCTGACGGCCCCGCTTCTTCGTCTTCATCAGAGTCGGTTTCGTCACCGGAGTCATGCTCTTCCCCCTCCCTCTGTCACTCTCTCAGCCTCTTCCCGACGCTCGGCTTCGGCGGCGACTCTCGCCGCTTCCTCCATCTCAGCCTTTCGACCACCTTCTCGGCCTCGCAGCAGCCGTCGCTTCATCCCACCGCCGTCTTCCTGCGACGCTCCGCCGCATCCGCTTGGATGGCTCCACCAAGAAGCCTCTCCGGACGAGCGGAGGATCGCGTCCGACGCGCAATCGAAGCAATCGTCTCATCGCCGTCATCCGTGGCGATGCCCTTTCCCTTTCTGTCTTTTGGATTCATCTCAATTGAATGAAGGATCGGAAAAACTCGACGACCGAGACGAAATATTTGACGAATCGAAAACCCTAAAACCCGAATCGGCGGATGAGAAGACGAAATCGGAGCACAACCTAACTAGATCCAAGCAATTCGTGATTCCCTAGTCCTAAATCCCGGAGAATCGATTCGAGAAATCAATCGAGGCAAGATTTGAAGTCGGATTGCGGAAGTTACCTTTGATTCGTCGGGACGGTTGAGTGAGAAGAAGAAAAGAAGCAAAAATGAATAAAGGAAATTCGAACGGTCTCTTAATAGAGATCGCGCGACTTCCAAGGGACACAACTGCCCTTATGAATTTTTTATTCATTTCTTTCCCGCTCAATGGAAAAGCATTAATGGGCTTGGGCCTCCGCGCGATTTAATCGACTATCGGACTCAGCCCACGCAATTGCAAACAGTCCCTGGGCAGTGACGTGGCAAAATCGCCCAGTCACAGCTGAAAACCGAACCCGTCATAACACTCGAACCAAGAAAGCATTTTTGGTCGCGGCAAAAATCATTCGAAGCAATTACTCATGAATTAGATGACGTCAACGTACTCTTTTTCCTTTTTATGGTTTTTGTCCCAATTGGGTTTTTCCGTACCAAGGTTTTAATGAGGCGGCACGAATCTACATTCAGCATGCACCTAGGCACTAAGATCCGATTGAAGTGATGTATTTTACTAATGATTCTCAAGCTCGTCCTCTATTCATGAAGCTCGCCGAGATCAAACTACATTTGACCTGCCGAGCTGGCGGGGGGACTTATTGTTAGAGGAGAAATTAGCACATTTCCCTGAGCCCGTCATCATTAGTAAAGTACAAAGCCCAATCCGATTTTAGGCCTAACATCTTCAAGAAAAAGGCAAGACTTGAAGAGAAAGGCACAATCCATGGAGAAATGTAAATAAATCTTCATGCCGACTTAAAGAATGGAGAAAGATCCAAAAACAAGAGGGAATTTTCCATATCGCAAAAGAGGAAGTTTTCCATCTCGCCTGAAGGAGAATATTCATCATTCGGCCGACTTATCAACCTATATATTGAAGACCCCCCATTGGGGAGAGGGATCCGAAATCATCTAGAATCACTAGGCTTCACATTAGCTTTTACTCTATCCTCTTGTTCACCATCATAATCTCGCTAGGCTTGTTAGCGAGATTGCTCTCTTGTAATCTTCTTGATAATCTAAGAGTCGAATTAAGCGTTCCAGTTTCCTAAACTCACATCTTAGATAGCCCGTCTTAACGAGTGCTATCTCGATTCAACAATAGCCAATGGGTCTATTGGATATTAATAATTGTTATGTATATTTTCATTATTCGTAAACCACCCTTTATACTAGTACTCTTCGTAGTTGTGCTATCAATAACTTTGTGCAGAGGATAAATAAATCTGAGAAAACAGTGTCTTCATTTCGTAAACCTAATTTGGGGGTATACATGGCCTGTATTAGATTACTCATTTATTAACACCACCTGATAAGTTATTGATTATAGGCCAAACTATTAAAGAATCTATGATGGGCCAACAATCGGTGAATCTTTGCTCAAGTATACATATTGATTATGGGCCACACTCATCATCCACCATCTACATATTAAGAGAAGCACTTGCATCCCAGTTTCTCAACTTTTCTACATCCTAATGCAAATCAACATCCATAAAATTTGACAGAAAGTAACAGTATCATACTTACATAACATTAGGTGATATTATACATTTTCTGATACATCCGTTAGTAAAACTTGTACATCCTCCTTTAGTATGCTTTTTGTTTCTTGGTTGCCTTGTAGCGGTGTCATTTCAATTACTCTGTCCCTAGCCTTCGCAGCCTAAAACCCAAATCAAAACACAAGATTTTAAAAAATCTAAGCAATAACAAGAAAAGAAATATCAGAAAAAGGAAGGTACATATACCTCTTTTTCCCAATTGGTGAAGAAAGTGACAAGACCAAGAACAATCGTTTGGAGAGTAGAGCCTATCAATATACCGATCCAAAGTCCTCTCCCTCTCATTTTCACAACAAAACACAAGATCGATCGGGATCCCGGCGAGATAATAAGATCCTATGTTTGCATAAGCTCCAATATGTTGCCACCCTGTTCCTCTCGCAATCCCTATTCGAATAGGCAACAAAAGTTAGGGTTTCTAAGAACAAATAAATCTAGCTTTCTTAAGCGTCAAGTAACAACTTTAATCATGTTACTCAATCAGAAATGTTTTAGTCTGTATATTCTAATGTAAACTGATTACCCGAGAGCACAGCGAGAATGCTGTCTTCAGCAATGGACAAGCAGAGAATGGGTGTGATTTGAGTTACATAGTTAGCCACTTCACTCTCGTTGCTGAATATATAAGCCCAATTTCTCCGGTAGCTATATAGAGTAATGCTCACTAATGCTGCATCAATAGCACCGAGGAAAAGCGCAGAATTAGCCGCGGCTCGAGCCGCCTTTGGATTCCCAGCTCCTAACTCGTTTGAGACATGTGTGCTATTATATAACACAAAACAAAGGGTCACCGAATTTTCCAAGGAAAAAAATTATATTTTTGTATGAAAAAATGAGTTCTATAAAAGAAACCTCGCGGCTGCTCCAATTCCATACACAAGCACATAATGCAGAGACAACATTGTTAGACTGTTCGAAGAATAAAGAAAAGATCAAAGGCTTGTTTGGAAAGAAAAAAAATGGGTTTAATGTTTGAAAGAATTTGTCGAAAGTGACATATACCAAATAGATAACACCGATGTTTCAAGCTTTGAGTTTGGTAAGAGTCCAGACATTAGTATAAGAAGCTCAAACGACCACCATTCAAGGCTTTACCACAAAAGAGAGAGTAATAAATAAACATTTAAGATGAAAATTGTTTTGGATGAAGTTGGAGAGAGCTTTGTTACCAAGTCATGAGTGCAGTGGGAACCGCTAGGGCGATGAACTGCTTCATGGTCAAGAAGATTTCTTGGGCCCGAAGATTCGCGGTTTCTTGATACAGAGCAGAGTCTCTCATGAAACCCCAAAGCAGAACTACGTTAAGCCAATACGAAAAACCAATGGACAAAGCGGCGCCAACGATTCCAAATCTTAGTTTATAGACAAGAAGCCAAGAAAAGGGAATGTGAAAACAGAGAGCTCCAAGAGAGCTCAAGAAGAGAGGAAGAACCAGTCCTTGTGATTGGAAGTAGCGAGCCATAGATTGAAGAAGAGCGTATCCGAATAAAGCCGGGATGAGCCAGATTGAGTATCTACAAGCTAACTGAGAGATGAGTGGATCTTGATGGAAAAGCTCCAAGAGTTTGTCCATGAAAACCCACAAAAGTGAGATTGGAAAACAGAACAAGAGAAGACAGAGCATTGAGCTATATGTGTATGCACCGATTTGCCTATATTGCTCTGCTCCAAAAGCTTGACCACACAATGTCTCTAATGCACCTGCCAATCCAAACTAAAGATCAAAGTCAGAGAGAGAGAGAGAGAGAGAGAGAGAGAGAGAGAGAGAGAGAGAGAGAGAGAGAGAGAGAGAGAGAGAGAGAGACATAAGGAGGAGGAGGAGGAGGTCTTACAAGGAGGCTGAAGCCAGTGACATTGGTAAGAGAAGTGGCGATGGCAACGGCGGAGAGAGAGAGCTCGTCCAAGTGACCGGCCATAACAATGGAGATAACTCGAAGAAGGTATTGAGAAAGAGCCACAGCCACCATTGGAGCAGCCATGGAGCTAACCTTCTTCATCATCTCTGTTGACAAAGAACTAGTCTGTTCTGCAGATTTCTCATTTCTGTAGTCTTCTCCTTCTTCTTCCTCTTCTTTCGGTACCAACGAGAAACCCCTCTCCATCTTTCGATCGTTACAGAAGTAAAAAAGAAAAAGTCAATGAGTTTGGATGGGATCGAAGTTATAAGATTTTGGAGAAGTAAAAGGATAAAGTCTAAAATAAAAAAATAAAAAAAAAAAAAAATAAAAAAGGGACAGTCGTTTAAAAAAAACAAAGGACAAGTCGTTAACTTGACCAATTAAACAAAGATGCGACGTGGTCTTAAAAATAGTGTAAATCATTAAATGTGGTACGCTTGTTCGGCTGCTAGATCTTACGCTTAATCCGGTGCATACATATACTATGACAACGACTATTTTTACTGAGAAAATAGATTTGACTCATCTTAACTCAAGAGTTTTTTTGTTGATCTTGACTCGATTTTCTTTTGTAAAAGCACCAACTTGTTATTTATATCTATATATATATAAAGTACAGTTGGGGTCTCTTCTGAGACTGCCACGTAGGCAAATTTTCGCCACCTCAGCAAACAGATTTAAAGAAAATCCGATGGGCTTTATGGGCCTTTAATCTTATGCTATTAATTTGGATTGAGCAAAAAAAAATGATTTATTTTCTACTGTTTTTATTAGGTTTGTCAAAAAATTCTCATACTTTATATTTATTAATGTTTTGAAATGAAATACTTATATTTTTATTTAATTTATTATAGAATCTTATATGACACCTTATTATATTTAGTTACGTGACAGGTAGAAACGGAAGAAACAGAATGAGATAGGATGAGATTGGACGAGACGGACATGACGGGATGAAAAGGAACATAATAAGGCGGGACAAGACGTGAAGCTTATCCCTAATTATATTTAGAAACGGGACGGAAAGAAACGGAAGGAACATGATGGAACAGGACAAAACGGGAAGGAACCGAATGAGATAGAATGGGATTGCACGGGACCTGATGGACGGGTCGGGAACAAAAAAATATGATAAAAAGGAACAAAATGGAGAAATGAGAAAAGACGATTCGGAAATATTATGTAACTCTAATTATATTTACTGAGACAGGAAGAAAAAGAATGAGATAGGATGAGACTAGACGGGACATATAGGACTGAAAGGACGGGATGAAAAGGAACATAATGGGACGGGAAAAGATGAGAATTTTGCTTATCCCTAATAATATTTAGGGACGGGACGGAAAGAAACGGAAAGAAGAAAAGTCAAAACGGGATGAAACAGAATGAGATAAGATGGAATTGCACGTGACGAGATGAACGAGACGGGAAAGAACGGAGATGATAAAAAGGAACAAAATGGGTGGAATGAGAAAGGACGGTTCAAAATTTTTGCATAACCTTAATTATATTTTATTTTCAGAAATTTTACGTAACAGTAATTATATTTCATTAATATGAATAATAAACCATAGAATTAATTTAAATTTAAGAAAAAATTAATAAAATCAACATAACAATATAAGTCCCCGCGCGAAGCGCGGGTCTCCCCTAGTTAATTCATAAAGATTGCTTATACAATATTAGGATACGTCGTCGCTAATCTTTCTCTGTAGACACGACATCGCAAACATTCAAATCTCATACTAATTCCACATAGCCAATGGGTCTATCGGATATTAATAATTGTTATGTATTTTATGAAGATGCAACTGGTTTGACGCAGATCGTGAATCAGTCAGGAAGTGCATCAGGACGTATGGACGGACTTGTAGCGGAGCTAAGTGGAACTTAACGGAGCTAAAGGAATGTTGCTGAGCTGGATGCGAGCTTGTAGCGGATAAGGACGAATCCAGAAGAGGCGGTCGCTGAGCTGGATGAGGAGAGTTGGAGATATCAACACAAAAGGAATATTTCCTATTCTTAGAGAAAAATAAGGAAAGGAAATATTCCCTTGGAGATTTGGAGTAATCACCAAGACACAAACCTTGTAGGGTTTGGCGGTTTGTCTATTGAGTATAAATAGAGGACCTTGGCTGCTTGTAAGCGGCTATCACAAACTTGAGAGCTTTAGCATATTTGGGTTTAGATTTCTTGTAAGAAAGCTAGGACAATGGGGGCTAGGGTTTGAGAGGTTCAAAGATCGTGGATAGATCTGAGAACGTGAGAGTTACTAGAACAGCAACCAGATCGTGGATAATTGTGACTGTTGAGTTCGTTTAAGCATATACTTGTAAGTTATCTTAAAGAAGTTTCTAGTAATATATTTCTTTGTAGAGAAAACCCCGTCCCAGTTTGTGATCTACTACTGCATCAGTAGCCCTTGGTTTTTCATTTTATCACTAGTCGTAAACCACCCTCTATAGTTGATCTCGATTAGTACTCTTCGTAGTTGTGCTATCAATCTGAGGAAAGAGTGTCTTCCTTACGTAAACCTATTTTTGGGGTATAAATGGTTTTTATGATTAGCCATTTATTAAAGAAGTCTACGATGGGCCAACATTCGGTGAATCTTTGTTCAAGTCTACATATTGATTATGGGCCACACTCATCATCCACACATCTACATATTGATAGAAGCACTTGAATCTTAATTTCTCTAACTTTTCTACACTCTAATGCAAATCAACATCCATAAAATTTGGCAGAAAGGAACAAACTCATACTTACCTAGCATAAGGTAATATTACACATTTTCTGATACATCCGTTAGTAAAACCTGTACATCCTCTTTTAGTATGCTTTTTGTTTCTTGGTTGCCTTGTAGCGGTGTCATTTCAATTACTCTGTCCCTAGCCTTCGCTGCCTAAAAGCAAAACCAAAACACAAGATTCAAAATCTAGCAATAATTTGGTCAAAAAAAACAAAATCTAGCAATAACAAGAAAATAAATATCAGAAAAAGGAAAGTACGTATATATACCTCTTGTTCCCAATTGGTGAAGAAAGTGACAAGACCAAGAACAATCGTTTGGAGAGTAGAGCCTATCACTATACCGATCCAAAGTCCTCTCCCTCTCATTTTCACAACGAAACACAAAATCGAACCAATCGGGATCCCGGCGAGATAATAAGATCCTATGTTTGCATAAGCTCCAATATGTTGCCACCCTGTTCCTCTAGCAATCCCTGAATAGGCAAAAAAAAGTTAGGGTTTCTAAAAATAGATAAATCTAGGTTTCTTAAGCGTTAAGTAACAACTTCAATCATGTAACTCAATCAGAAATGCTTTTGTCTGTACATTCTAATGTAAACTGATTACCCGAGAGCACGGCAAGAATGCTGTCAACAGCAATGGATAAGCAGAGAATGGGTGTGATTTGAGTTACATAGTGAGCCACTTCACTCTCGTTGCTGAATATGTAAGCCCAATTTCTTCGGTAGCTATAGAGAGTAATGCTCACTACGGCTGCATCAATAGCACCGAGAAAAAGGGCAGAATTAGCCGCGGCTCGAGCCCCCTTTGGCTTTCCAGCTCCTAACTCGTTTGAGACATGTGTGCTATTATATAACACAAAACAAATAGTCACATAATTTTCCAAGAAAATGATAGATTCTTATGCAAAAATTGAGTTCTATAAAGAATACCTCGCGGCTGCTCCTATTCCATACACAAGTACATAATGCATAGACGACATTGTTAGGCTGTTCAAATAATAAAGAAAGATCAAAAACTTGCTTGGAAGAAAAAAAAGGTTTAATGTGAGAAGTTGGTGAAAGTGATATATACCAAATGGATAACACCGATGTTTCAAGCTTTGAGTTTGGTAAGAGTCCAGACATAAGTATTAGAAGCTCAAACGACCACCATTCAAGGCTTTACCACAAAAGAAAAGAAAACAAAGAGTTATAAATAAACATTGACATCAAGCGCCTTAGCCGAGTGGTAACTCCCAAGTGGGACATTTCTGGGTTCGAGTCGCCTTGGCTACCTAGCCGCACTTTAATGATGAAAATTTTGTATGATGAAGTTGTAGAGAGTTTTGTTACCAAGTCATGAGTGCAGTTGGAACCGCGAGGGCGATGAACTGCTTCATGGTCAAGAAGATTTCTTGCACCCGAAGATTCGCGGTTTCGCTATATAGAGCAGAGTCTCTCATGAAACTCCAAAGCAGAACTACGTTGAGCCAGTACGAAAAACCAATGGACAAAGCGGCGCCAACGATTCCAAATCTTAGTTTATAGACAAGAAGCCAAGAAAAGGGAATGTGAAAACAGAGAGCTCCAAGAGAGCTCAAGAAGAGAGGAAGAACCAGTCCTTGTGATTGGAAGTAGCGAGCCATAGATTGAAGAAGAGCGTATCCGAATAAAGCCGGGATGAGCCAGATTGAGTATCTACAAGCTAACTGAGAGATGAGTGGATCTTGATGGAAAAGCTCCAAGAGTTTGTCCATGAAAACCCACAAAAGTGAGATTGGAAAACAGAACAAGAGAAGACAGAGCATTGAGCTATATGTGTATGCACCGATTTGCCTATATTGCTCTGCTCCAAAAGCTTGACCACACAATGTCTCTAATGCACCTGCCAATCCAAACTAAAGATCAAAGTCAGAGAGAGAGAGAGAGAGAGAGAGAGAGAGAGAGAGAGAGAGAGACATAAGGAGGAGGAGGAGGAGGTCTTACAAGGAGGCTGAAGCCAGTGACATTGGTAAGAGAAGTGGCGATGGCAACGGCGGAGAGAGAGAGCTCATCCAAGTGACCGGCCATAACAATGGAGATAACTTGAAGAAGGTATTGAGAAAGAGCCACAGCCACCATTGGAGCAGCCATGGAGCTAACCTTCTTCATCATCTCTGTTGACAAAGAACTAGTCTGTTCTGAAGATTTCTCATTCCTGTAATCTTCTCCTTCTTCTTTCGGCACCAACGAGAAACCCTTCTCCATCTTTCGATCGTTACAGATGTAAAAGAAAAGTCAAATGAATTTGGATGGGATTGAAGTTATAAGATTTTAGACAAATAAAAGGACAAAGTCGTTTAAAAAAAAAAGAAAGGACAAGTCGTTGACTTGTCTCATAAGACAGTGTGATTGTGGGAAACCAATAAAACAAAGACGCGACGTGGTCTCAATAATAGTATATATGTGGGCAGCATATGGGAGATCCAAGAAGAAGATCATATAAAACGTTGACTAATAAAATTTAACAATTAAATCCTTAATTTGTTATATAGATGATTTAAGGTTTAATTAGGTTTGATAGACTATTTTGGGAACTATACTTTTTTTGCATAAGCTTCTACTATAGTTCTATCTCATGTGCTAATTGCTATAAATACTTTGGTGGGCTATGCTGTGCATGATGGAGTCTCATAAAACGACATTTTTAATGAATTGCACCGAGTTAATGAAGATTGTGATTTCTTGACATTTATTGGAAAAGATAAAAAAAAGTAAAGATAGATTCCTTTTTTTTGGGTTGCTTGTTTCTTGCATTTTACATATTTTAAATATCTCCAAAGATCTCAGTCAAAGTAGGCATATACCAAACGCTAGGCTCGTTTTCATGATGTTACTTAATTTTGTGGCTAATGTACCTCTGATTTGGATCTTCTAACTATTTTAGTTAATTCAGTTTTGTTTAAAATTATAAAAAAAAAAAAAAAAAAAAAAAAAAAAAAACTAGATGTATCCTGTAAAAATGTTTCTTGATCTTAAAGCAACGCGATTTATGGATCATGTATGCCTGATTGTCTTTCTTGCCAGAATTATATTTTGTCCCTTAATTGAGTAAATACATTATTTTGGTTTGCAATAATTGAAGTAGTATCATTTACTCTCTTATAGCTATAGTTTTTTTTTTGTGTGGAATGAATGTAAAATTATATTCAATCAAAAGTCGTTTGTTACATCAATTATGGCTATAATATTAACCGGGCCTTGGCTTGTTCTTTGGATTGGCTTGTGGAATTTTAAGGAACATGCATGCCGTGAATAGAGAGGGACATGTTCCCTTTTTTTCCTTTTGGATGCTTTGGCTATTTTTGTTGTTGTTGGGTAGTCGATTGTGACTCTCCCTGTAAAGTCTAATCTTTGGAATCATAATTTATACGATATTGTAATGTATAGCCACAAATAACAGGAAAATTATATGTCCGTTTCTGACAAGTTTTTGTGCTACATGTTCAAGTTTAAAAAGACCATCATAAACAATTTATTCTACTTTCTGGAAATGTTCAGAGAACTGACACCCAGCGAAAATATCTATTTTTTGTTCCATTTTAAAATAATTGTAAAATGTTATAAAATAAAAACATAAATGAGTTATGAGTGAAAATGTCAACCGTAGTTTTAACTTGTAAATGCATAGTGGAACATTTAATTTGTTGATTAATTCCCGTAGAAATTGTTAAAACTACACGTATTCTATTCTAAGAGCGAACAAGTAATATTATCGACAATTGCGGTTAGTCTAGCGTTATAGTTTCTCTTTCGGTGACCGAGTTGTGATGAACCATCATTTTCTTTAACACAAAAATAAGAGAGAACAAGTAATATTTAAATACAAATATTTGTTGTGTAAACAAAAATGCAATGAATATATAAAATAAGATCTTATCTGAAAATATGTTTTCTAATTTCATTTTGTAAATGCAAAAAACAAAAAAAAAAAAAAAACAAATCGCATTTCAAACAACCAAGACCTAAATCATTGCTACTATACCTCACAATGCCTCAGTGGTCTTCCAGTTGGTGAATTTTGTAATGAGAAACAATGTGAGAGTTTGCAGAGTGCATCCAGAGAGAATACCAATCCATAGACCTTTAACTTTGAGGTCAACTATGAAGCAGAAGACAAGTCCAATTGGAATCCCAATGATGTAAAATGCAGCAATATTCACAAAAGCACCAATCTTTTGTTTACCACTTCCTCTCACAACCCCTTCAAACACATAAACAAAAAATAATTTAGAAAAACTTTTTTTCCCGTTATTTATAAGGAGAAAGTTGATTGTTCACCGGTTAGGGAGGCTGACAAGCTGTCCATAACAATGGAAATGCAGAGAATTGGTGTGATTTCTGCGGCGTAACGAATCACTTCAGGAGCATTACTGAAAGCATAGCCCCAAACATGTCTTGAGAGGAACAGAGCAAAGCTCATGGCAGAAGATTCAACAGCTGCAATACTAATTGCGACAGTCGCAGAAGACCTAGCTGCGACTAGGTTTCCAGCTCCTAGTTCGTTTGCCACATTTGTGCTACAAAATTTAGCAAAATCCCATTAAAAGCAAAATAAAATCAAATAGTTATAAACAGACGCAAGACTTTGATTCTTTGTTTGCATTTATTTCGCCTTTACTTTACTGTTTTACATTAAAAAGAAACAACTACTAGGATTAGGATTAAAGTAAGATGTATAAGAGACATAGATCAATAACACTCTCTCAAAGAAAAAGAACAAAAATCTACTCACTGATAATTAGTTTGAATTATAATCCTATAAATCTTAAATGGTACTAAACCAGAAATTGATCCTAACATGAAATCTGGTCCAAAACGGACTAGAAGAGCTATCATATCAAGAAGACATGTTACTTGAAAACTTAAAATACCACATATGGAAATGTTTTATCAAAAAGGGGATCACACAGTAACTTTTCCTTTAAATCAAATTATATCAACAAACTGACCTTGCGGCAGCACCAATCGCAGTTGCCAGATTGTAGTGCAAAGAAGAAGTTGTATAGCTGTTCAAATGAAAAGCCAGCATTACTCATACACAACAATCAAAGGATTTAAAGAGACTATAATGTTGCTAGAAAATTTTAGGCTTTAGTATTACATCATAGAGATAACCGAAGTCTCTAGCTTTGCATTTGGCAAGACTCCGGAGATAAGAATGAGAATCTCGAAAGCCGACCATTCAAGAGTAACCATCATAGCAGAAGGAACAGCCAAGGTGAAGAAGATCCTCATGTGACCAAACGCTTCCATCGATATGAAAACCCTTTTGCCTTCGCAAACTCGAGAATGCCTCATGAAAAACCAGAGGAAAACCGCGTTAAGCCAATACGAAAGGCTTATAGACAAAGCTGCACCTTTGGTTCCAAGCCCTAAAGTGTAAACGAATAGCCAACAAGCCGGTAAATGGAAACATAGAACAGCGAAAGAAGAGAGAACCATGGGGAAAATCAAGCTTTGTGTTTGAAAATAGCGAACCAACGACTGAATAACAGAGTAACCGAATAAAGCCGGTATGAGCCACAGGCAGTAAACAGAAGCAACCTCTGATATTTCAGGGTCTTGGTGAAACAATAACAAAAGGTTCTTCATGAAGATCCATAGAAGAGAGATTGGAAAACAGATTATGAGAAGAGAAACAATGGAAGTGAAAGTATAGGAACCAAGCTTCTCGTACTGACGAGCTCCAAAGGCTTGACCACATAGTGTTTCTAATGCACCCGCTAGTCCACACTGTCAGTTAAAGAATTGAATCTAAGAAAATTAATCGGATAAAAAATAAAGTCAATTCTCTATAGTTTCAACAAGCTCAAAGATTATTCTTGGTTTGACCAAGAATCTCACGGATATCAAAAGAAGAAAAAAAAAAGGAGCAGATTAATCTTGTTATTTTGGATTTGTATATGTTCTTCTTACAAGAAGGCTGAAGCCGGTTACGTTAGCGATGGAGCTGGCAAGAGCGATTCCGGCGAGAGAGATTTCGCTTTTGTGACCAACGATCATTGTAGAAGTGGCTTGAAGTAGGGTTTGAGAGATGTTTACGATAATCATTGGAGCTGCCATGGAAGCAACCTTCTTCAGTTTCTCCCATCTGATCTTCTTGAGTTCTTGTTTTTCTTCTTGCTTGGAATTTACCAATAATGAATCTTCCATGATATGGTTGTTTATTTTTCTTTCCCTTTTGTTCCTACTGTTTAAAATTCCTAAATAGATAATGTGTCGAGTCTGTCTTGTAATGAAAACTAATCTGATTTGGTAATTTAGGTTTGACATTCTTTAAAATTTGACGTGCTATAATTAATGACCAGGTCACCAGGCCCATCCATATTAGGAGGATTAGTATTTTCTTATTTATGATCGTGCCACTTCGTAGGATGTGAGCCAGTGAGTTGTATGTGGCATGCCGCATGCGGCAGAAAACTAAAGAACCCGCGCAATGCGCGGGTTTATTAAACCAAATATTTTTAATTTAATTATTCAGAACATTAGATTCGAATATATCATTTGTTTTTTACTCGAATATATTAGATTCTGTAAGTTTTGCATTTTGTTTTTTTTCATATAGTTTTAAAATTTAGTTGTTATTTACGTGAAATCTTATATAGACTCATAGTGAATAGTTTCATATGTTTTTTGTTCTTTTATACAATAATTTATCGACTGGAGTTGAGTTCTTCTAATTTTCCTTATACTAACAATCATTATAGATTGATTATTATCCTACAGACTCATAGATAATAATAATTGCAATCCTTTTTAAAAGGAAATGAAATGAGCTAATTAGCCAGTAAGCCCATTTAAAGCTACCATGGAAACGAAGAGGTCCGATAAATAATCAAGCCCATCAAAACGAACAGCATTACACATAATTTTGATTTAGATTTTTTTTTTTTTTTTACGAAAACGACGTCGTTTTGGTGTAAGACGAAAAAAAAAATAAAGCGCAAAACGACGTCGTTTTGGTGTAAGACGAAAAAAAAAAATAAAGCGCAAAACGACGTCGTTTTGGTGTTAGGCGAAAAAAAAAAAAAAAAAAAGAGAGTGCCACGTGTCAAAGGCTGAGATTGTCCAAGCCTTATTAGTTATGTAGATTTGGTTATACAATTTTTTTTTTAAATATTAATTGTTTTTTTGTTCTTGTAGGCTTTGAAACACAAAAAGAAATCAAAACTGAAGCATCTGGATTGTCCCCTTAGTCTAGTGGTTGGCTAAAAATTTACTAATGGCTTTTACACTAAAAGATTTGGATTTCAATTCCTAGAAGATACTATTTCTGCAGGTTACTGAAGGAATGTTCGCATAAGGAAGGCAAGATTAAATAAAGAAAATTTTCAGAACGGTGCAAAATTTTAATGGTAAATTTATATAAGGATGGATCTTAGTATAATAGTTAATTGTTCGTTAATAATTATCTTTGTAATTGTTCTCTTACACGTTATAAAAAAAATTGAAGCATCTTGTGAATAATTAAAGAGTTCATCAGCAAAAAGAATTAGATTTTTTTTTTTGGGTGCAAAAGCTTGGTTTTCATTCAATTAAACTGGTTCAATACAAAGTTCAACTACATCCTGTTTTCCTTGATTTTCTTCCCTAGGAAGAAATACAAATGAAATTTTTTCACATACAAGTGATAAATCCAGGATGTCGTGGAGAATCATGTGGAGCTCTGTTGTGAAGATCTCCTTGTTGATTGCCTTGATTTGCTGCTGCGAATCTGAGGCGACTATGAAGCCGACAAGAACTGACAAATTTCCGACAAGTAATCCGGTAGATTTGACCATAAACGGACTGAAACTGTGTCGACCCCTCCACAAAATCATGAAAATGACGACGCTTGAGCGGGAGATGATGTTGAGTAGCCAAGGGGTTGAGGCCGGGAGAGTAAGACTCGAAGCAAAACACAATTGAGAGAATACCATTAAACGTGGGTGTTGTATTGCTGCAAAAGCCAAAGCGTGAGTTTGGATACATCCCACCAATGGGATTGTTTGGAGGGGACGAACAGGAAGGAAGCTTGATCTTCTGATGCTGCGCCACAGATGAAACTCTTGCTGGCGAATCTATGAAGTGGGAGCTTTTGGGCTTGTCGTCAGGGGGAGTAGGAGTACCGTAGCCTAGAATGAGGCCGGTGGTGGCAGAAGCAACAGTGGAGGAAGGCGGCAGTGGGTGGAAGAGCAACTCGATAGACCGGAGATCAGCCGGAAAGATGGAAGCATCATTGATACACCACACTCCAGTATGAAGCAAATCCGGACAAGGATAACAAAACCAATTCCACGGAGAGGAGCATCCCGAGATGGAGAAGAGAGCATTGAATAACAGAGAGATACCAGGAAGCTCGCCGGAGCAGAAGATGAAGACGGCCAGACTTCTCACATCAGTCGTGAAACGAGACAGATCTGTGCAATGGAACTCGGTGACATTGGCTAACATCAAGGAGGGGAGAGCCAGAGCAGAGATTGGTGGTGGTGGATGAGTGAAAATCTTAGAGACTGAGAAGGACAAGAGAACAAAAGGCCGGAGATCTGGTGGATCCGGCGGATCCGGTGGCTCCGGAGGGTGGGAAGGGGTCGCTTGGTGGTGAGAGAGAGACAGTGCTCGGTCTGGCAGCTCCGGCAGAGTGAAGTGGTGGTTCAGGAGCTCAGTCCTCAAAAGCACTGTGGGAACCATCGCTTAAACGGCCGGAGAAGAGAAGGAGACCGTACACAAACCCACCAGAAGCGAGGAGATCCGGAGACAGAGACCACCAACAAGCCTAAGGGAAGAGGCGAGAGGCGGAGATCCGGTGACAGGCGGCCATTTCAGTGGGCTAAGGTCTTCAGGCGGCTGCCTCGTTTTCCGGGTCAGAGAGAAAAAACTAGGGCGAACTCCTTCTCGTGTGTTTTTTTGTTCAAAAAGAATTAGATTATATTTAAAATCTTCATGTAACACAAGTTTTTTCATATTTGTGTATACTATTATTTAAAATATAATTAAAAAAAAAAACACACAAACATTAAGTAAGAATTCTAAAGTTTGGAATAACTTAATACTAAATGTTAAAAAAAAGTAACGAAATATTTTACTCAAAATAATATATAGTTATATTTTATCAAAAGGTTGTATAGAGGATTTATCCTTTGTGTTTACATGCCTTTTGTAATTAAGGATGGAACTTGGTTCCACCAAATGGTCGAAAGTATGGATCAAAGTGTTAAGAATGGCTGGGAAAAGTGTTGCATCTGAATGTGTTGAATAAAGTTGACGGGATCAGCTAATTGATCGAGAGAATCGAGCAGGTTATGATAGTAAACTTAATCACAGAGAAAGACAAAAAAAAACATGAAATTTAAGACCAAATTAATTGTAGCCAACCTCCAATAGAGCCATCAATGTTTTTGTTAAAGACATTTACGCTTCATGACTAACATTGAAAAAGAGTAGAACCCTAGTTTGAATCTAGAGATTAAAAAGAAATGTTGAAAGCGAAAGGTATTATATCTGGGTCATAAAATGCGATGGAGACGAAAGGCGAGAGGTTTTCACGATTAAATTGGGTTGTTTGGTTTTGGTATTAAATTGAGCTGGTAGTGGTTGTTTATGTATAATGATAGCCTCTCATGGAACTCATTTATTAAATCCAGCCTCTCGGAGTGACGCAGCTCATTTAAGGAAATTTACTTGAAAGCTCGCTGAAAACAAGATCAGTATATTTTGTGAAAGTGTGGCAAAACCGGTTTCCATACGAAAACAAGTTGCCATATGGCATGAGTCACTAGACATGTCTCCTATTATTTCTGGCACTGAGGCTTGACTACATGCAAAACCCACTAGCTTTAAAAACAAAGATCACTAGAAACCAAACGACAAAATCACATTGGATGTCTTTGATACAAACAAATCAGGTTAAGATTTTAAGTTTGCATATACATTTGTTAAAGCAGCCCAATTATGATTAGGAATCGGCCCGATCACTTCATTCAAATTTCCGGATTTAATTTAGACTAGTCTGGTTTGATAGTTCGGCCATACTAATTATGTTTTTAATGTGGCGGGCCTGGCCGATGTATCCAGCCAGTCATTCGTAGATAAGTTATATATTACGTCTGGACCTACATTGTGCATGAAGTAATGATTTTTTAAATTATTAAGAGTGGTATATTTGTTTTAGTAAAGCAATCGTTATAAAAATTATGTGAAACTTTTCGCACACATTTGTTTTCAACTTTATATGTTCTGATGTTCACTAATCTACATTCATTTATAATGATTAATCGGATTTATTATTAGTTTCTTTATATAGCATAATTACATAATTTATATTGTTAAAATGTACTAATTCGTTTAGCTTGGCAGATGACTTAGCACAAATAGATTTATTTAGGCTAGTCCATAATCCGTAGATAAGTATTATATTTGTTCTTTTGTTTTTTTTTTTTTTGCTTCAACAAGGTTTTTTTTTGTTGTCTCGTGCATACTTGTTTGGCTGGCTAATTTAGTTTTATTTAAAAAAAAAATCAAACTAAATTTTATTTCTCTCATTTTCGCGATAATTGTTTTTCTTCAGATGGTAGACTGATTGTGGGATCGACCAGACTATAATTCCAATTTTTTAGTTATGAAACCATTAAAATACTGCAAGCGAAATTCAGACCAAACATTAATACCGCATTGGTAGGTAGGTATATCCCGCCACGTCTAGAAATTTGAGATGAATTACTTAACATTTACACCCAAATAAATAATTTGAGTGGAATTATGAAAAATTGTATAAAATGTTAGATATTTTTTTTGTCGGCCAAGTGTTTTGATAATTTAAAGAGAGACCGTGGTAGTCAGGCAGATGAGCAGTGGTCATCGAATAAATTAATGTTTATCTAGTTGTATGTACTTAAATATGAACTTAAATATGACGTGTGTATCTCTGGGAAAAGGCACATGAGTAAGCATATGAAGTTATCCTTGTTTCATGAAAACATTAGACAACTGAGTGAAGTAATCGACTGAGGTGATGATTGGTTCTCCCGCTACCACCCGCAAACGCAGCGTTTGCGGTTCGTAGCGGTTCTTAGCGTTTTATAACAATCACGACAACCGCTTTCAACCGCTCTATACCACTCTGTACCGCTCTATATCGCTGAAAATCAAAAGCTCCTTTCCGCAAGCGTTTGCGGTTGCGGGCGGTTGCGGTTTGAAAAAAAAAAAAAAAAAACATAATATCTCCAAATTTGGAATAAGGGTATATTTTTTTGAAAAATACCATAATTATGTTTAAAAATTTCGAAAATACCCTAAATTTTTTCTGTTTTGAAAAATACACTTTTAAAATGTAAAAAGTATGTTTTGACGTGATTTAAACAAAAAAATAATAAATAATTACAAATTATAAACGAAAATTTAAAAAAATAATAAACTAATAAGTTTTTTTTCAAATAAATATAGTATATGTTAAACTGAAACAAATTTTAATATTTTGGATCTTTATATAAACAACTTAACCTCATACACATTCAAACCAAATGAAACTTTAAATAAATTAAAACTTTACATATATTTAAAGTTTATAAATTATTAAAAATTTAAAAGTGGAGAAATATATCTTTCATTTTTAATGTTTATCTTTTGAAAAATTTAAATATTTTTGAAACTTTGCATAAACAACTTTAATCTCACCCCATTTAAACTTTATATAAACAATCTTATATTTTTATTAAATTGTTTAAAAAAAACTAAACAGGTAATTAGGATGTTAAAATGATACAAAATTATTATCAAATATTAATATTTTATATTTCTTATTTGAATTTCGTTTTTATTAAATTAGGAATAATCATTTTACATATAAAAAGTGTATTTTTCAAAACCAAAAAAAAAGGGTAGTTTTCAAATTAAAAATTCATCAAAAAATATATTTCAAAAAAAAAATTATTAATATGGTTATAAATGTTTTGAATAATTATATATTATTTTTATTTTAGTAACTTTTGGTTAAACCGCTCTTGCACCCGCTGGCTAACCAGTCAAAAATATCCCGCAAACGCAACCGCTATGAATTGCTATACCAGTCGTACAAACAGCTTTTAATCGCAAACTCCCGCTTCCGCAAACTCCCGCAGCCGCAAACTCCCGCAACCGCAACCGCAGCGGTTAAACCAGTCAGACCCTGAGTTCTCTTCCAAACTTAGAGAACCACTACAAGGATGGTCGATTTCCCGCGGCCATTTCGGTAAGAAATCTTGAAATATAAAGCCGGCCATTTTAGGTCAGAGATGTTTCTTAATCATCAAGCAACTATTGGGCCATCCATCAGTCTCCTTTTATCTCTGGCCTTAACCACCTGCCAAAACCAAACGAAATCAGGATTGCACTGTTTGTTGCGTTTACTTATACATTGGCAAAATAGAGCCACAACTTTCAGTACTATAGATAAAAAAGCCAAATATAGAGACTGATGTTACATACCTCACTGGTCCAATCGATGAGAGTGGTAATGAGAAGTAAAGTGAGAGTTTGCGTAGTGCATCCAGAGATAATACCAATCCATAGACCTTTCACTTTGAAGTCAAATACAAAGCAAAAGAGTAGTCCAGTTGGAATCCCAACGATGTAAAACGCAGCGATATTCACATAAGCACCAATATTCTGTTTACCACTTCCTCTCACAACCCCTTCAAATACAAACACAGAATCAAATTTGGTATAATGGCAACAGCCTTTATCAGGACCAGCTCTGTTTATAAGGAGTATGTAGATTGCTAACCGTTTAGTGCGCCAGACATGCTGTCCATAACCATGGACATGCAAAGAAAAGGTGTGATTTCTGCGGCATAACTAATCACTTCAGGTTCATTACTATAAGCATAGCCCCAAACATGGCTTGCAAACAACAAAGATGAGCTTGTGACGAGAGACTCGCAAACTGCAATAATCATTGCAACACTTGTAGAAAGTTTAGCTGCAACTGAGTTTCCAGCTCCTATTTCATTCGCCACGTTCGTGCTACAATATTTAGCAAACAATTCAAGTCAAATTAAATGGTTGCAAGCTGACTTATATCTTGATTGTTTGTTTGTTTGCGTTTTTGTTTCCCTTTTACTGATATGCTTACATTTGCTTTACTTTGTTCTATAGCTAGTATATATAACATTAAATTATACGTTTTAAAAATGATAGAAGAGCATTTTTCACATAAATATATATATATATATATATATATATATATTAGTTTCTCGAATAATTGATATAGTTTCAATATAAAAAAAATTATATACTAATTAATTTCAGAATGCACGAGAATTACAAAAGGAAAAAGAATGGTTGAAGACTATCAACTTTTACATGGTTATAGATATCATGGGGGTATATAGACAAATTGTCATTAAATATTAATTTGTAGATATTAAAAGATCATGATAATATTCACATGACACGAACTGACCTTGTTGCAGCACCGATCGAAGCTACGAAGTTGTAGTGCACAGATGAGGTTACCAAACTGTTCAAATGAAAAGGTAACGTGATTCATACGCAAAAAAAAATTAAGGATAAAAAGTAGAAAATTAAGAACTGTTGTTATATATATATTACCACATGGTAATCACAGATGTCTCTAACTTTGAGTTTGGTAAGACTCCAGAGATAAGAATCATAATCTCGAAAGCCGACCATTCAAGACTAATCATCATAGCAGAAGGAATAGCTAAGGAGAAGAAGATCCTCATGTGAGCAAACGCCTCCATCGATATTAAAACACGTTTGCCTTTGCAAAGTTGAGAATGTCTCATGAAAAACCAGAGGAAACCCGCGTTGAGCCAATACGAAATGCTAATAGATAAAGCTGCACCTTTGGTTCCAAGCCCTAGAGTGTAAACTAAAACCCAACAAACCGGTATGTGGAAACATAAAACGGTGAAAGAAGAGAAAAGCATTGGGAAAATCAAACTTTGTGTTTGGAAATAGCGAATAAACGACTGAAGAACGGCGTAACCGAATAAAGCTGGTATGAGCCAAAGGCAGTAAACAGAAGCTATCTCTGATATTTCAGGGTCTTGGTGAAACAATAACAAAATGTTTTTCACGAAAATCCATAGAAGAGAGATTGGAAAACAGATTATGAGGAGAGAAATGATGGAAGTGAAAGTATAGGAACCGAGCTTCTCGTACTGACGAGCTCCAAAGGCTTGACCACATAATGTTTCTAACGCACCCGCTAGTCCAAACTGTTAGTCAAAAATCAACCATATCAAAGCGCTAAATCAATTCAGAAGATTAAAAGAAAAAGAAAAAACTACTTCCAATTTTCTTTTCTTTTTGTGTGAAATTTTATATAAATTGTGTTTCTTCATGTGCGTTTTAAACAAATAGCTTAATTGTCACAGGTATTTTAGACATGTGAAAAAATCCACATCTACCATTTTTTTTATACGATTTTGTCACTATATAGAATTTGTTTATTTGACGGATTAACCTTTAAATCTCATGGGTGTGTCTTTCCCAAATTAAAAGAAAAATATTCATGGGTTTGTAGATATTCTTACGAGGAGACTGAAGCCGGTTACGTTCGCGATGGAGCTGGCGAGAGCGATTCCAGCGAGAGAGATCTCACTTTTGTGGCCAACGATCATCGTAGAAGTGGCCTGAATAAGGTATTGAGATATGTTTACGACCACCATCGGAGCCGCCATTAAAGCCACCTTCTTCAGCTTCTCCCATCTTATCTTCTTTTCTTCTTGTTCTTCTTCTTCTTCTTCTTCTTTCTTAGCATTTACCAGTAATGGATCCATTCTGTGTTTATTCTTTCTCTTTCTTCCTGCTGTTTAAAGTTCTTAAATATAAAATGTGTCGTCGAGTCTAGTAGGTGAAAACTTAAATCCAAACTTGTTTCGTACTTAATGGTTGACTTTTCTATCGTTAATGATAAGGTTCGGATCGTGACAGTTGATTTATATCTATTTATGATCGTGTTCGTGCCAGTAGGTTGGACGCGACGCCACCGAGTTATTAACAATAAGGATATGATTTTTTTCGTTTATGATATACGTGCCACTACGTAAAGCACGCATGCGTACCGGGATGCAAAGATTGTGAGTAGATCATCCAGGTCCGAGATCTAAATTAATTATTCGGTAAACTAAATTAATTACTATTTTTATTACATTAAATTTTAACAATTTATTACTTATTAATAAAGCTAGATCGTAAGAGATCTCGAACCTGATCATGTAATACTTAATGTAGGAAGTGGAGTCAGTATGTGTTTTTTTTATTTGTTTTGGGAATTCTTAAATAAAATCTACGGCCACATCCAAAAAAAATTAAAGTTACCACCATAAAGCTTAAACATAAATTCGCAGCCAGAAAACTAACATCGCATGCATATTTCCTGAAATGTGTTAGGAAAAGTACATATAATTTGTGTGATTGAGAATTAGATAACCAGGAGTTTCAAGATATATAATTATTTTTGTTTTTATTAGGAAACGGATTAGTACCATAGTAGCTTAATTTGTGGACACTAACACAACCGACAAAAAGTGGCAGTTGAAATAATCAACAAACCAAACATTGTCAATAAACCTCACAATGACTCATTGGTCTTCCATTTGGTGAATGTAGTAATGAGAAACAATGTGAGAGTTTGTAGAGTGCATCCAAAAAATATACCAATCCAGAGACCTTTAACTTTGAGGTCAAAAGTGAAGCAGAAAAGAAGTCCCATCGGGATTCCAAATATGTAATACGCAGCGATATTTACATAAGCACCAATCTTCTGTTTACCACTTCCTCTCACAACCCCTTCAAACACAAACACAAGAACAGAAAGAACAAAAAAACTCTGTTCAGAAATTATGTGTTTCTTCGTATGTTTTATAAGGAGAATGTGGATGGCTCACCGGTTAGCGTGGCTGACAAGCTGTCCATAAGAATGGAAAAACAGAGAATATGTGTGATTTCTGCGGCGTAGCGAATCACTTCGGGTACGTTACTGTAAGCATAGCCCCAAACATGTCTTGAGAGGAACAGAGCAAAGCTCACGGCAGAAGATTCAACAGCTGCAATACTGATTGCGACAGTTGCAGAAGCTTTAGCTGCAACTAGGTTTCCAGCTCCTAGCTCGTTGGCCACATTTGTGCTACAAAATTTAATAAAATCTCATTAAATATTTACACAAAGGGGGTGTTTCTGAAATCGAACTAAATTGAAAGAAACTAAACAAAACACAATATTCTAGGCAAGTACATACCCAAAATATAATTATAAAAAGAGTTAGATAACTAAACATTTTAGTAATGTTTAAACCAAAATAACTAAAATCACCAATTCAAATGTCTTTACTTATATTTGTCAAAATTAAACATAATGTTATAAAAAATTAAACCAAAATTTATCAGAAATTAATAATTCGAGTATTGGGAACCGATCCTGACCAGAGACCAAACCAAATTTTATTCGGTTCCTATCTGAAAAAAACTGATCGAACCGACCAGAAGACCCAAATTTTCAGGCCTAGTTTATTCATTACATCTGTATTCTCACTTTGCAAAAAAATAAAAAATAATAAAAAAAAGCTTTACAGATGAACATGTAAACATAATAAATATAAAATTATATACACAGACTGACCTTGCGGCAGCACCGATAGCAGTTCCCAGATTGTAGTGCAAAGTAGATGTTGTCAAGCTGTTCAAATGGAAAAAAACGTTACGTGACACCTACGCAAACAATTAAAGGTTTTAAGGAAATTTTAGTGTTGCAAAAAAAGCTAGGCCGTAGTATTACCACATGGAAATCACAGATGTCTCTAACTTTGAGTTAGGCAAGACACCGGAGATAAGAATCAAAATCTCGAAGGCCGACCATTCAAGAATAACCATCAAAGCTGAAGGAACTGCTAACGAGAAGAACATCCTCATGTGGCCAAACGCTTCCATTGATATTAAAACCCGTTTGCCTTCACAAACTTGCGAATGTCTCATGAAAAAACAAAGGAAGACCGCGTTGAGCCAATAAGAAAGGCTTATTGATAAAGCTGCACCTTTGGTTCCAAGCCCTAAAGTGTAAACCAATACCCAACAAACCGGTACGTGGAAACAAAGAACCGTCAAAGAAGAGAGAACCATTGGGAAAATCAAGCTTTGTGTTTGGAAGTAGCGAATCAGCGACTGAAGAACAGAGTAACCGAATAAAGCCGGTATGAGCCAAAGGCAGTAAACAGAAGCTATCTCTGATACTTCAGGGTCTTGGTGAAACAATAACAAAATATTTTTCACGAAAATCCATAGAAGAGAGATTGGGAAACAGATGATGAGAAGAGATATGATGGAAGTGAAAGTATAGGAACCAAGCTTCTCGTACTGCCGAGCTCCAAAAGCTTGACCACATAATGTTTCTAACGCGCCCGCTAGTCCAAACTGTTTAGTTAAAGTCAACCATTACAACCATTACAAATATATATATATATATATATATATATATATATATATATATATATATATTTGGTTATTTATATATATGCACTAGATAACCAATTTTTTTGTGAAATCGTTAAAAAAATATGTTTCTCAGAGCACACGTTTAATGGAAATAGCATAATTTTCACATGTATTTTAACCTAGTGAAAAATCAAAATCTACTTTTTTAACGATTTTGTCACTAGAATTTGATTATCTAGAGCATATTAAGTTTTAAATATTCATAAGTTTGTAGAGTCTTACGAGGAGACCAAAGCCGGTTACATTCGCCATGGAGCTGGCGAGAGCGATTCCAGCGAGAGAGTTCTCACCTTTGTGGCCAACGATCATAGTAGAAGTGGCCTGAATAAGGTATTGAGATATGTTTACAACCACCATTGGAGCCGCCATTGAAGCGACCTTCTTCAGTTTCTCCCATCTTATTTTCTTTATTTCTTGTTCTTCTTCTCTCTTAGCATTTACCAGTAATGGATCTTCCATGGTGTGTTTTCTCTGTCTCTTTCTTCTACCTGCTATTTAAAATTCTTAAGTAGAAAATGTGTCGGTCATGACTTTTCCATTAGCTCAGTTCGCGAGGATTGGAATTTTCCTATTTATGAGCCTGGCACCAGGTACGATGCAAGGTTAGTGATGTATTATTTGGTATGCTGATGAAAACTATTAAATAATACTCCTCTCTTTGGCCTTAAGAGTAAAATTAAAACACTTCCATATGGCCAGTCAAATTGGTATTATGCTATATGGGGCAGAAGATCTATTTCCTCACCAAAACTAGTGTAGATGCGGCTCAAAATATAACCTCACTTAAATCCCTACCATTTGAAAGTGAAATAACCAGATTCCTATGACTGAAATTTCACTGAAATTAATTACGATGGTTAAATGTAAGAAACCAGATCAGATATCAAAGATATTAGTGTTTAGATATATACATTAGACAAACAAATCCTGTCATCTTCTTTACAAAAAATTATGTTTTGGCGAAATCTTAATAAAGATGAATCTGCATCCACGTTTTGAGGTAATAGCATAAAGTTTTCCCAACTGTGTTAAACTTAGACATCTTGGAAATCAACATCTACTTAAAAAAAAAAAAAATCAACATCTACTTTCTAACTACTTTGTAATTTTTAAAAATAAGATAATGGAGTTTACTGTGTAACATGTTAACCCTTAATTTATGGAATATCGATTCTTACGAGGATACTAAAGCCAGCTACGTTCGCGATGGAAGCGAGAGCGATCCCAGCGACAGAGATCTCGCTTTTGTGATATAAACCTTGATTCTAGTTAATATCTGGACTGAAATTTCACATTAATACCTAAAACACGTACAAACTCTGATGTCGCACATGGTTTTCCAGTCTCTTTAAAAAGGTTTTATTTTTTAAAACGAGTGCAAACGTGAATGTGTGAGTTTATCCGCCAAAGACATCATCTTTAACATCTCTAAACCTTACAACATCTTATGTCTTAGCATTTATTACTTTTGTTTCAGGTGAAAATATTTAATATTTCTTTTCCCAACATAACAACAACATTTAATGTTTCATAACAATAACAACAACTAGTCAACAACAGCAAGTCACCACACAAAAAAAAAAAATCGTTTATCTACAGATGAAAACGCCAAATGCGAAACGGTCATTACACTTATTAAATTTAAATCCGAGTGAAAACACAACCGACAAATATTGGCATTTTAATCATTTTGAGGCATTATATGCCTCACAACATCTCATTGGTCTTCCATTCGGTGAATGTAGTAATAAGAAACAATATGAGAGTATCCAGAGTGCATCCAGAGAGTATACCAATCCAGAGACCTTTCACTTTGAGGTGAAGAATGAAGCACAAGACAAGTCCAATTGGAATTCCAAAGAAGTAAAACGCAGCGATATTCACATAAGCACCAATCTTCTGTTTACCACTTCCTCTCACAACTCCTATAAACACAAACACATGAAGCAAAAAAAATATTTAGAAAAACTTATTTTTTGTTCGTGTGTTCATAAGGAGAACGTGTATTGCTCACCGGTTAATGCGGCTGAAAAGCTGTCAACAACAATGGACATGCAGAGAATAGGTGTGATTTCTGTGGCGTAACGAATGACTTCAGGTTCGTCACTAAAAGCATATCCCCAAACATTTCTTGAAATGAACAGACCAAAGCCAATGACAAAAGCATCAACAGCTGCAATTATGATTGAAACAAACGCAGAAGCTTTTGCTGCGACTAGGTTTCCACCTCCTAGTTCATTGGCCACGTTCGTGCTACAAAATAACGCAAAGTCCCATTTTCAATCAAAAACCTCTCATGCCACATGTTTTTGTGTAATTAGTCTAGTTTTTTTCTTCAAAAAACTAAATTTAGTCGTATAACTAAAGAAAATTAAAAAAAATCATCTGAGAAGCTCTTCGGATATGTTCTTATGTTTTCATTACAAGTAAACATAATACTATTTCATAAAAAATTATATACAAAGACTGACCTTCCAGCAGCACCAATCGCACTTGCCAGATTGTAGTGCAGAGAAGAGGTTATCAAGCTGTTCAGAACAAAAGGTAACGTGACTCATACGCAAAACAATAAATATAGTGTGTTGCCAAAAAAGTTAGGCCTTAATTAGTATTACCACATGGAAATCACAGATGTCTCTAGCTTTGAGTTTGGCAAGACTCCAGAGATAAGAATCATAATCTCGAAAGCTGTCCATTCAAGAATAACCATCAAAGCAGAAGGAATTGCTAAGGCGAAAAAAATCCTCATGTCACTAAACGCTTTCATTGATATTAAAACCCTTTTTCCTTCGCAAACTGAAGAATGTCTCATGAAAAACCAGAGAAAAGCAGCGTTGACCCAATAGGAAATGCTAACAGATAAAGCTGCACCTTTGGTTCCAAGCCCTAAAGTGTTAACCAATACCCAACAAACCGGTACGTGGAAACATAGAACCAAGAAAGAAGAAAGAACCATAGGGTAAATCAAGCTTTGTGTTTGGAAGTAGCGAATCAAAGATTGAAGAACGGCGGAACCGAATAAAGCTGGTATGAGCCAAAGGCTGTAAACAGAAGCTATCTCTGATATTTTAGGGTCTTGGTGAAACAATAACAAAAGATCTTTCGAGAAAATCCAGAGAAAAGAGATTGGAAAACAGATGAGGAGAAGAGAAATGATTGAAGTGAAAGTATAGGAACCGAGCTTCTCGTACTGACGTGCTCCAAAGGCTTGACCACATAGTGTTTCTAACGCACCCGCCAGTCCAAACTGTTAATCAAAATCAAACATATCAAACATATAAATCAATTCAGAATTTTTATAACAGATCTTTATTTTATATATATATATATATATATGCACTAGATAACCAATTTTCGTATAGAAAATGTGTTTTCTCAAGTATTTTAAACAACTAAAAAAAATCACATCTACTTTTTTAGGATTTTGTTATTAGAATTTGACTATCTAGCATATTAATCTTAAAATATTCATGGGTTTGTAGATTCTTACGAGGAGACCAAAGCCGGTTACGTTCGCTATGGAGCTGGCCAGAGCGATTCCAGCGAGAGAGATCTCACTTTTGTGGCCAACGATCATTGTAGAAGCGGCCGGAATAAGGTATTGAGATAAGTTTACGACCACCATTGGAGCGGACATTGAAGCGACCTTCTTCAGCTTCTCCCATCTGATCTTCTTTACTTCTTGTTCTTCTTCTTTCTTAGCGTTTACCGATGAAATTTCCATAGTGTGTTTTCTCTCTCTTTCTTCCTGCTGTTTAAAATTCAAAAATACACATATGCTTATCTTTTGTGTGTTTGCTTAAATTTTATAGTAATTATTTGAGTACGACTGGAATTTGTATCGTTTTTTCCCTTTTAGAGTTGTTAAACGTCTTTAATCAAACATTAAGCTTAAGGGTGCCATGTGTCAAGTCGTGACTGGCTGCATGTATATTACGGTTGATCAATTAAGTTTTGATCTACGCTGCATGAAGGTCAGGTGTCAGGATTATGCTGTTGTAAAGCCACAACATTAAATATTTTCTTTGAAAATAAAAACATTACTATTTTCGACAAAAACAAAACTGCTTATTTCCAAAACGGTACTTTAATTACACTCCTTTTTTTTGGTGCAAGCAAACGGAACTTTACACTTAAGATTGAATTAATGAAAACGCAACCGACAAAAATTGGCGTTGTAAACATTTGAGGCATTTATTCATTGTCACTATATTATTTACCTCACAATATCTCATTGGTCTTCCATTTGGTGAATGTAGTAATAAGAAACAATGAGAGAGTTTGTAAAGTGCATCCACAGAGACTACCAATCCAAAGACCTTTAACTTTAATATCAAGAATGAAGCAAAAGAGAAGTCCAATTGGAATCCCAAAGATGTAAAACGCAGCGATATTCACATAAGCACCAATCTTCTGTTTACCACTTCCTCTCACAACCCCTTCAAACACAATTAAACACAAACACATGAAGGAAAAAAAATCTTTAGAAAATCTGTTTTTTTTTGTTCATGTGTTCATATAATAAAAAAGTCTATTGCTCACCGGTAAATGTGGCTGAAAAGGCATCCACAACAATGGAAATGCAGAGAATAGGTGTGACTTCTGCGGCGTAGCGAATCACTTCAGGTACGTTACTATAAGCATAGCCCCAAACATGTCTTGACATGAACAGAGCAAAGCTGATGGTAGAAGATTCAACAGCTGCAATTATGATTGCGACAAACGCAGAAGCTTTTGCTGCGACTAGGTTTCCAGCTCCTAGTTCATTGGCCACATTCGTGCTACAAAATTTAGCTAAGTCCCATTTAAAACAAATATAATCAAATAGCCATAAACTGACTCATACTTTGACCTTCGTTTACATGTGTTTTACATCAAGTGATGCAACTGTTAGGAAGTCTTCATCTAAAGTAACATAGGACTTACTGACTTAAAGTAATATACCCTTATCAAAAAGTCATGGCTCAGTCCTCTCATTGATAATAGTTTTGAATTGTAATCATATGAATGGTTATACTAGAGTTTGACACAAATAAGTGGCTCCAAGTAGGATATCTTGCTGATCCTAAAGATAATCTGGTTTGAAACTTATCAAACGAGCTACAACGAGAACAACGTGTTAGTTGTATATATATATATATATATATATATATATATATATATATATATAGGAACCCCACATACGAAATAACATGGCTTATATAGTACTAATATATAAGGAAAACAAATCCACTTATTGCCGGATTTTGAGTTGTAAGTTTATAAAATTTAGCTGCAATATTTTTTAAAAATACTACATTTTATATATATTGCAATTATAAACGCAAACGGAGAAAAAATGTTTGTTCTTCACATCTTCGTTCAAACTTTGCAATAAGAAGAACATGTGTTATTAAAAGAGATTCACATGTAAACATAATAAATCAAGACAAATATATACAAAAACTGACCTTGCAGCAGCCCCAATTGCAGTTGCTAGATTGTAGTGCAGAGAACAAGTTGTAAAGCTGTTCAAATGAAAAGGTAGCATTACTCATACGCAAATAACTTATTGATACTATAAAATGTTGGTAGAAATTTTTTAGGCCTTAGTATTACATCATGGAAATCACCGATGTCTCTAGCTTTGCATTTGGCAAGACTCCGGAGATAAGAATGAGAATCTCGAAAGCCAAATTTTCAAGACTGACCATCATAGCCGAAGGAACAGCTAAAGTGAAGAAGATCCTCATGTGACCAAATGCTTCCATTGATATTAAAACCCTTTTGCCTTCGCAAACTCGAGAATGCCTCATGAAAAACCAGAGGAAAACCGCGTTGAGCCAATACGAAAGGCTTATTGACAAAGCTGCACCTTTGGTTCCAAGCCGTAAAGTGTAAACCAATACCCAACAAACCGGGGCATGGAAACATAGAACCACTAAAGAAGACAGAACCATAGGGTAAATCAAGCTTTGTGTTTGGAAGTAACGAATCAACGATTGCAAAATAGAGTAACCAAATAAAGCTGGTATGAGCCAAAGACAGTAAGCATAAGCAACCTCTGATATTTTAGGGTCTTGGTGAAACAATAACAAAATATTTTTCGTGAAAAGCCAGAGAAAAGAGATTGGGAAACAAATGATGAGAAGAGAAACAATGGACGGGAAAGTATAGGAACTGAGCTTCTCATACCGACGAGCACCAAAAGCTTGACCACATAGTGTTTCCAATGCGCTTGCTAGTCCAAACTGTCAGTCAAGTAATTAAAGAAAAATAAATTAAATGAAAGACATACAGATCCTCACATAAATTAAACAAAACATTCGTTTTTGTTTTATACATTATGGGAATTAGTGGTATCCGTCCGAAATCCTCCCCGAGATAGATATATATATATAAATCTATAGAAATAAAATGGACCAAAAAAGTCAAAATTCCAAAAGTAACACAATTTTCTTTTTTTAAAAATACTTGTTTAGTGTAAATAAAATTTTATTATCATTTGGGAAGGTTAAATGACGCTCTCACATTAATTCTTACAGAGCCACTCTTAATGTTTTTGAAAAAAAAATTATCTACTTAAAATAAAAAATAAAAGGAAACTAGATCGTACAAATGTTAAAATTAGACATAAAGTGAAAAGATTATGTTTGAAGTCTATTTTTCAAATCAGGGTTAAGATATTTTCCATTAAAGAGTTTTGAATCAATTTTTATGTTAAACTATGCTATTATTGGAAGAATAAAAGACTTAGAAATTGTATATTTTGGGAAAAAGTTCCAAAAAACAAAGTTTTTTTATGGGGTTGGCAAATGCTTTGCTTACGATGAGAGTGAAGCCGGTTACGTTCGCAAAAGAGCTGGCGAGAGCAATTCCAGCGAGAGAGATCTCACTTTTGTGACCAACAATCATTGTCGAAATGGCTCGAAGAAGGTACTGAGATATGTTTACGACCACCATTGGAGCCGCCATTGAAGCCGCCTTCTTCAGCTTCTCCCATCTTATCTTCTTTACTTCTTGCCTAGGATCTTCCATGGAATGTCATAATTTTCCCTTTGTTCGTGCTGTGGTAAGACTTGGATCAAATTAATTGCCGTCAACTCCCAACGAACAGCCATCAAAGTTTTTGTTGAAGAGATAACTCCTTGTGGCCAGCATTAAAGGATGTCTATATTGATATAATTTCAAGAAAACTACATTTTTGTTTGCTTGTTCAAAAATAAAAATAAAATAGTCCATCTTATTTAACCAAACAAAAAGGGGTGTTTGCAAAAGTAGACCCCAATTTGTGGTCAATGTTTTTGGTATACCCCTCTAATATTTACACCTCTTTCTCTCTATATCATCCTTACCCTCTCATCATATCTACCAAAATGCCATCAGTTTTTCTATTTTTCATTTTTTTAGAAAATAATAATGTCCAAACCAACCTCATCTCCTACACTTATTCACGAAAATGCCATCAAATTCAATTCACCCAACAACCATTTTCAACCATATTCAAGCTTTTTAAAGCTTCTTCTTCCCTTTTACACCACCAAAATCACACTATATTCTCTTCTAACCTTCTTCTCTTACTTATTCTCTCCAATTTCATCACAAAAACTCTATAATCCATCTCTCAAAAATATAAGTTCTTGTATGATGCCATTTGTGGTCACCAAGCTCACGGCAACAGCTGGGCTTCTCTGCTGAAGGTTTAAATCGAACCAATCCGCCGTCGACGCAACCAAACAGCTCATCAAGGTGATTTTCCGTTCGTTTTTCGTGAATTTCAGATCTCCTGCGCGATGTAGACTTCACTAAGAAGTCAACATGTCAACGTGGGGTACACTAACTGCAAACGACTTTTTAAAATTTTGGAGAAGTAGACTTCTTGGAGAAGTCTACATTAATCCTTTGACAACAAAAAAAGGTGGACCCCATGTGTAGACTTCACAAAGAAGTCTATTCTTCGGGAGGGGTATACTTTTGCAATTGACCAGACGACGACTTTCGGTTCTGAAGTCTACACATGAAGTCTACGCGACAGGGGTATACTTTTGCAATTGACCAAATCACGACTTTTTGATGTAGACTTCTTTTTTAGACTGTAGACTTCCCCGCGAAGTCTACTTTGACGCGTAGACTTCTTTTGAAGTCTACTTTCGGAGTAGACTTCATGGAGAAGTCTACTTCTGCAAAAAGAAGTCAACTGGTCAACGAATGAATAGTAACTCGGGGTACACCAACTGCAAACGTTGTTTTACGAAGTCTACTTTTGGTAGTAGACTTCAATATGACGTCTACTTTTCGTAGTTGACTTCTTATTGAAGTCTACTTGTCATTGTTGACTTCAGCCTGAAGTCTACTTTTATAAAAGAAGTCTACTTCAAAAAGTCGTGATTTGGTCAATTGCAAAAGTATACCCCTCGAATTGTTGACTTCCTTTGTAGACTTCACAAAATATTCTTGCAGTTGGTGTACCCCTAAAGTTGACTTCCTGGTGAAGTCTACAAGTAGATTTCTACATGACGTCTACTTTGTTATTATATTGTAAATTAGGTGTTTGTGCAATATGAATAACTAATTTATAAGATTTTCTTCGACAATAAGTTGTTTTTATCTGTCTATTTGCCTGTGTAACAATTTGGCTTGCTTAATCAGTATATTTTGAAGGGAATCAAATTTTTAGTTTTTGGTGGAGTTTAGGTGAAATGTAGTAGACTTCACGGCGAAGTTTACTTTGTAAGTGTATTTTAAATTCGATATTTGTGCATTATGATTAACTAATTTTAAAAAATTTCTTTGACAATAAGTTGTGTTAATCTGCTTACTTGCTTGTGTATCATTTTGACGTGGTTAATCATTATATTTTGAAGAGAATCAAATTTCTTGTCTTTCTTGGATACTAGTGATAATATAGTAGACTTCTTATTGAAGTTTGCTTACTCGTTTTGACTACTAATGTGTTGTGTCTTAATCTTTTTATGCAGAAAATCTGTTGTTTATGGAAAATGGGCGAAGATTGTGAATGTTTGAAATTGATTATGATGAGGGAGAATGTTCTACTTGTTTTGATTATTAATGTGTTATACCTTCTCCTTCTTAAGATGGATTATGTCATCTCCTTAGTAAGATTGATTATGTCATGTACATTAGTAAGCTTGTTCAAATGGCCCAAAATAATAATAAGTGGGACAAGAAAGAAGAGTTTTAGAGTTATCATATACCCATTATCAAATGCTATGTTTCACATGACTTGTAGATTTGTCTGTCAAATGCACAAACATAGTCTTCTTAATCGCACAAACATAGCCTTCACTTCTGAGATTTTGTCATCTCTATCCCTATTAGGATTTCATGACTAGTAGTTCTTTGGATTGTTTGTACATGAACTTTTCTTTTGTATATAACTCAAATGTGGAGGGTACAAATTGCTATATCTGCTTACAAACTAAAGAGGGTACAACCAATACCAACTATACATCAACCGTAGTACAAATGCAAATTTTTAAGCTTTTTGCTACATCTAAGCGTGAGTTGGCTCGATCAAGTGATTTCTCTGTGTTAGTAGCCATGCCACAGTTGGCAGGAACCGAGCCTGCAACTACTATCACCTACTCTTGATTTTCAAGCCAAATCGTAGATAACCTGAGCGACATTATGACAAAAGAGTACGACTCATAACAGTAAGAACACACACAAAACATGATTAAGACAATTTATTCAAAGCTTAAATCATTATATATTGTACAAGAACCAAGGATATCATACATATTTCAATCATCTATTAGCAAGAGATCAAATCAAGAAGAGCACGACCATAATCATACAAAAAAAGAGCTGAACTAAAACTAAGAGAAAATATTTCGAATATGACAGTTTTTTACCAATTTGTTCTAACAAACAGCAAGTGAAAACAGTATTGAATTCAACTTTAATATGTTGGAATCTTGATGATCTCGTTAGAGTACAGAATCTAACCTCATCAAAATCTTATTCCGATGAATCTGAGATTCTGAAATACCCTCGGAAGATGAAGAATCTCTAGCAGCCGGCTTAGAAGCAGCAGGTTTCTTTCCAGGTTATTGTTTGCCAAACCTGAAAAGACAGAAAAGATCCAAACTTTAATCACAAACGGCCAGATGCTAACAAAAAGAAAAACAAAAAAGAATCAAAATCATGGTGAGTTGAGAGTAAATAACTCACCGTGATTCCTTGAGACCACCCCTGCTACCACGGCCAAGATGTCTACATTGCTCTGATTTGTGAGATGAAGTCTTGAGACAGCCAAGACATTCTTTCTTCTCCTGAGATATACAACATTTCGTCCAATACAAATGCTAAGTGAATAAGCTTAAAAGAAAACCAAAACATCTACACAAAGACCAAGACAAAACCGTTGTTAAAGAATCATAATACCTCATCACATTCGTGCAAGTGATCTAAAGGGAAAATGCCCTTTTCTGGTGGTATGGGTCTCAATCCTCTGTTTCCTCCAAATGCTCCACCTTGCACACAAGAAAATCAACAGGCGTGTGTAATCAAAATCGAGCTTTATGAAGTAATGTAGTTAGTAGACACCAGTTTCTCACTACGTTAAATCATTATGCAAAGAACTGGTTTTTCAATTTTCACTAGTGAAAAAATGAGTTCTTGAAACTTCATTTACATGATAGTGTAGGAAAGATAGTGTACAATACAAATGCAAACAATGATCAATTAGTTAGCAGTGATTGGTCCTATAGAAAGCTACGACAAAAATGCAAAGATATCTCATAAACCTTATATACTGATAGATACTTAAAACCAGAGAATAAAAAGCTTTAATTTTTTTTCTTGAAAAACATAGAAACTCGAGCACAAAAACCATATGGAGACAAGCATTATACTTAAAAGGACACGAAAATACCCAAATTCAGGAATCATTATCCAACGTAAAGAAAGAGACAAGCTTTTGTCAGAAATGGAGTTGAGAATTCAACTTACATGAGGAGTGGATAGAAGCAAGACATCGTGTTTATTGAGTTTAGGATGCATAAGCACAAAATAAATCCTCTGACAGCCAAACTAGATCCTAAACACAAACAAAAATTACACAACAAAAAATAATTGCATCAATAAAACATGTCTCTGTAAAACTAGATGCTAAACACAAACAAAATCTAAGCAATCTATACAAAATGTTGAAAACTGAAAAGACAAGCAAATCAAATAAGAGATTAAAAAAAAGGAAGGAAGGAACCTGTGTTGCTCACAAACGTGCAACGACGACCTTGGGCTTTGCTCTCCGCCAATTGCAGCACGTGAGAGAGCCAGCGCCACAAGGAGCTGTGGTCACTTGGTCGACTCACGAAGAAAGACAGAGCTCCGGGAACCAGACACGAGAGATTCCGCCGCTCCCTAGTCTGAATTTACTCGATCTACTCTTCATTTCTTCACGGCATCACTTCCGGTCACGGGAAATTCCAACATGAACACATGCATCAAAAAAATGAAGACTGAGTAAGAAGAATACGGGTAAGAGAGATGGACAAAGAGAAAGAAAAAGAAGAAGAAGAACACGCCGAGTTAACTTCAGGGAGAAGGTCTCCGTTCAGGCGAGAGAAAACGGCGGAGATCTTCGAGGATTTTGCTGCGGCTCAGATCTAGTTTTTTTTCTAGGGAGAGAGAGGATCAGAGAGCGCCGCGTTTTAGAGAGAGAGGAGAGCTGCAAAATTAGGGATAAAATGAAAAAATCATATTTATATGGAGTAAAAAATCTGGTTAGGTTAAAAATAAGAGTTGGTTAAATTTCGGTTTTATAGTGCAAATTATTCGGTTTAATCAACAATTTTTTCGGTTAGGTTAAAAAAATTGGGTTAAACAGTTCCAAATGAAATCCCGCCTAAATAATTTCGATTCCCGCTCAATTTTATTTGGGTTATATATTTCTAGTTCTTCGAGAAATCTACAGTGAAAGTTTACACAAGAAGTCAACCATACCCTAAACCCTAAATCGAATATTTTACACAAAAAAACTTATGGAATAAAATAGTTTTCGTTGAATATACACAAATTACATTATAATCAACACATATATGAACATTAAATGACTATACAACGATATAAACTTGGTTTTCAAAAAATATTTGGCTAAACCCTAACAACTTATACTACCAAGCCCTATACTTCAAACCTAAACTCTATCCTTGATGGACCAAATACTCATGAAACTTATAAACTTATACATTTTCATGAGTTTGTATTTTATATATGAACATTGTATTTACTTAGATTACTAACAAAATTTGTTAGCAAAATATTTTTTTATAAATTTTAAAATTAAAATTTAAGATTTCGTAAAAGTAGACTTCATGAGTAGACTTCTCTCCAAATTTATAGGTTTGTGGCATGCTTTGCCTTTGCTGTATTAGACTAATACATTTTCAAGCAAAAATATTTTTAAAGATGCCAAATAACAAGGTCTTTTTTATGTATAATTGCTTTGGTTTAATATTTTTCTTTAATTTTATAATTTAAATTTAAGATCTTAAGGCGTTGTAGACTTCGTTTTGAAGTCTACTTCTTCAGTAGACTTCAACCCATGGGGTAAATTGGTAATTGCGTCGCTCGTTTATTGTTTGTTCATAGAAGATAAAAGGGTCATTAACCACCCCTTGGGGTATACCAATTGTCAAACATGTCATATGGAGTATACTGTTACCTAAAAAAACAATGTTTGGGTATACCAATGGTAATTCCCCCAAACAAAAATGATATTTCACATATATCAAGTATCATTAGCTCAGAAAAAGTGATATTCCACAAACTGAAACTATATCAGTTGATCATTATTTATGTATAAAAAAAATATGAATTAGAACCTAGCGGAAAAATAAAGCTTAAACCTAAATTCATTTGAAAATAAAAATATATTTGACTTAAACTTATTTTCAACCAAAATTTGAATTTTTTTATTTAAATAAAATAAGATGACATTTTTTAATCATCAGCAATTTATAAAACTAACTGAATACTGTTATCAATGTTAAACACAAAATGATACTTATTTAAATTTAAATACTTAAAAAAGGAAAATATTAAATTTTATACATGGCGTGGGAGGATAACACTTGATTTATTAGTAGTGGAGCTTTCATAGTTTTTTTTTTTTGTTCCTTTGATTCCTGCTAATGAGAAATTCTTTAAAATGTGTATCAAGTCTAGTAGTGAATTTGTTAAACTAATCTGATTTCATAATCAAGGTTTGACATGACAACTAATTACTAAAGCTTAGTTCCTGACCACAGTAATTAAGCTGCCGTTTGTGATTGCCGACGCCTATGCGTCGCCGATCTTTTCTTTTGTGTATTGTGTCATGTAAGAGCCTCTTCTTGTGTAGATTAGGTGGTAAAGACCCCCTTGTGTAACTCATTTTGCAAGCCCAACATTTTTGTTTCTTGTATAATGGAATTGATATTGATGTGTTTTGACTTGTTTAATTTGATTCTGATAGATCCACGTGTTATGCCTCCAGTGGATAATGCTTTCACGTGCTGTCCGCCATTACAATCACCTGCTCAGCTTGACTCTTATGAGCGTCGTCGTACTAATCTCTTGTCGGAGAAAGTATTCATTTTTGTTTTACAATTAAGGGTCGGAGTCTCGAAAAAAGCATTCGTTTTTGCATTTTCCTTTTTGACTTGTTATTTTTCTTCCTGTAATCCTTTCAAGAAACCTACTCTTTTGCCATCTAGTCAAGTACTAGTATTAATTTACACTACAAAATCACTGTATGATTAACCAAGCAACTCTAGTATTTTTTTAAATGAGATATCAAATATAAAAGCCTAGAATGTTCTCTTAAAATAAATAAAAATCAACTGCATAGCTCATTTATTTTAAACCTTGTTTAAGTGCCATACATTTTCAACATGGGATTCCTATTAATCCTTTAAGCAATGAGTGTAGTAGAAATAATTTAAAATCCACTGCCGTTGAAGTTTATTTCACTCATTTGTTCGTATTCCTTCTTCTTCAGTTAACCAATGAGTCATGTCTTGAAACTTTTTCATCAAGCATTCTCTCCCTAGCCTTGTTTGCCTGAAAATTTTCCCAAATAAGTGGAAACAAATATTAGCTCAATGTGTCAAAAAATCAAACAAAGGATCAGAAAGAAAAAAAGCGGTTTACGCCGTTTATATTACCTCTTTTTTCCAATTGGTGAATCCAATAACAAGAAAGAGGAGTAGGGTTTGTAATGTTGATCCTGAGACTAAACCAGCCCAAAGTCCTTTCACATTGAAGTGAAGATGGAAGCATAGTAGAAGTCCTATGGGAATACCAATGATGTAATAAGAAGCTATGTTCACATAAGCTCCAATTTTCTGCCACCCTGTTCCTCTCACAATCCCTAACCACAAGGAGACATTCAGTTTATGATCACCAAAATTTAATAACTTGGTTCCTTATCCGGAGAGTATGGTAAAGAAAAGCTTACCGGCGAGGACGGTCAAGAAGCTGTCCATGAGGATTGAAATGCAAAGAATGGGAGTGATCTCGGTCACATAGCGAGTTACTTCCTCCACATTGGTATAAGCAAAAGGCCATACATTGCGGGATAAGAAGAGAGCAGAGCTCACAACAACTGACTCAACAGCCGCTATTATTATTGCGGCTGAAGCAGAAGCACGAGCCCCACGCGGATTCCCAGCTCCTAGCTCATTTGCCACATTGGTACTAATCCAATATCGGAAAATATAACATAAATCTCATTAGAAAAAAATATATATATATGTAATATCTGAACATGATGATTACCAAAAAAGTAAAATGTAAGTAGGATTTTAGTAGTAAATGAAAACAAACCTTGCTGCATCACCGATTCCATTTACCAAATTGAAGTGCAAAGAAGATGTTGTGAGGCTGTTCAAATCCAAAAACCAAGGCTTAGAAAATGAAAGAAAAAGTATAAGCAGATTTTTTTCATTTTTTTTGGTTCGATGCATTACCAAATGGATATAACCGAAGTTTCGAGTTTTGAGTTAGGTAGTAAACCAGACAGGAGAGTTATCACCTCGAAAGCTAACCACTCAAGGCTATAGAAGAAAGAACAACAACAACAACAACAAAAGTGTTAAAAGGGTAATAAAGATTAAAAAAGAGAGGTATATATAGAAATATATATCCATTAGAAATTATTCTTTATAACCAATGATCTCAAGCCGAAACTCAAACTAATATCTAGAGCTTAGCCAACAATGACGACTAGAGTCACTAGACTACTATAACTTAGTTGATCTATAAATAGAAAATCTGTATAGCTTAACATACTTACCAACACATCATTGCAGAAGGAACCGCAAATTTAAAGAAGATTCTTGTGTGAAGAAACACATCCTTTGACAAATAAATCCGCGTTTTCAAGCACGCTCGAGAGCGTTTCATGTAAACCCAAAGGAAAACCGCGTTAAGCCAATACGAGATACCGGTAGACACAGCTGCTCCTTTGACACCAAAGTCGAATGTGTGAACCAGTAGCCAACAGAGAGGGACATGGAAAGCGAGAGCGGCTAGAGAGCTCAAAACCATTGGAAATATTAGTTTTTGTGACTGAAAATATCGAACCAGCGGCTCGAGAATGGAGTAAGCGAATAGTGCTGGTATGAGCCAGAGGCAGTAAATGGAAGCTAACTCTGCCACTTGAGGGTCTTGATGAAGCAGAATCAAGATCTTGTTCATGAACATCCAGAAAATCGAAATAGGAAAAGCGATCATCATGATATAAACCATGGAAGTGAAAGTGTAGGATCCAAGCTTGTGGTATTGTTCTGCTCCAAATGCTTGGCCACATAGTGTTTCCAATGCACCTGATAGTCCAAACTATTGTATACGATATGATTAATTATAACAATCGTATATTACAAAGAAAAAATGAAAGAATTTAAAAAAAAAAAAAAAAAAAAAAAAGAAAAATCTTACGAGGACACCAAAACCGGTGACGTTAGAAAAGGAGCTTCCAAGGGCGATTCCGGCGAGAGCGAGTTCGCTCCGGTGACCAACAATCATCGTAGAAGTTACTTGAAGAAGAAACTGAGACATGTTCACTGCGAGCATTGGAACAGCCATTGAAGCAACTCTCTTTATCTTCTCCCATCGTATCTTCTCTTTCTCTTCTGCTGCTTCTGGTTGTTTTGTCTTCACCAGTAATGGAGCTTCAGTACTCTTCATTTTCGTTTTGGTTAGAAAATATGGGAAGTTGGGTCAAACTTATAAACTTTAGACTTTGTAATCTTGAAATACACACGGGACCATAGAAAAATGGACACGTTGCAAGATAAATTATTTACGTCTAAAACCAAAACCGTTTAAGACTTTATTTTCTCATTCATTGAATTAAAAAGGTACAATAGGAAGACGTCGTATAATCCTAACGTGTGTAGCTCAACTAGTTAACATGCATATCTACATGTGAAAAATCATGAAGGCTAGCTCTTGTATTAAAGAAAACTATAAAATTAAGAAACTAATTTAATGATTTGTAATTAATACTCCAAATTATGTCACAATGTCATTAAATTTGCCTATGTATTGAGCGATGAGAGTGTAATGATTTGTATCGTCATTATGTCACAATCCAAATTCAAATCCGTATTAATGTTATGGTTACAATATTATTTTGTCTATGTTATACCACTATTTTGCCTATGTACTGAGCGATGAGTGTAAAATTGATTTGACACCTCATAAAGGGACTTATTTTAAGGGAATTACACAATTGTTGGAACTCATTTTTTTATAGTATGTTTATATGTCAAAAATGAGAAATAGATGTTCAAAAGGGTTCCTAGTATAGTATAAAATGTAGCATTTATTAAATGTCCCATATATGAGGTGAAATCCTTTTGTATTTAAAGTGGAGAAAAGAGATATTCAGAGTGAACTTGTTTCTGAGCTTTGAAATTTGGCAATCGGGCCAACGGTCTTTAGGGGGGTTATTGGGAGATGGATTTATAAGAATTCTTAAAATTTTCAGAAACCTTTGTTATTGATTTATGAATTTTAATAATCTTATTCAAATCTATTATTATTGGTTTGATGATTTTAAAAGTCCATCTAAAATCCATTGTTATTCAAAAAGTTTGTGTTTTAATGATGTCAAGAATCCATTAAAATCCTTGTTATTGGGATATGGATTTTAAACAATTTAACTCATGGAACAAGATTTCCAAAATACTACTTATAACCCTTAGATTTTCAAAATCCATTATAACAAAATATTTTGATTGAATTTATGAATATTCAAATTCTCTCCAAATCTAACATAAACTCTTTATAAATTTAACAAATCTCTTAACTCTTAAAAATTTATCAACTCTATACAAATTCATCTCACAATAACCTCCTCCTAAGAGTATTCTTTTGACCATTCAATTTTGTTGTTGAAAAATAGTCAACAAAAATCTCTTTTCATTAATGTTGATAATATGGCAATTAAGTGAGAAAATCAATATGGTAAAACTAATTGCATGTTGAATCATTATGGTGAGAATAAATTCTCAATTCCACTTTATTGCATTATATTGGAATATGTTGTGCATAATGCTATATAAAGCATGTCTCTCATTCTCTTGTGAATATGATTATTACACATCAAACAACAAGAAAAAAAATTCCTCACTTCCTCTTCTTTTATTTGGTTTTCTTATGAGAGTATAAAACAGAAAATATATATGGTTTGCAGGCTTATGTTTTGGGTGATGCAAACATAAGAAGTATGCAGTTTTATCTTGGGATTCAGAACGCTATGCAACCGTCACACTATAGGGTGTTTACATAATTAGAAAGAGATAATATCTCGACTCTGCGAATCCGGTTTTATTTCCTTAATTCTTATTTATTATATCATTTTAATATTGTAAATATATTAATTTGTTTATATATTTTACTTTACATTAATCAGTCGCCCCATTGTAGAAATTGTGTTCCTACAATGATCATCAATCAATATATTCAATTATTTATATAGATGAGATATACATATATAGAATCGACATTTTATTCATTGTTTTAAAACAAAGAAGATGACACTAGAATTAAAACAAAAGGCTCTTTTTTCTCTCCCAGGCACGTTTCGCGAGAGAGGTCCATAGTCAACTTCTGTCCTTTTCAAACAACCTTCTACCCGGAAAATCTTTCCCGTTTTAGGTGGTTTTTTCGAATAACCTAAAACCTTGGTTTTAAACGCCCGGGTTCCACCCCCGACTTAGAGTCGGAGGGTCCTCAACACCGCCGGTAAGCCTCCTTAACCTACACACACGAATCCGTTTCCTTAGATCTTGAAGGTCAGATTCTCGCACAAGCTCTACACTACTCGGAGAAACCAACAACGGAAAAGAGGGATCCTACAAACCTCTACAACGTAGCAAGCAAGCAAGACACATCATGAGAAGACAGATCTCGTGGGACGAGAAGGGGAAAGGGAAGATGGTGGACCAAGCACCACCGAGGATCCGAGTGAAAGCGCCAAATCTGGATACAACAACCCTAGTCAAGAAGCACGAGCTCACGCTCATCGGCAGAGTGACAAATCCCCAAGAACAACAGATGAGAAAAATGTTTCCTTACTTGATAAGGAAATGGAAACTGAAGGGGAACGCAGTGGGGTCAGATATGGGACGCGACTGCTTCCAGTTCTAGTTCGAGCTAAAAGAAGACCTGGAGAAAGTGCTGGCTAACCGACTGTACCACTACGAGCACTGGATGCTTATCCTACAGAGATGGGAACCAATCATATCACCGACGTTTCCAGCCTATATACCCTTCTGGATAGAGCTACAAGGGATACCGCTACACTACTGGCAAAGAGATCTACTATACAGTATAGGCGAAGAACTAGGAGGAATGCTGAAGCACGAAATTACCTCCACAACAGCAAGAATCAAAGTCCTCATCAATGGACTCCAGCCGCTGGTGAAAGAGACTGTCATTGAATATTCGGATGGAGCAGAATCCATTGTCTCTCTGGAGTATGAAGGCCTCGAAAACCACTGTAGGATTTGCTACAGGCTGACTCACGACACCTACAAATGCCAAGAAACAAGAGGAGAGGGTCAAACTACAGAACCAACGGAAAGAAGAGAGCGGCCACTACACAACCATCAGGAAACTCAACCCAAAGGAGGAGACTTTAACAAAAGAGTAGACAGGTACGACAAACCTTTTGGAGTCCGGGCCTCACAGAAAGAAAGAAATGCAGAGGAGGATAGCTACGGGAGAAACCAAACCAGTCGCTGGACTGACTCTCCGGGCTACCGCAGAGAGAGAACCCCACCTCGGACAAGTCAACGCAACTACCAACCTACTGATCTACGACAAACCCTACAAAGCAGAGGAGAGGAACGACGCAGACATCAACCAACACAACAAATATGGAGGGAAAAAGAAAGAGATGCAAGAAGAACACCACCGAGGAGAGAGGAGTCAACGACGTCAAGACCTAGCCAGAACCCACTGGGGAGAACACTGGACTTCATGGGTTCTCCAAGCACCCACACAATACCAACATTGGAGGAGGCTATGGCAGACCTCCAAGAGGTCACGGTCCGGTACGTTAACTGCGGGGACCCAGTAGAAAGTGAAGCACATAGGCAACAAGTACTTCAAGGAGAAATGGAGGGACTAATGGCCACTACAGCTGCAAACATGGTGGCAGCGGCAGCAGCGTCAGCTCAAGCATATCAAGAACAAATACAAGAGCAACAAACACAAATACAAATTCAAGGGGAGACGCAGGGCAACTACACCAGGAGGAGGAGAGACTACATGTGCCTGCAGTACAAAAAAGAGGACGACCACCACTCGCTAGGAAAACCGTGGGAAAGAGCCCTATGAGATTTACGGGAACGAGTTTAGCGTCAAGGAAAATGAACCTGATACAGAAAGCACCAAGGAGACAGAAGGCACAAGCATCACAAACCGCTAACACAGGAGCATCTACGAGTAGGACGCCAACCCAAAAGCAAAGAACAATCACTACCACTCCGACCGGCAATGCAACAAGACCACCACTAGCTCCATCACCCAATCCCATCACCAGATCTGTGGATTTTCAGAATCCACCAGATCCTCTTCCTTAAAAGTGGCAGCGTGGAACTGTTGTGGTCTGGGGAACCCACAAACAGTTCGAAGACTCAGAGAGATTCACACTAGTATCTCTACTGATATTTTCTTCCTCACTGAGACAAAAAACACAGATGAAATTGTTCTCAGTAAATTCCAAAGGATGGGATATGCGGCACATGTTCTGGTCTCACCTCAGGGACACGGAGGAGGGGGTTTGGCTCTTTTCTGGAATCAAGATATCGAGATCGAGACTCTACACACCTGCAAGAACTTCATAGATACAAAGATCAGAGCACAAGGCAAATATTTCTATATAACCTTCGTGTATGGAGAACCGGGCAATACTCAAAGACAACGAGTTTGGGACGAGATAAGAGAACAAAGTGGGAAATAGATCTGAACCTTGGTTATTGACGGAAGACTTCAATGATATCATAGATGCCTCAGAGAAAAGAGGAGGACCACCACGACCTGAAGGATCTTTTGTCGAATTCAGAACCTTCATGTCAGAATGCGACTTGTATGACTTGAGATACTCAGGTAACTTCCTATCCTGGAGGGGACAGAGAAATGAACACTTGGTCAGATGCAGGTTAGATAGATCTATTCAAACAGTGCATGGGCAGAAGAATACCCAACGAGAAGAAGTGAATACCTTCAGTTTGACGGATCAGATCACCGACCAATCATCACAATATTTGACCCCCTGAGGAAGAAGAAAAAGGGTCTATTCCGGTATGATAGACGGCTGCGATCAAACGAAGAAATCCAGAACCTGATCTTCATTGCCTGGAACGCAAGAACCTTAGATACAGTGGAGAAAAAGATCAGTAGATGCAGGAGTGAAATCATAAAATAGAATAAGGAGAAGCATCAAAGCAGCAGGAAACTGATAGAGGATTACCGCACTAAACTGGAAGAGGCAATGGTAAGTCCTCTACCAAATCAGGCGCTGATAACAAGCATCAACAACGAACTGCAGATAGCGTAAAAGCAGAAGAGAGCTTCTGGAAACAAAGGAGTCGACAATTGTGGCTTGCATTGGGAGATAAGAAGACGGAATATTTCCATGCAGCAACAAAGGGGAGAAAAGACGTCAATAAATTTTCGGTTATTGTAGATGAAGGAAACAATACAATATATGAAGAGGAAAAAATCACTGCAGTAATAACGAAGTTCTACCAAGAATTGTTTACCTCTCAGGAGGGAGAGTGCCATGAAACAGTGAGAGAAGCGCTAGAACCATGCATTACGGAGGAGATGAATGCCAGATTGATAGCAACCCCAACACCAGAGGAAATAAGAATGGCATGCTTCTCCATTCACCCAGGGAAAGCCCCAGGACCGGACGGATTCTCAGCCTGCTTCTTCCAGTCAAACTGGAACACGGTGAAAGAGAAAGTCATATCTGAGATCCAAGACTTCTTCGCTTCCGGAAACCTGCCAGGGAACATAAATGCAACACATGTGAGGCTTATCCCCGAAGATAAAAAGCCCAAAGAAAGTTGCAGACTACAGACCGATAGGGCTCTGTAATGTATACTTCAAATTATCTCGAAGATTCTTACCTTGAGGCTGCAACCTAGTTCTCAATGAGATTGTCACAGAGAACCAGTCGGCTTGTTCCTCAGAGAGCCATCTCGACAACGTACTCATCACCCACGAGACGCTCCACTACCTAAAAACATCAAAGGCACAAGTCAGATGCTACATGGCAGTGAAAACGGACATGAGTAAAGCCTATGACAGAATAGAGTGGAATTTTGTAAAGGAGGTAATGGAAAGACTGGGTTTCACAGTAAGTGGATACACTGGATTATGCAATGCTTAAGCACAGTCACTTATTCTTACCTGATAAATGGAGCTGCCCAAGGTCACGTAACTCCGAGCAGAGGCTTGCGGCAAGGAGACCCGCTCTCACCGTACATCTTCATCCTATGTAGCGAGGTGCTCTCGGGCTTATGTATCCGTGTTGAGAAGGAAGGGAAGCTATCAGGGATAAAGTAGCAAAACGTAGCCCGCGAGTCAATCATCTCCTGTTTGCGGATGACACGATGTTCTTCTGTCGATCAGACCCTCAGAGTTGTCAAGAGCTCAAGAAAATCATACAGAAGTATGAGACAGCCTCGGGACAGAAAATAAACAAGGAAAAGTCAGTAATCACCATCTCCTCCAAAACAAACAATGAAACAAGAACAAGTGTCAAGACAGCACTAGAAATTCAGAAGGAAGGAGGATTGGGGAAGTATCTCGGCTTACCCGAACACTTTGGCAGGAAGAAGAAGGATCTCTTTAGTATGATCGTAGATAGAATCAGGCAAAAAGCGCATAGCTGGTCTTCAAGTCTACTGTCTCAGGCAGGACGGTTGACAATGTTAAAATCTGTACTTGCAACCATGCCCACATACACGATGACCTGCTTCAAGCTCCCAGCTTCCTTGTATAAGCGTATTCAGTCAGCTTTAACGTGCTTCTGGTGGGACGGAAACCAAGAAAACAAAAAGATGAGCTGGATATCATGGAAGAAAATGATAAAGTCAAAACGAGATGGCGGTCTGGGTTTCAGGGACTTACAACACTTCAACGATGCTCTTCTAGCAAAAGTAAGCTGGAGAATCCTCAGTACACCTTCGTGCTTACTTGCACGAATCCTCCTGAACAAGTACTGCCATGACAAAAGCTTCCTGGAGTGTGGAACACCAACGACAGCCTCCCACGGTTGGAGAGGAATTTGTATAGGAAGAGACCTTCTGAAACCTCATCTTGGGAAGATCATTGGAGATGGGAAATCGACAAATATTGGACTGAACCGTGGCTATCACTTGATGAGCAATGTAGTCCGATGGGACCGGCTCCCCAACATACAAAGGAATTCCAGGTAGCGGACCTCATCTCACCTACAACAGGAACATGGGATCAGGAGAAAATAAAGGCCATTGTACCACACCACGAGAAACAGATTCTAGAGCTAAGACCAATCAAACTAGGTGGCAAAGACAAGCTAGTCTGGCTACATACCGAAGAAGGAATCTATACAACAAAGTTTGGCTACTATGAACGGATTAAGCAAGAAGAGGAGAAGAGCTTGGAGGGAAACAATCTAGATATGGAGGGAGAACAACCACGACAACTCAATGGCTTCAAGTGGAATGAAGAAATTTGGAAAGTACACACAGGGGAAAAACCAAAATCTTTATGTGGAAAGCAATGAGAGGAGCCATACCCGTGGGAGAGAACCTAAGGCTGAGAAACGTGAATGCTCTGGTTAGATGCCCACACTGCAGCGAGGAGGAAACGACGCTCCATCTACTGTCCACTGTGCCTTCGCACAGGAAGTCTGGAGACTTGTGCCTTGCGCCCAAACCTTGGACGTCCAAGGAATCCAGACCCTGAGAATGGGAGTGGAGGAGACGAGGAAGCTCATATGTTTACCACCCACAGGCGTGGGATCTGGACCAATATCAGCTTGGGTACTATGGGCTCTCTGGAAAAGCAGGAACCAAAAGATCTTCAACGGGAATGAACGCCAATTCACACCGGAGGAAACCACTACACAGGCGATTTCCAATGCCAGAGAATGGCAATCGGCGCAATTGGGAATCGAAAACAAGCACACCGGAACGCGGAGGAAAGATCAGAGACCGATCCGGATGCATGCAGTGAGATGCAATTCAGATGCAGCTTGGAGAAAGGAGACAAAGACAGCCGGAATGGGATGGTGCTTCAGCAACGATAGAGGAGAACCACTGGGTCACGGATCCACAACGAGATCGGTCGTCCGGTCACCTCTAATGGCGGAAGCACTAGCGCTGCTTGGAGCGCTCCACCAGGCTCGAAACGACGGCCACAACCACATCACAGTTGCTTCAGATTCGCAAAAGCTGATCGGAGCAATTAACAGAGGAGATCCTTCAAAGGAGCTTCACGGGATTCTACATGATATCCTAGAATTTTCACAATCTTTCATCGCAATTTTTTTCAGCTTTGTTTCGAGAGACGAGAACGTTTTGGCTAATAGACTAGCGAAAAACGTTTTGGCTGATCTCAATCAGAGACCGGTTTAAGGAAATTAATGAATGAAATCGTATTTTGCACAAAAAAAAAAAAGAATCTGACATTTTTTGTTCTTTGTTTGTGTATAAACTACATTGACTCAGATACACACAGTTCGACAAATTAAAAATCGATCTAGGACCATTTATTTATATAAGTAGTATCGTCTCACTTATTTTAAAATGAATCAGTCTATACGTAATACGTCCTTATTTTGAATAAATCATACTTATACGAGGTTCTTTGTTTGTCTAATAGATTTCCTTGCATGTACCTTAATTCATATAATTCTTTCCCACATGCATAACTAATATCAATAATTTTTTAATATCAATATATTCGTTTCCTGGCCTTTTGTCAAAATAATAAATGTAATAATAAAATACAGTTAAATAAATAATTTGTTTCCTGACGAGACTATCGAAAGAACCGAACTCAGCTAACAATTTTATATATACTTTTTGTTTGCCTACTTATTTCTGTCGATTTTTTCAAAAGTAAATTTATAACCAGAAGTTGTGTAGAAAGTGTAACAATAATGGGTTCTGACATAGAGACATCGTGTGCATAGTGGCATAAATAATAAAACAGAGCGCTGTATTGATATATTTGATTTTTTCTATTTTACATAATGCTAAACAAAACATTTCACCAAGTAGCTATAGCTTAGAGCATCCTAATGGTAAAAAAATCTTAGGCAAAGTTTAGAGCATATGCATTAGAGAGCTAGGAAATGAGCTCTATAATAATAATAAAAAAACAGATTTCAGTAAAAGCAAAAAAAAGAGAAAAAGAAAACAGATTTAACTAATCATGGAGTAACACATGTAGAGTTTTGTTGAAGAGGCGTTTCTTTAAACTCTACTAGGAGAGTCGGATCTGTTTTTCTTGAGTGACACATCATTTCCTTTTAATTATTTTCTTTATTTTTGCAGAGCAGAACCTCTTGTAGTCTCTCCAATGCGGATGTCCTTAGAGGTAACAAAATCGAGTGCCTATTACATGTTGTAGTTTCGGATCTAGGGGAATCTAGGGGATATACGGATTTTGGTCTAAAACCTCCGAGTAATTCAAAAAAAATAAATAATAATAAATAAATAAACAAAACATTTCGACAAACAAAAAAAACTTTAATCACGTGTACAACAACTTCGTAGTTACAAAAATAGATAGTTGCACTTGCACTATCAAGAAGCATATAACTTGATTAAATATTACAACAAGTCATATACAATTATCTATTTGTTGTCTTTCCTATGACATGGAATAACTTTATGCATCCCACTCCAGCTGACCGTGAAGAGCTCCAATTGGTGAATGTCAGATCTGTTACAACAGAGAGCTGAGCTTTTGTGATTGCAAGTTTCTAATCAGAGCTATGCTATTTGGATCAGGGAAGCTTTGATAATGTCGAAACTCTCTTTTTCTCTTTTTTCGTCAAAACTTTCTTGTATGGATGTTATTGGTAATGGTATATTCTATGGTCGAAAAATAATGATGGTAAAGAAGCGATATAATTAATTTAGTTTTAAACATTTTATAGAATAACTAGGTCGAAAGCCTGCACTATGCGAGGTGGTGTTGTTACTTTTTCTTCGTATACTTTGTTTTTTCATTTTTGTAACAATAGTTTTTTAAACTAAATATGATGTTTTCTTTTACACGAACTTGACCCAAAAACCCCGGATCCATATGTAAACCATTTTACAACCAGATTTTAACAACTTTTTGATGGAATTGGTGGTTTCTTTTTCCAAAATTTTGATGATAAATCTAAAACGTAAATTGATCTTTTTGCAGTTACCAAAACATAAAAAAGGGATTACATTGTGAGAGAGTCATCTTCTCTCTCGAAACCAATCACAAAAACATGAAAAAACAGTGTTAGCTGAAGTAAAACAGACACATACGATTGATTTGCAGATTCTCAATCATAGAAATAAGAGTCTAATTTTTATTACCAATAAGAAACAGAGCTTGTGATAATGGAAAGTGCCACTACAAGACTAATGAAGAAGAAAGAGATGGAGGCACAGACCTCATTCCTCTGAACATATTTAACCGAGCAGCTTCTTCGTGCTTCACTAACCTCAACGTTTTCCATCTTCAAGCCCCGGTGCATAGCAGGATGACTCTTCCCCGCTGCTGCATATGTTCTAATCAACGATTCAAAGATCTCTGCGCCTATCTTATTCTTCACCTTCTTTAAAATCTCCACCAAACTCTCAGCTCCGTTAACATCTTTCTTCTCCTCAAAACGGCTCAACAAAGTCCTGACGGTATCCACTTGCCACCCTCTCCTTTTGCAACCGAAAGCGCCTTCGACATACATTCCAGCGCTAGAGTCGATTCAAGGTTGTATTATTTCATCGATTCTTAAAGAATGAAAAACCGTCCACATCAGTATGTTAGAAAAGACGACATAAGAAATAGAGTATAGTACAGAAACTCATTACAGCATGTGAAGACAGAAATGTCGAGACAAATATAAACCTGATATGAAATGCACAGACAGAAGCAACATGGAGGAAAGTCTGATGGTCAATCAGTGCTGCAGCAGTAGACTCCACAGTTTTGCTTCCCATGGAGACCGCATAAGCTCTTTTTGCCTTCACATGATAAGAAAATGGACAAGCTAAAAAAATAAGCATATACACCCTATATGGAGAACTTGTCTCAATGCTTTGTTTGTCAATCCACATTCGTATTAAAATAATGGAAATCAAAGCAACGTTAATGAGCCGCATCAATATTCCAACTTCAAATTTCCCTAAATTATCCATCCATTTGTGTGCTATATAATTTTTGAAACTACGATCTATAAAATTTCCCTCATACTTTAAAAGAAACATAAGCAAGGTGGAAATGGGAGAATGAAGGAACAAAAATTGTGGGAATTATAAAATTGAAAAGACGCTATGAGAAGAAGGGAGGTAGAGATACATATATATTGAAAGAAGAGGAATTCTTGAAGTTATTGATGGTATTTTCACAAAGAGAACAACTATTTTCTTGAGATTGCCTACGTTTCTTAACCTTGGCCTTAGCCATGTCACCTACAGAAACAGAAGACAATCAATTGGGAAGACACTGATGTAAAGATTCTCAGAACATGAATTGCCTAGAAGGCTCGGTACAGCTGCCATCAGAGGTAACATCGTGAATTTGTTAGCAGACTTACCTGTACGGCTGAAGTGGAATACCATGAGATACAGCTTGGGGAAACCTGTAGTTTGAAATTGAAAAACAGATACAGCTTAAATGTTTGGAGGATACTTTTGCGATAAATTTTGAAGGAAGGGATGATATTATCAGATGCAAGTAATGAGGTGGTAAGGGAGTATACAATAGAAGTAGAGGGTGAAAGCTATATGTGACTAAAACTCCTCTTCATACCTACGTAAGGAATGGCAGTGACAGTCTCCAATGTCATACCTTCGACCATGAACCTTTTGGTTGTCTCTTTGTGCTTATTGTCTCTCCTCTTGCTTTAGCAGCAGCCTTGAGCTCATCGTTCTTCTTCTTCCTCAGCATAAACTCCTCTTCACACCTTGACAGGTGCACGTGCTCCACACGCACATGGATCCTCTTCCTTATTATCATGTTCCCAATCTAAAACACCAACACCAAAACACATAAGCCACACTCAAAAGTTAGATTTACATGATATTACATTACATCAAAAACACTACAAATAGCAAAACAAACAAATAGCAAACACAAATCTTATATATATCACAATCCAATCTGTTCTAACACCAATTCAACAGTCATCCCTTTAATATAACCATTGTCGATTGAGCAACTAATACAAACAGCAAAACCAAAGCATAGCATAAGAAGGACCCGTTTCAAGATAAAACACCATTTACCCTCCACAAAAAATACTTGAATCCTATAAACCAATACAAATTCGCATATTTCATCATTTGAAACAGATAACTCGACAGAAACCAATCAAACCCATACCAAAGAATCACAATCCAATCTAAACCCTAATTGAAAAATCAACACTTTCTCCAACAGTGCCGAATTCACAATCCGAACCCAAAAACAAATCAAAACTGAACAAAATTTAAACATTTACAGACTTGTTTGTTGACTTGGACACCAACGGCGCGTTTGGTCACGTTCCAGATTCAGCCGGTACGTCCATGGTAGAACTTGTGAGGCATAGCCTTGTGAATAGCTCCGTTAACAGTGACTGGACAATCACTCCATCGCCTACCTTCGAGGAAACCCTTTAAATTTGCAAAAAGAAATTCGATTCACTCCCACACCTAAATGCGGATTTGGGGTTAGAAACAGAGGAGAATTGTAAAGTATCGTAAGTTTGTTACTGAATGAACTAGGGATTAAAAGCCCCCGCAAGCGCGGGGTTGTTTGCCACAATTTTTCTGTTTGATTTTATTTATATTCGTTGATTTGAAATTTTGAATTATGAAGATTATATGTTAACTTCCATGTTTTGGTTATATTTTGAGTTAACCCAACAATTAACACTAACAATATGATCAATTTTTTATTAAAATATTAACACCTTACTTCATCTCGAGTTTTCTATTTCTAAAATTTAATATGCATTTGACTCAACGTTAAAATTTGTAAATATGGTGTAGAAACGCAATTGCACTCAAAATATGATAAAAACAAAAACATGTATAACTTCTTACATATATGCTTTGTTGTGGTAGCATATAACAATTGCTTATTTTCTATTATGTTAGTTTTGTAAATATAAATTGTATTTTTGAAACAAACATGTCACCATTCTTAAAATTTTCATACTTTTCGTTGCAATGAAATTTAAATAATAACTCGACTTCTATTTTTTTGAAAAACAAAAACATGTATAACTTCTTACATATATGCTTTGTTGTGGTAGCATATGACAATTGATTATTTTCTATTATGTTAGTTTTGTAAATATAAATTGTATTTTTGAAACAAACATGTCACCATTCTTAAAATTTTCATACTTTTCGTTGCAATGAAATTTAAATAATAACTCGACTTCTATTTTTTAATAAAACAAACTCTAACTCTAATTTTTTATTAGCTTTTTACTATGTTAAATAATTTATATTGTACCTTTTTTACTTGTAAGCACATTATAACATTTTTAAATAGGATAAATCCTTTGAGTTAAAACCTAACTATATACTATTTCAAGTTAAATATTTCTTTATTTCATCTCCATTTTATATTACAACTTTCTTTTAACTTTTAACATCAAGATATCACATACTTTATATTAATCAATTAAATTGTTTGTGTATTTTTCTTAGTTTTGTTTATGTGTAAAATAGGAATATATATAAAGAAATATTAATACACATATATTAAATATCTTAAATACAATTAATGATTTTTTTGCTGATGTGGATAGCCTAGGAGGAGAGAGCAACTCTCCTATTATATATAAGATGCAGGGATTGGGAGAAGATGAACGTGAAGTTAAAAAGTCAGAATTTTAAAAAGTTAGAAATTATGTGAGCATGCCACGTGGTCATCTCTCCCGTGCTGACGTGGCGGTCAGCTGAAAAGATGGCCATCTTTTATAGTATAGGATAAACTATCACATTGTTTGGAGCTTAGGCCTAAGTATATCAATCACTATAACCAATCAAAGGGATATTACATATATGATAGTACAAAAATGATATTACAAAAAATGACAACATTACAAGGAAAAATTATAGTACAAGAGTTGTAACATTGGCACAAGTGTAATGCTAATTTGGTAGAGTATTTCAACAACAAAGTGATGGTAAACAATATTCTTCTTTAGTTATTCAATGAAAAAATAATAATAATTGGACCAATCAAATACAATTTTAGAATCCTATGTGGACACCTTAAGAGGCATATTAGGTCAACTTTTATTAGTAATAGATTTTTGAATAATGATTTATCATAACAAAACAGACATTTATTAAAACAAATACTAGAAAACTGCTTATATACTCTTAATTATTAGATATTTTATTTTGTATGTGTTGGTAAAATTGACCTGGATATGAATTGAAACATAGCTAAAAGTATAGAGGAATAGAACTGAATTACAAATAGTTTTACTCGGTTTATAGATAAAACAGAAAACTGCAATTGCACATATTTTAGTTTGCAATGTTTTTCCAGCCTCCTTGACTAGTTCTTTTGAAACCAGAGCAAACGTGAGTGTGTGAGTTTATCCATGAATATTTAGCATCTCTAAACCTTACAAAATCGATCTTTTGTGTTTGCATTTGTTTTTGTGATTACAGTTTACTTGTTATATTAACTTGGTTAGTGAAATATTATAATGATCAATGTAGTCAACATTTTAAAAATCTAAATTTTAGGTAATATTCTCTTAATTCTCCGGTTTGGTACTTTTTAAAGATCGAAAACTGTAAAGATTTCTTCTCTTTTCAAGTTTTAAATGTTTATGTTGGCTTTATTAATTGCTTCGTTTAGTTAATTCACAAGAACTTAAGAGTAGCTTTGTATATTTCCAAATCCCATGTGTTCTTTGAAACTGGATGAAATTATTCTTCGTGATGTGCTTTCAAAGATGAAGAATCTCTTCAACTCACTTCTGTTTGATTGAGAATATGCCTGAGCAAGAAGAGACATTTATCAATTACTCAACTGTGTTTTTTTTGCTTTTTCTTCTCTGTGGTTTGATAAATCAGAAGCATGTGAAATCGGACTGTTACTAGAATGTATCTTCAACAACAATCTCTTTCAATTGTGTAGAACATTGAGGAGAGAGTAGTGAAATATTAGTCTTGACAAATGCTTGAAGACTGCAAACAATTGTGGCCGATTAAGATAGCAACACAACTGTTGCTGACATATGAGTTTGTACAAAAATCATTGACAACAAAAAAAAGCCACATGTAATAAAAAATGATTGGAGAAATTTATAAACAAAATATTACGAGGTGGTTCGCCCGCGCCTTGCGCGGGCATGAGATGTTTTTGAAATAAAAAATATTTATAAAATGAAAATATTTTTTCATAATTCAAACATCACAATAATTTTTAAAACTGACAAAAAAAAAGAAAAATATTAAAATATGGCTATAAAAATAATCTAGATATTCAAATCAAACCAAATATTCTAGAAAACTTTTTTCATTCTTTTACATAATTTTCTTCATTTATTTTGAGAAATACAAAAGTTTTCCCACTTCTTGTTTTCTTCTCCCTCTTATTCTTCTCCAATGATTTCATCTTTTTTTTTCATTCAATTTTATATTCGCTCTCATCATCTTTTTATTCTTCTAATTTTTGTTTTTTAATTTTTTTGTCTCTTCATATCCTCAAATTCACTATTCTTTTTTTTTTCTAATGCTTTTACATTTTTTCCGGTTTTTTTTGTTCCTCATTACCCTCTCTCTATCTTTATCATCTTCGTCTTTTGTGAAATCATATTATTCTAGTTCTTATCTTTTAACTCTTCTTTATCAGATTATTTAACTCTTCTTTATATTTTTTTCTCTTCACATTTCATTTCTTCTTCTTTGATTTCTTTTTCCTCATGTTCGAGTTTTCTTATTTTTCTCCAAATTTCTCATCTTCTTTTTCACTATCTTCTTTTATTTTACCCGTATTTTTATTAGTTCTTGTCTACGTCTTTTATTTCATCTATAATTAAAATTTTCACCTATAGTTCAAAGATTTGTGAAATCGTTTTTATCTTTATATAGTCGAGATCTTTTGAAAATTGTATTGGTTTTATTATCTTTTGATTCTGGATTTGCTTTAATTGTTTTATTTTTTTATTAGTGAATGCAATTTAGACTATAAATTTATAACCAATGATTTTTAATTATGATATTCCTCGTAATATTCAAAATTTTAAAAATGCACCAAAAACTAAACCCTACACCTATCAATATAAACCCTACACCCTAAACACAAACCCCCACAGTATAACACTCCCCCTCCGCCGAAACCCTAAACCCTACATCCATTAATATAAACCCTACATCCTAAACCCAAACCCCACAGCATAACACCACCCCCTCTCCCCCCTCGAAACAACAAACCCAAAACCAGTGTAACACCACCCCCTCAACAACCCTACACTCTAAATCCAAACCCCATATTATAATCGTCCCCCAAATCGCAAACTCAAACCCCACATTTTACAAATTGGTTATGGATTTGCTTTTATTTATTTATAAGATTTGTTTTAATCGGTAATATAGTGTATTCAATTTTTTTTTTTAAATGCACCAAAAACTAAATCTTACGCCTATCAATATAAACCATACACCGTAAACCCAATCCTATTTTATCGGATATTTTTTACTTTGTCTTTTACTTTTATGATATTTTTTCCTTTATTTCTATAGTTTTTTCTTATTCTTATCAAAATTTATATTCTCTTTTTCTTTTCCTCTTTCTTCATCGTCATCATTTTATTTCCTGATTTTTATTCTTTTTATTTACAATCTGTTTTTCAACTGGCTTTGTGTTCTTATTCTTCATTCTTTTTATCTTTTGATTTTTCCAATTTCTTTATTATTCAGAAATTCCTCAATTATATTCTTCTTTTTTTGTTTTTTTCGTCTTCCAACTTTCGTTTTTTCCTTATTTTTGTTCAGGTTTTTCTTCTTATTTCATCTTGTATTTTTCATCATTTTATATTATTAATCTTTTTCGTTTTTACAACATCTTATTTATCAGTTTCGTGTTCCTCTTTATTTTCTTTTATTTATTTTTTCATCCTTTCCATATTCCCAAATGTCTTCTTCGTCTTTATTTTTTGGTTGAACTTTATCTTATTTTTAGCTTTTCTTCTTTCTCAAATATTTTCTTTCATTCTTTACGACATTCGTCTTCTCATTGTATTCTTTTTCTTTATATTATCCCAAATTTATCTTCTCCTTCTTCTATTCCCTCTTCTATCTCTTCATTATCATTTTTTTCCCCATTTTTGATACTTTTATTGCATGTATATATATATATATATATATATATCTCTTATTCCTTGTCTTTTTTTCATCATTTTTTAAAATTTTATTTCATTATATTCTTTTTCATTTTTGTTTATCATAATTCTTTTTCCTCGTATTGTTTTTCTCTTCTTCAATATCTTCACTTTCTTTTTATTTATCTTCAGGTTCTGACTTATTATTCTTGTGACTTAGCAAAAGTTATAAAACATTCATTTCTCTCCAAACATTTTTATCAATTGGAAATGAAGGGTTTTGTTCCAACAATACTACTAACTTTGCACCCCAAAAAAACAATACTACTTTGAAATGTTTCATGTTTATCAACATTAACAAAGTTTCGATAAATCCATTATAATTCTTTATTCTCTATTTTTTTCTGTAAATCTATTATGATTTGATGATTTAAAAGCTATTAACAGATTAAATCAAATGATTTATTCATATGTGTTTTAATGTGAAACATTTATAGTTTTCTTCTATCTGTAATTCTTTTTTATGCCTTCCTTGTCTTCATTTTTGTCATCTTCATCTTCTCTTTTTTATTTATGTCTTATTTCTAATTTCTCTTCTTTCTCCTATTTTTTCTCTCTTTTTCTTTATTTCCGTTGTTTACATTTTACTCTTCACTTTTTTCTTTGTCTTGACTTTTCCTTCTTTTTTTTTCCGGATCCAGTTTCTCTTCTTCCGGTTTTACTTTTTCTCATTATAAAATTTTCATTCTTTTGACATCGTTTCTTTTTCTTTTTCTTATTAGTATATTCTTTTTGTTATTTCTTCTTCATCATCTTCTCATTCTTTTTATTTTTCATCATCTTTCATCTCTTAAAATATCTTGATCACCACCATATATTTGGAGTCATCTTCTTGGTAAGCTTCTTTTACAGAGTCTTCTTCACTCTCCATGCTAACGACTGGCAGTTTTCCATAATGGTTGGCATCATCTTCACCCAACCATCATCTGTATCTAGCTCATAGTCACATTCAGTGAATCTATCCGGTCTCACATATCTTCTCTTGGACCGACGCAGTTCCATTACCTCATCTTATACATGGTAAAACTCGGTTTCTTGATTTGTTTCAAAATCTTGAGAATCCTCGGCCCACAGGGTTAAACTGAACCACTATCGATAGTGAAACACCGTCTTCCTCTGTGGTATTCATCCAACTCAAAGAGCTGCTGCTGCTGGAGCCTTCTTCATCTGTTACAATCTTATAAACAATCTTGGTCTGCACTGTTCTTATGTGAAACACAATGTTTTTCATGATCTAAGCAACATCCAACCACGAAAGATCCGGCAAAAACTTCCCCAAGGACAGTCTTGTTTTCATCAGTGAAGTGCAGTCCTCAGAATCTCCACATGTAGTGCTGGTCAGTGATTTGTTCCTTGAAAAACTTTTGGAGAGTGGAGATTTGGTTTAGCCCGAATCTTTGTTGATCCTTTCTCTCTCCGATCCAATGCATCCCTGGTCAATATAAATCCTGACATGAATCTTGCAAGAGCATTCAGATTTTTCATGAGACTCCCTTTCTATTGAAACAATCTTTGCGTCCACCCAAACTTATGCAAGAAACAAACAGGTATATATATAATTATATATCATAGAGCTACATGAACAAAGTATAATCAAATTCAAGAAACTGCAGAGCTACACATTTACCGATTCCAAGTCAGAGAACACAAACATCAATACTGGGACGAAGGAAAAAGATACAATCTCTCAAAGTGGCCTTTCTTGATCGGAGACGAAGCTTTTGGAAGGGACAAATATCTTCCAACACATAGGCGTTTTCCAACAGATGTATTACCATCTCTCCATCATCGATCGTTATGTATTCCACAGCTTTCCATGTATTTGAGCAGAAGATCTCGAAAGCTAAAGTGTATAAACCGGTATTTTAGTTTAAAAAATATTGCTCAAAGTAATCTAATCCACACTTTGGCATCTATAAAAATAGATAGCAACATAGTAGGAAGCAACCAAGACCGAAGTATACACACGTAATGTACTGTTGGTCACACGCATAACATTAATGAATTTTCCAAGAAACGAATAAGCTTGCAATGAGCAGAAACAACACCGAACTACCTTATACCAAGTGCTCCAATTCTCACTTCGATCCATCATCATACAGATCCACATACCCTGTAAAAAATACTCATGAATCCTCCAATATACCAATCAACAAAAAGGTAGCTTGAGTCACAAGTTATAATAATTAGAAAACCCATCTTTCTCAAATACTATGTTTCCTTCTTGTAGCGAGAAACCCAGTCTTCAAGCTCATTCAACAAATTCGAATCTTCAGTAACCTTATCCTTCAATCCCTTGGTGCTACTTGACTCCACCAAATCATCACTATGATCAAAATTGTTGTTTTTGTTTCGAGTTTTTGTACATGTCTTAGAAGAATTCGGATGCAAACGCCAATCTCATCACCTATAGTCTTTGTTTCTGATCGGCAACAGGTTTAGCCCGTTCACCAAATCTAAGGGTTCTCATTCTTTTTGTGTTTCTCAGTTACAAAAAAAAATTATTAGTAAATATAGTCTAAAGAAACTGTTTGATAAGTAACCAACTAAACTTTCTTACCAGTTAGGCAGTCACCAAGTTCTTGGGACATCAGTGTGTTCAAGTATGTCGCGACGATGATGACAACTCTCGACCCGATTTTCCGACAATCATCACCAATCTCAACATGTAATCAACGATTAATGTTTAGTGCAATAGCGTTGGGCCGAGTGCCTCCTGATTACTCTGCCGCCAAGAGGAATTTACAGCAGCCAACAATCAAGGTCTTCTCATCTCATCAATCTAAAGACCGTCTAACATAGTTAGGTTTACAAAAACATAATACTACTATTGATATAGTAATTAACATTTATTTTGTGTTCTTTACCGACTTATTATTCTAATAGAAACACTATCTCCATGAAACCTAGAAACACAACACAATCAAATCACCACCCTGACTTATTATTTTGATTGTCCATGAAACCTAGAAACAACACAATCAAATCAACGGTCTAATAACAATCTCATAAACAAACAAAAACGTATATCAACAAAGAAAAGATAAAAACCAGCCCTGAAATTACAGGAAAAAAATTATCTACGAAATAAACAAAAATTTGAAACCTGCAGAGCTAAAACATCTATGACTTTAATATATATAGATTTTCAGTGTTAGGGTTTTCACTTTATATGCGGCCATCACCGACTCAATTTTTTTCTTATAGGGCTTTGTCTTGTGGTAGAGGTAATTTAAAATCAAAAAATAAAAATAAAAGAATTGCTTAATTTAATAAGATCATTAAATCATTTAAGAATAAATTGTTTAATTTGAATGAGATTATTTCTATAATATTAGATTTTTAATAAAAAAAAACGAATTATTAATAAAAAGAAATTTTGAAGATTTAATCAAGATTTTCATTAAGGGCATCTCGGTAATTCTGCGGCTGAGATTTAACGTGGTGCCTCCATTCGAAATTCTGACTTCGCAAATAATAGTATAATAGTTCTTTTAATTATGGATTAAAGGTTTTAATATTGTATCCAAACAAGGACCATAATGCCGCAAAAGGTAATATTACAGACCAAAAGAGAGAGATGAGTAAATAACAAAAGCCTAAAGAGAGTAAAAGATGATAATATTACAGACCAAAAGAGAGAGAGAGAGAGATGAGTAATATTCAAAAGCCTAAAGAGAGATAGAGATGAGTAAAGAGTGAGAGAGAGTTCCATGTCAATACTTAAAAAGAACTCTCTTCAGGTATCTCACCAAGATTGCATTAAAAAAAGACTTAAACAGTCACAGTGACTGCTCCTTGCTCAACATCGAGCTTCATCTTCTTAGCTGGTGGCTCATCTTCACACCCAACCATCTGAGATTCCTCTTCTCCTTCTTCAGACTCCATGCTTCCACCTTCAGAGGATTCCACGTTCTCTTCACTTGGGTTTCCAGAACTTTCTTCACCTTCTTCCTCTGGTGCTGGCTCCTCCACTTTCTCCTTCAGCGCCTCTATCACACTCATCACTTCTCTGTTCACCTGTTTAAAGTCATTTACACAAATAAGTTATACACTGTTACTACACATCAACAAGTTTACCAATGAACTCATTCGTTTGCTTATTACTACACATGAACAATGGAAGAAGAAGAGACTTATGATTACCTCTGGATTCTGAAGAAACTCAGAGATGTCTGTTGGGCAGCAAGGGCACTTCATGACGTTCTTCTGAGAACGAAGTGTGCGTCCGCCTCTGCTTCTGTCTCTCAAATGTGCAACCCCTGCGAACTTCCCTTCCAAGCACCCTTTGCAGAAGTTGTGCCCACAAGGAGTCATCACCGGAGCATTCATCACTTCACGGCAGATCCGGCAGCTAAATTCTGTATCAACAACAAAAATAAGAAACACAAATGACAATTTAGATGTGCCCTTTTGAAAATAACATTTATAATGCAAAAGTAACCAACCTTTCCGAAGTTTGTTCTTCACAGAGTGGCTACGCGCCTTTATGGCTCTCTTAAGACTCCTCCTCTCCTCAGGATCCAAAGCTTCAACTGACTTTCTGCTCGCTGGTGGAGCCTTCATCCACTTCCAGCGACCCTCAGCTTCCTAATTGTATCACAAAGGAAATTCAATATCTGCTCAAACACATCATGACATGAGGAAAGTACAAAGAATAGAAAAGAGAGGACTATAGTGCTCACATCAAAACCCCATGAAGGAGTTTCAGTTTCCTTTCTCTCAAACAGGTCAGTGGCCTTCTTAAGCTCTGGAATATCAGGCAAGTCTCTCGGACGATCACCATGCTCATCACTGCAGTTTAAAAAAAGGCAACAGTGAGCATAAACTAACTAGCAGCAACACAGAAAATGGAGAGCTTTCAAGAAAAGAGACAAACCTGGTCCATGGTGCTGCTTCGTTATCACACCTCACAGACAGGTAACGACAGACCTTATATTTACCCTATCAAAAAACACAAAGAGTAATGTCAAGAAAGGAAATTCAAGTGTCTGCATTAAAGGAAACATTTATGACTGTTTAGATATAATCTGAAACCTGAATTCCGATTTTCCTCCAGCATTTCTCTATTCGGTAAACACCATCGTATCTCACCACTTTCGTCCCAGGGGCATACGCTGATCGCTTCTCCTTATGAGACCTGATCATTGGTAAGAATCAAGAAAGATTATGCACAAAGTATATCGATAAAGATAGATATAACTAACAAAAAATCACATTTCAATCAAGATAATGTATTGACAGAGAATCATCCCATTTCAATGAAAGACTGAACAAAGTGAGAAACAGCTAACCTGACAACTCGGACAAGATAGCCCATTTTGCAGCTAAGTCTTAGGGCTTCGTTCGACTTTGTAAACATTTGGTCAGAAGACTGAACCGAGTTAGTTCTCTTGTTGCCACTAAGATCTCTTCCTCCACTGCAAACACACATTCACGCAGATTCAAGGCCAAGAATTGACAAATATAACTGAAAATAATAGAAAGAAAGGCTAAGAGAAATGTAAAAAGCAATACCTTCCAGTGTAGAGGAACCATTCACCATGGTCTTCGTCATCCGCATAGCCTCCAGAAAGTGTCACCGATTGAGCTCCATAGTCAGCTTGACCAGCAATGCCAGCAACGTGAGGAAAATGCGCTCCCCATTGCCTGCAATCAAGCCTGTCTGCCCAAAACTCTCCAACCAACACTCCTTGGTTTCTGATTGGATCGTTCTCAGCGGGAATGGGGCCGAAATGGTCAGGCGGGATAGTCACGTAGATCTTGCCGCTTGCGGCATTGGCCTTGCCTGTCTTCTTAGCCCTCGCGGTTCTAAAAGCTTGGTCAGGACGGTTTTGGTTGCTGATGAAGTGATACACTTTCGCCTTTCCCTTAGGAGCAGCAGATTTGGAAATCCTCGCCAGACGAATAACAGCGACTAGAGAGTCGTTAATGCGAGGGTTGTTTGCCATCTTCTTCGGAATCGCACGGCAACATTTCACACAATTGAATTTCTTCAGCGCAACCCACTTCTGGAAACACTTCAAGCAGAAGTTGTGTCCACAAGGTGTCTGCAAAAGAATATATCCATTACGACTAGTTAAATATCAATCATCCTTATCAAAAAACAATACAGAAAATGTTAATATGTATAATTCACTGCATCAAATGCACAGTTTGGCCGTCTTTGACACAAACACCAACTTTTCAAAACTGGATCAACAATCAATCAAAGTGTAAACGAACAAGTATTAATGACACAATCTTTGACACAAACATAAATTTTTCAAAATTGAATCAACAATCAATCAAAGTGTAAAAGAGCAAGTATTAATGACACAATGGGGGTCTTAATGTTGGATTTAAAGTATCACGAATCTCAGTTGTAGGAGTTTAAGAGCAGAATCTAGCTACTAAATGAAGAGAAAGGGAACATAAACAAAGCATCAATTACACAGCAAACGCAAAAAGTTTGGCCCTTTTTGACACAAACACCAACTTTTTTCAAAACTCAACAACCGCAAAATTAAATAGATCAACAATCAATCAAAGTGTAAACGAGCAAGTATGAATGACACAGTGGGGTCTTATTCCTCCAATTGCTACAAATGGTAATGCAAAAGAGAGAAAAAAACCCTAAAGTTAACAGTTTTAATAATTGATTTGAAGTATCACGAATCTACAAAGCGATTTCAAATTCACAAGCATTGAATCTATGAGTGAGTAAAGTGATAGAGGGAGAGAGAGAGAACAAACCGTGACTGGCCTCTCAGGCAAATCCTGGCAAATGGAACAGAAGAAATTCTCACGCAGAGCGGCCAATACATCATCATCTTCACCGGTATTCTTCTCCTCCTCCTCTTCCTCATCGGCTTTGCCGCTAACGAACTGCTGCTTCTTGCTGGCTTTCTGATCCTCAGTGAGAGACTCATCGGCCTCGATCGCAAGGATCGCCGCTATGAGGACAGAGCCGTTGGATGATCCAGCACCGGCGATTCCGGAAACCGGGACGGGATCGACGACGCCGGAGCAGTCGGGGCACTCCCACTCCCGAGTCGATTCTAAGGTTTTCGGAGGGGACGAGAGGCAAGACACGTGCCACGGCGTGCCGCACGTGGTGCACGAGAGGCACTCGGTTTCCACCGGAGGCGTCAGGTTGCAGCGCATGCAAACTCCTTCTTCGTTGCAAGGGTACTGAGCCGTTGTTTCGAATCGAAGAGAGAAATGGGATCGAGAGAGATTGAGTGAGGGGAGAGAGATAGAGAGAAATTGGGGGAAATATAAAGGAGAGGGAGACGGAAAAGTGGAGAGGCGGGTTTTGAAAATTTGGGAAGAAGAGGCGTCTTTTTCAATTTGCAATTGAATTAAATTAAAATTAAAAAAAATACCTAAAAACAAAAGAGGAATAATATCTTCTGATTTGATAAAAATCTTCTAATTTGATAAGATGTTTAGAGATGGAAACAATATCTTTCATTTTTTTGTTTTTTCTCATGTTAATATTGAAACTTTATCTGAAAATGAGCTTTGAATATAGACAAAAATCTTAGGAAATATAGTTAAATACAAAGAATATCCAATAGCATATTTCTGTTTTATTTATTTTTTTTATATAAAATATATCCTTTTAAAATTAAATGTATTTAGATTTCTTCAATTTTTTCTTTCTTATTTGGAAATTTTTAGATTTGATTTCTTTTATTGCTGGTCAAAATATCTTTTGTATTTTCTTAAAGGTTTTTTAGGTAATTTTTTTTCTAGTCAATATTATTTACAAACAGTTTAATACAATGTATATCTTATTTTTAAAGGTATATTATAATTTAGGAAACAATATTATATTTAGGGATATATCTTTCTAATTATTTATTGAAACAACCAACACTTTTTATAAAATAAATATTAATCAATTCTAGCGAAGGTCTTTAAAATAAATTAAATAAATAAAATATCAATAACAAATAAATCAGTTCAGCGGAAGCAAATAATAATTAAACAAGTCTAGCAAAATAATGCAAAATAAATAAAACAGTAAACATCCTATCATCCCCCTCTTCAGCCTTGATTCCGCGATCACACAAATCTTTTACCTGCAACACATTGGAATGGAGTTGCGTAAGTATTTAATAAATACTTAGTGAGGCAATCACTCTGCCTACGAGCCAGATATTTAATAATATTTATAAACTCCAATAATTATTAAATACCATTTTCCAATTATTAAATAATTTTTAATAATTAAAACTCAATTTCTCAATTATTAAATAATTCTCATAATTAAATAATAATTTTCCATATTTTAAAATAATTAAAATAATTATTTTAAACCAATTAATTAAATAAATATTATTTAATTAATTAAATCCGAATTAAATCTATTTAATTCCATTAAACCAATTAAATTCAATTAAACCAATATAAACCAATTAAATTCAATTGAACCAAGATAAACCAGAATCAATTAAATTCAATTAAATTCAATTAAACCAATATAAACCAATTAAATTCAATTGAACCAAATAAACCAGAATCAAATCAATTAAATTCAATTAAACCAGATTTAACCACACAAACACACAATTCACCACATAAACAACCAAAATATCATGAAATAACAATTAAACACAAAAACTCATCAAGAACAATCATAAACCAAATCTAATCTAGCAAATCGCGGACCCACAGTCATGCACTCACCTTGACAATGGATTGAAACTGAAGGAAAGACAATGAACAGTGCGGAAATCCCGACGATGAACAGTACCCCCGATGAACAGTACCCCGATGAACAGTAACCCGATGAACAGTAAAACTCGAAAATCTCTCCAAAAACTCCACTTTTCTCCTCTGCAGCCTGAACTCGAAAATTCCCAAAGAGAAGACGGCTGCACTCTTTAAACTTGATTTTAGGGCTTTCTCCACTAAACCGGCCCAAACCAAATCACTTAAATTGAACCGACAAAATTCCCAATTTTTGGTTTATGGATGTTACAACTCTCCCCCACTAAACTGGATTCGACCTCGAATCCCAACAAAAACGTCACAAAGACCACAAACCCGACCTCGCAAGGCCGCAACACAGGAGATCCTCACCTGATCCCCGAGACTCTCATCTAATCTTATGTCATAAGCCGTCTCTAGACATCTTTACTCTTAACTCATCACCTCAAACCACTTGTACTGGGGCCACTACACCCAGACAAGTCTGCACCTACCCAAACTGGGGCCACTACACCCAGGGGCTTGCCAACCGCTGCTTATACTGGGGCCACTACACCCAAATAAGTCAGCCACGACTTATACTGAGGCCACTACACTCAGCTAAGTCACTCATACTGAGGCCACTACACTCAGATGAGTCTGCCAGAGAACACTGTCTCCAAAACCGTAATGAGTTATTCAGGATCGCAATCCTTAGAGTAAAAATTCCAAGACATCTATAACAATAAATTAGAACCGTCTCACGACCAACTGGTCAAACACTTGTAACATCCGAAATACCACTTAAACAACACAAGGCAAAATGAGGAAAAACTGCATCTCATAAATCTCAAAAATGTATATCGTTACAACCAAAACGAAAATACAATAACACCAAAGCCAAAAAACAACTGAGGCTACAAAGATGAAATAAGCTCACTCCTCGACCTGCTTGTCGAACCACTTCCTGAACTTCAACTTCATCTTTGCCTCTGGCTCCCAAGTCTCCTCTGTAGAACCACTGCAATCCCACAAAATCCTCAGTAAGGGAATCCTCTTGTTCCTCAGAACCTTTTCCCTCCTCTCTAAAATCCTCACAGGCACTGCCGGCACTGTCAAATCTGGCTGAAGATCCTCTGGAATCCTAGCCACTAACTCCTCTGTAGGGTGAAGACACTTCCTCAGCATCGACACATGAAAAACCTTGTGAAAGGCTCTCATAATCTCAGGCAACTCCAGCCTGTACGCCAATGGCCCAACTCGTTCCACTACTGGAAACGGCCCCATAAAACGCGGACTCAGCTTGTTCTCTGCTATGGATCTGTTAGGACCCCTCAACATAGCCATCTTGAGATAAACTCTATCTCCCACCTGAAACTCAAGCTCTCGTCTGCGTCTATCTGCATAACTCTTCTGCCTGTCCTGAGCCTCCTTCATGTTCAGCCTCACAACACGGACCTTCTCTGTCGTCTCCTGAACATAAGTAGCTCCATACATGCTGCGCTCCCCCACTTGGGTCCAGCATAGGGGTGTCCTACATGGCCTCCCATACAAAGCCTCAAATGGAGCCATGCCAATACTCGCCTGAAAGCTGTTGTTGTATGCAAACTCAACTAAGCTCAGGTGATCTGCCCAATGGCCACCCCAAATTATAACGGCCCAACCGCCCCTTCCGGTGAGTCACCCACGACCTCTCTCTAGGCCCGCAGGCCCATCTCGGCCCGTGGGCCTCACCCCTGTTCAACGGCCGGTCCGTTATTTTCGAGAGACTCTAATGATTTGTTTACTATCCCTGCAATCAACACCTGACCTTTCCCCGTGTTTTGGCCTCACTCACACGGTTTCGGAAACCACTTCCCGAAAGGTCACCCATCCTTCAACTACTCCAGCACAAGCACGCTTAACTGGAGTTAGTTATAGATCTTTGACCGAAAAGGTAAGTGCACTTTGTTGACATAGGTAGCCAAATCAATTCTCTTAAGTCTCTCCTCATTTATCACAAACCGGGATGTTACAACTCACCCCCACTAACTGCGCGCAACGTCCTCGTTGTGCACCTGGATCGTCACCCCCTGACGGTGCGAGTCAAGGCCACTTCAACTTGACTACACACTCTCGTCTGGGTTTGGCTCTGATACCAAATTATAACGCCCCGACCGCCCCTCCCAGTGAGTCACCCACGCCCTCTCTCTGGGCCCGCATGCCCATCTCGGCCCATGGGCCTCACCTCTATCCAACACACACATCCTCAGCAAATCCTCCAAAGTCTGAATAGTCCTCTCTGACTGACCATCTGTCTGCGGATGATAAGCTGTACTCAGATGCACCTTAGTGCCCATCTCTGCCTGAAACGCCCTCCAAAACTCTGAAGTGAATCTGGGATCACGGTCTGACACAATACTAGCTGGCACTCCATGCAGCCTCACAATCTCTCGCACAAACTTCCTAGCCAAGACAGCAGCTCCATCTGTCTTCTTGATGGCCAAGAAATGTGCGACTTAGTCAACCGATCCACAATCACCCAGATAGCATCGAAAGTCCTCGAAACAGGTAGTCCAACCACGAAATCCATCGTAATCCTGTCCCACTTCCACTCTGGAATGGGTAAACTCTGCAAAAGACCACCCGGAACCTGATGCTCTGCCTTCACCAAGGCACAAGTGTTGCACTTCGCAACCCAGTCTGCTACATCCCTCTTCATCCCGACCCAATGATAGTACCTCTTGAGGTCATGGTACATCTTGGTCGCTGGATGAATGGAAAACTTGCTCGCATGAGCCTCTCCCAAAATCTGATGTCTCAACTCCACATCCTTAGGCACACAAACTCGCCCACGAACCAAGATAGTCCCATTCGCAGAGACCTCATACTCAGAACCAGTCACTCTCGTCGCATCCAGCAAACTCTGATCACTCTGCTGAGCAACTCTGATCCTGCTAAGTAGATCCGCCTGATCCACTGCCTCTAAACCCAAAGGCTCCTGCGAAATGGCACACAAACGCAAGGTACTGATCTCGCCAACTAGAGACTCCACATCTCGCTCAACTGCGGAATCATACCTCCGTCTACTCAACGCGTCCGCCACTAGGTTAGCCTTGCCCGGATGGTAGTTAATGCTCACCTGATAATCCGCCAAGAACTCAACCCAGCGCGTCTGTCTCGCGTTCATCATCGGCTGAGTGAAGATATGCTGCAAACTCTTGTGATCCGTGAAGACCTGTACTGTCTCACCTAGCAAGTAAGACCTCCAAATCTTCAACGCGAAGATCACTGCTCCCAACTCTAAGTCATGTGTAGGACGGTTACGCTCACTGCCCTGCCACTGTCTCGAAGCATATGCTATCACTCTGCCCTCCTGCATCAGCACACAACCAAGACCAATGCCTGAAGCATCTGTATACACCATGTAAGGCTTCCCTGGCTCGGGTAACGCCAACACTGGTGTAGTAGTCAACATCTCCTTGAGCTGACTAAAGCTCTCCTCACACTCAGCTGACCAAACAAAGGGACATCCTTCCCGGTCAACTTCGTCATCGGCTGCGCCATGGTAGCAAACCCCTTGACGAACCTCCTGTAGTATCCTGCCAAACCCAGAAAACTCCTGATCTCGGTGGCACTACTAGGTCTAGGCCAATCTCTGATAGCCTCAATCTTAGCCGGATCCACAGAAACTCCCTCTGCAGAAACAATGTGGCCAAGAAATCCCATCTCTCGCTGCCAGAAACTGCACTTGCTCAACTTAGCAAAAAGCTTCTGCTCCCGAAGCTTCTCCAGAACCAACCTCAAGTGAGTCGCATGCTCCTCCTGACTCCTCGAGTATACCAGAATATCATCAATGAAAATGATGACGAACACGTCCAAATACTCCCTGAACACGTCGTTCATCAATCTCATGAAGGCTGCCGGCGCGTTAGTCAAACCGAAAGGCATAACCACAAACTCAAAATGCCCATAACGCGTCCTGAAAGCAGTCTTCCTGACATCTGCCTCATCTATCGGGATCTGATGATACCCCGATGCCAAGTCAATCTTGGAGAACCAAGTAGCACCCCTCAACTGATCCAACAACTCATCAATCCTCGGGAGTGGGTACCTGTTCTTCACAGTGACTCGGTTAAGACCTCTGTAATCGATACAAAGTCTGAAACTGCCATCCTTCTTCTTCACAAACAACACCGGTGCTCCCCACGGTGAAACACTCGGTCGAATGAACCCCTTAGACAAAAGGTCCTCTATCTGCTTCTTCAGCTCTGCCAACTCAGCTGGCGCCATCCTGTAAGGCGTCTTCGATATCGGTGCTGTCCCCGGCTCTAACTCAATCGTGAAAGGATCAGACCGAGATGGTGGTAATCCCTTCAGTGACTGAAAGACATCCTCAAAATCCTGGACAACCTCAATATCTCCCATAACAACTCCAGCTCCTGACTCAGACATAGAAATCGTCGCCAGATACGCCTCACAGCCCCGCTCTAACAACTGCTCGGCCTGAATAGCAGATATCACAATACTCCCGGAAGTCGGTCTCACTCCCTGATAAACCAACCTCCCTGCATCTCGCTCGAAGACCACTCTACCTCTGTAGCAATCCAGATGAACTCTGTAGTGTGACAACCAGTCCATCCCGAGAATAACGTCATACAGCTCCACCGGACTGATGACTAAGTCTGCTGGCATTGACTGCCCCGCAATCTCGATCTCGACTCCTCTAGCACGGCCCAAAGTAGACAAGAATCCACCTCCCGCCACCTTGACCATGCCCGCGCTCTCGCCCGCGCTACTCCGGATGCCACTCTTCTCGGCACGCTCCGGTGTAATGAAGCAATTCGATGCTCCAGAGTCGAATAAAACGTGGGACTCAAAACCGCCCACTAACAAGGTCCCTACACACAATTGCGTTGAGAACCTCCAACAATTTATCACAGATAAATGAACAACACACACAAAACAACAACAATTATGCCCTCGATGGCCTGCCACCACAAATCTGATAGACTGGAAATTCCGCTCCAATCTCTGACGCCACTCATCTGCCGCCTCTGGGCTAACTCCGCCCTCAAAGTACGGCGTACCAATCCTCTGCATGTGCCCCACATATCCAAATAGGACGGCACCATCAAACCCACAGCCTGCGGCTGAACAAATCCCGCAGCCCTCTGCTGCACCTCTGCCACTGGAGGTACTCCCGGAGCCCCTGTGGAACCACTGGCGGAAAACGAGCCAATAACTGCGTCAGCAAACCCACCACTAAGTCATCAAGACCCTGAGCCGGAGCACCACCCCAACCCGGAGCAGCCCCCGCTCCCAAACCAACACTCGCATCCACACTGGCCTCACTCGCCACGGATACCGACTGGGTCACCGACGCAGTCGCCACACTAGGCACCACACTCTCTCCCGAATCCGCCGAAGTCCACAATCCTCGGCCCCGGCCTCCACGGCCTCTAGCTCTGCCACCACGGCCTCGAGCACCGCGCCCTCTCGCGCCACAACCTCTAGCTACTCAGTCCATCTCACTCATGGAACCAAAAGAGCACACTAGAACACGCAACCAAAACTCAAAACAAACATAAACTCACCGCGGAATCTCTTGTAGCTGAAGGGGATGATACTAAAGCCTAGCAATTCTAACAGTCCTAAAACCGTCTAGGCTCTGATACCAAAATGAAACAACCAACATTTTTTTTTTTTAATAAATATTAATCAATTCTAGCGAAGGTCTTTAAAATAAATTAAATAAATAAAATATCAATAACAAATAAATCAGCTCAGCGGAAGCAAATAATAATTAAACAAGTCTAGCAAAATAATGCAAAACAATAAAACAGTAAACATCCTATCATCCCCCTCTTCAGCCTTGATTCCGCGATCACACAAATCTTTTACCTGCAACACATTGGAATGGAGTTGCGTAAGTATTTAATAAATACTTAGTGAGGCAATCACTCTGCCTACGAGCCATTTACGCAATTTACTAGATATTTAATAATATTTATAAACTCCAATAATTATTAAATACCATTTTCCAATTATTAAATAATTTTTAATAATTAAAACTCAATTTCTCAATTATTAAATAATTCTCATAATTAAATAATAATTTTCCATATTTTAAAATAATTAAAATAATTATTTTAAACCAATTAATTAAATAAATATTATTTAATTAATTAAATCCGAATTAAATCTATTTAATTCCATTAAACCAATTAAATTCAATTAAACCAATATAAACCAATTAAATTCAATTGAACCAAGATAAACCAGAATCAAATCAATTAAATTCAATTAAACCAATTAAACCAATTAAACCAACAAAACCAAACAATCAATGACACAACCAAAATATCATAAAAATAACAATTAAAACATAAACTCATCAAGAACAACCACAAACCAAATCTAATCTAGCAAATCGCTTAAATTGAACCGACGAAATTCCCAAATTTTGGTTTATGGATGTTACATTTATAATTAATATATGTTTTTTTTTAATATTTTATAAATCAAATGGGATATCCACGGATATTTAAATTTTTATGGATATACGGATTTTCGGATATCCTGAAATTTTCGGATGAAAATTAGTTTTCCGGATAAGATGGATCAGATCAGGGATAATTTCCGGATATCCGCTCCGTGCCCAAGGCTATTGGAATCTATCTTACTCCCCTGCTCCCAGATGTCAAAAAAGTCAAAACAATTCGGCAACACCGAATAGTAATTGTGTATCATCACATTCACATCGGCTCCGAATGGAGAAAGCGGATCAAGCATTGCGTATCGAGCGTATCAAAAGTGGAATTAGTGGATTGAGCGGCTCTAGTAGATCTAGTGGTTCAAAAATATGTTTGAATGGGAAAAGCAGATAAAAAGCGGTTCAAAACACTGTACATATTTATAATAATTATATGAGATAAAAATTATTATTTTATTTTGTATAATTAAAATAATAAAATTAGGTTATTTTATAATTTTATTTTCAAATCATCATTTGAAATAAATATGCATATAAATTAACTTCAAGTTAGATATGAATGATGTCAAATATTTAATGAATTAATTATTGAATTTTTCATTATTTTTAATAAAAATGGATACATGTGAAAATAAAAAGAGGAAGGCATATTAGGGCCTTGAATGGGGAGTGTAAAACCTGTGGTCGAAGTGGATGGACCGTAACAAATTTCCCATTCAACAGATAAATCAATTATGTTACTGTACTTACTAAAAAATTAGTAAAAAAAAATGAACCACAAGTGGTTCAGAATTATGAACAATTTAAATGATCCACTAGTAACAGTAGTCCTACTGCAATTTGAAGTGAAATCTGCGTTTCTCTTATTTTATTTTTTTTAATTGCGAATGTATCTTTTTTCACTAAAAATAATGAAAAATCCTAATAATTATTTTATTAAATATATATTTGACATCATGCATATTTGACTTGAAGTTAATTTCTATGCATATTTATTTCAAATGATGATTTTGAAAATAAAATTATAAGATAACCTAATTTTATTTTATATATACAAAATAAAATACAAAATTTTATCTTATATAATTATTACAAAAATGTGTACAGTGTTTTGGACCACTTTATATCCGCTTTTCCCATTCAAATATATTTTTTGAATCATCATATCTGTTAGATTCGCATTTAATGTGCTTAATCCGCTCAATCCGCTAGTTCCGCTTTTGGTATCCGCTTGATCCGCAACGCTTGATCCGCTTTCTCCATTCGGATCGAGCGTTGCGGATCAAGCGGAACGAGCGTGACAAAAGCGGAACTAGTGGATCGAGCGGATCAAGCGAATCAAGTGCGGATCTAACGATTCCAACAGTTTAAAAATATTTGAATGAGAAAAGCGGATATAAAGCGGTCCAAAACACTGTACATATTATTAATAATTATATAAAATACAAAATTATTATTTTTGTTTGTTTAAAATTTATCAATTATAAAGTTAATCGTGATCAAACATATACATTAAATGATTTTATAAAATGTAATAATATAACTATACATATTTTTTACAACTACTTAGCATTAATGTTGTCCAATAAAATATACAGTTGGTCCAAAAATACATTTTAAAACTATATTATATAAATTATGTAATTATTATATAGTAAATACATATATGACAAGAAATCTAGATGACAAAAATTAAAGTCAAAATCACAACACAAATGATATATTATAAATAAAATAATATCAAATAATAAAGTTGTGTCTTCAAATTTAAAGTTTTCTAAATTTAAAATAATGAAAATAAGCATTTCCACTTGAAACACTCCAAATCAAGAGTGTAACTACTGTTCAAGTGGTTCTTGTGTTTTGTTCATCGTTTTGAACCACAAGCAATTCAAAAAGTAGATTTCAGTTTTTTTTTATTATGGCCTTGAATGGAGAGTGGAATAAAAACGGTTCATTTGCTAAAGTGGATCAACCGCAGATAAGATTCTCATTCATGAGAAAAGAGTTATTGTGTATGTTTTATTGTTAAAGTAATATTAAAAAAATATGAACCGCAAGTGGTACAAATTAGTGAAGAAAGATAGTGATCCATCTGTAATAGTAGAACCGCTGTATAGTTGGGGTAAATAGTGTATGATCCATCTAGTTCTTTTATTTTTATTATTTTTCTTCAAAGAAATGTTTGTAAAACTATGACTTTTGCAATTTTATATTACTTCAATTTTATATTCTATATATTAAGGTTTTATAGTATTTTAAATATATTAATTTGGGAGTGATTTAAATTTATTTGCATATGGTGTATACAATGTTTCTAAAATAATGCATTATATCATGATTAAATAATATTATACATGTAATCTATTAATCCAATCTGTTTTAATTTAATAATTTAGTATCTCTTATCTAAAATTTTAATAATAATATATCTGTATTAAACTAAATTATTTTGCAGAAAACAGTAAATAATGTTTTTTATGATAAGAACCATTTTAAATACATAACGTTAAACTAACTAAAATTTACATGTTGAAATAAATAAAACATAAAATTTTGGATTGTCTATATATATTACTGATAAATTTTAATGTCTAAGCAATTTTTTATATTTATATTTATTTCATGTTATTGTGTTTATACTTTAAATTTTATAAATAACCTAATTTGTATAATTAAAATAATAATTTTCTATTTCATATAATTATTACAAATATGTACAGTGTTTTGAACCGCTTTATATCCGCTTTTCCCATTCAAACATTTTTTGAACTGTTGGAACCACTCCCGCATGTGATCCGCTCAATCCGCTCGATCCGCTAGTTCTGCTTTTGTCACGCTCAATCCGCTTGATCCGCAATGATCCGCTTTCTCCATTCGAAGCCACTTTTTGTAATATGAACCACTTTTTGTAATATGAACCACTTGTGTAATGTGAACCACTTTTTGATAAATTTATGGTGAATGGAAAATGTGTTGTGGTTCATCCACAATGGGTGTTTCCTCCGTTATTTACACGCCCTCCATTCAAGGCCTTAAATTTACAATTATTGTGAATGGGAATCACATTGTGGTTCTCCCGCCTTAGGTGTATCGACCACCTTTTTACCACCCCCCATTCATTGCCATCATGTTTGGAGAGGAAACTGATTGATTTTGTTGCTCGATGAAAATTCTTAATGATTAGACCACATATGCTAGTCACCTTACTTTTTTAAACCATTAAAGTTTTGTTAGGTAACTTAGGCTCCGAATGGAGAAAGCGGATCAAGTGTTGCGAATCGAGCCAATTAAGTGGATCGAGCGAAACTAATATGGTTCAAGCAAATAAGGCAGTACAAATGCGAATCAAGCGGATCTAGCCATATAAAAAGTATGTTCGAATGGAAAAAGCGTATATAAAGCAATCCAAAATACTGTACATATTTATAATAATATATATGAGGTATCATGTTATTTTTTTATTTTGTATAACTAAAATTATTAAAATTAAGTAATTTTATAAACTAAAATATATGAAATATAAAATATACACATAATTATTATTAAAACATTTAAAAATAATTTAATTTAGGATCATCACTATCTGTTGATACAAGGAAAGTATAATATTATTTTTTCATTTTTACTGTATTATAAGCTTTGTACATGTTACAAATAATTTATTATACATTATATATGTTTTTTTAATTAGCATTAAAAATGTTACATTTGTGGAAGTAGAGGTACTTGTATTCCTTCTCTTTTTGATTCACTTATAATCCAAATAATTAAACATTCAATTAATCTAGAACTGCACATTAAGTTATAACAAACTCATGGGGAAATTATGTGAGGTTGATTCATATAGAGTTTCGCCCATCACTTAACTGCTCTCAATTCAAGGCTTTATACGATGCCTAAATCATGTCAACGTAATTTGATATGAATCAGTTACCAGAAAAATGGTTGTTATGATTTCAATTTTAGTGAAAATGATATGAAGACAATTCCATGTTTGGTGAGAGCTGGAAAAGAAGATGTTAGATTCGTGAGTGGAATTGAAACATTTTAGAAAGTTCGCGATGTACGCAGAAGATCGAATAAGAAAAAGTCAAAGTATCAGTCGATCGAATGATCGATAAATTAATCGTGTTCTACTTCCATAACATTAGTGGGTGATGGGTGTGACCGTGTGAGTCGTGTTCATGGATAACTAATAAGAGACCTGTTTATTAAACCCAAAAAAAAAAAGAATATTAGAGACGTGTTTATAAAATGAATATTAGAGTAAATGATTTAATGGCTATCATCCCCTATTCGAACTAATAAGAAAACGATTTTTATATTGTGTTAGTTTTCTTGTATTTCGACAAATTTAATATTGTTTTAAAAATATTATACACACATTACTTAAATATAATTAAAGTTAGGCAAATTTTTTGTACCATCTCGTTCCATTTCGTTCAATTTCATCATGTATGTTCATTCCCGTTCCATTATGTCCTTTTTTATCTCGTCCCGTCCAATCCTGTCACATTCCAATTCTTTTCATTTTGTCCTGTCCAACATTTCTTTCCTGTCTTTTCTCATCATATTTTTTTTCTGTTCCACCCCTAAATATAATTAAAGGTAGGCAAAATTTCTGTCTTATCCTATTCCGTTCCTTTATATCTTGTCTCGTCACTTAGGCCCTAACTGGTAACAATAAAGTTGTGGAATGTTGAGGAATTCAACTGGAAAAAAAAAAGTATGTTACCAGTTGCATAATTGTTGAATTGTGGAATGGGCACAAAAAGACAAAAGTCACAACTTTTTTTATTTTTCTTTTACATGAGTGGTTATAAGTTTTATTAATGAATTGATCATAAAAATATTATAATTCTAAAATGTATATTTTTTTGATGTTTTATAAATTATTATGAATCTAAATTCTTATTGTTATAGGAGCATATAATTTAAACAATTTATTTTCTTCAAATGTTATTGAGAAATTTTAAGAAATATACTTTTCGGATATCCATTTTAAAAACTACACCTCTACTGGGTTAATTTTCAAAGTTATATTTTTAAAAAAAATTAACATATATATTTCGGTTAACTTATCGTAATATAGAGTTTAGATTTTTGGGTTTATGGTTTATATTTAAGGTTTAAACTTTAGATCTTAAGATTTGAAGTTTATATTCTAGGGTTAAAAGTTATTTTATTTCACGAAAATTTTTAATTTTGAAAATTAACAATTTAGATGTGTAGTTTTGAAAATGGACAACCCAAAAGTTGTATTTTTGAAATTTGCCCAATATTATTTAGTTATTTCACAAGTTTATGTTTTACTTTTTTATTTAATTTAACTGTGTAAATTATTTTTTATTCTGCTAATAAATAATTTGTTATGTATTTATTCTGCATTCAGCAACATTCAGCTGTTACCATTCATATTACAAACTAATCAGCCAGATTCCGCAAAAAAACTTCATTTTATTCAGCCAGATTCCGCATTTAGCAACATTCAACGGTTACCATTTTAGACCTTAATATCATAAAAAGTAAACAAAATTCCCCTCTTCTTTGATTCTATTGTTTTTGTCTCGTCTCTTTTCTTTCCAAAATACTATAGAAAAAAACAGTGTTCTTTGTATAATATTTTTTTTATTGTTATTATTAAATAATAGTTTTTTAAGATCTATACATAACATTTTTTTCTAAATGACTTTTCATATTCTTACGAAGTTACCATAGTAATAAATGATAATTATTATAAAAATTAAAATAGAAAAAAAAATATAAGAAATAAATTGATATGCTGAATTTATCGACACCCTCTTCTACTGAGCTGATAGCACCAGAATAGAATCACACCAACTTTATATATATATCGATAGATATACTTTTAATGTTATCTAAACCTAAGTATCATTAATTGTTTTAAAGGCTAAAAAAATATATTCGGAAACAAATATAATGTAAAATCATTAATTTTTCCGCCAATAATTTCATATTTAAAGTTATTTAACTTCAATAAATGAGTGATATACTTATTAAAAATGTCAAATATTCAATTTAAATTGAGGAAACATTTATGTTACAATTAGGCACGTGTAATTGTGCAATAATCAAAATAAAAGTATAAAAACCTAAGAAGCATTTGTTTTAACGGCGGAAAATTATATTCAGAAACAACTATAATGTAAAATCACCAAGTTTTCCGCCGACAATGTAATATTCAAAGATAGTTTAACTTAAATAAATGAGATTATATAACTTTTAAAAATGATAGTAAAAATGTCAAATATTCAGTTTAAATCTACAAAACCGTATGTTACAATCAGTCATGATAAACGCACGCTGTAATTGCGCGTTAAACAAAATAAAAATATATATTTGTATTTAATAAGATAAAAATGTATGTATAATTACTTTGTAAATCAGGAGACTAAAAACCCTAGCCGTTTATAGAGAAAAGAAAACGCAGCTTTTGCGGGTAGTAGCTGTTATTAGCGTTTGACAACAATCACCACAATCGCTTTCTGCCGCTTCAAACCGCTTCAGATCCCTCAAAATTCCTCAAAATCAAAAGTTCCTTCCCAGCAGCGTTTGCGGTTGCAGGTGCTTGTTAAAAAAAAAAAAAAAAAAAAAAACTCAAATTTATTAAATAGAAAATAAATAATAATCTTTACTAAAAAATAAGATTTAGATATTACAATCACAATATAAAAAAAAGATTAGTACTATTAGTCAATATTCACTAAAATCATATCATAATTTATATTTATAAGTTCTACAAATCAAAATTTTCTTCATAAATGTTCTTTTCATACTAATACATATATATTTAATAAATAAAATTGTAAATATAAATTTAATTTTCACAATAAATAAATATATATATGTATATATATTTATATATTTTAAAATAAAATCACATTGTTATCTAAATTATAGAAATTAAAAGATAGACGTAAGTATTATACACCTATTATTTTTATAATTTTTTTAATTATATTGAACCATGAATTTAAATTTTTCATTATAATATGGTTTTGATGTTTTTATAATTATATACTATGTTTATATTATTAATTTATTGTTTAACCGCTATTGCATCTGCAATTCAACCAGTCATAAATATCCCCCAAACGCAATCGTTATGCGCGTCGTACAAACCGCTTAACAACGTTACTAATCACAACCGTCGGCTTCCGTAAAAATTTCGCACACACAACCGCAACCACAGCGTTTAAACCAATCAGGCCTCAAACCCTGATTCTTTTTGTACAATTCTCCAAAATGACACCTTTCACATTTTTTGTAAACTCTTATTATAATTTTTATTTTTTTTTCAAACTAGCCTCATAAGTTTTTTTCCAATAATAACACAAAACAAAAAAAAATTACTTAATCCTTTTTAATGGAAGAAGTTTATGCAATATCAAAAACAGTGAATCAAAGGCCTTTAATATAACTATTTTGTGCCATTTTATGATACTTATCTTATTTCATTTCTTTTGCGTTCTTTTTTTTGTGTGCGTTTACTTTATGTTTTTACATTAAATGAAAAGAGAAATAGTTAGGAATTCAAGCATCTAGCATACATATGTGTAAATCTAGCATATTTACATATTTGATAACTGTCACTTATATAGATCAATCTGCTTGTTAATTGATGAAAATAGGATGGTTGTTTGTCGATCGTAAAGTATAATCTAGTTCAAAATGGACTAGGAGATCTATTATATGAATTCGAAGGGACGTTTTCGTTAAAAATCTAACATGTGGAAATGTTTTATTAAACAGAGATCCCACACAAACTGACCTTGTGTTATGTTTGTAAATGTTTTGCCTACGAGGAGACAAAAGCTCTCGCTTTTGTGCCCTACGATCATTGTAGAAATGGCTCGAAGAAGCTATGTATTGAGATATGTTTACTAGTGAAATAGTTAATTTTTCTAGTAAAGCAACACCTAATGTACTAATGATAGACTTTCCATAGTGTTTTGGTTCCTCCGTTCAAGACAAAATCCTCTCTCCAGTTTTGCAAATCCATTGACTTTTTAATTTGATTTTTTTTATTTGCTACACGCTTTTCTACAAAAAAAAAAACGTGGATACAGCTCGTTAACTCAAAAAACAATTCGTTGAAATCCATAATGAATCCAAAATTGAAAGACTAACCGACTCAAGACAAAAAAAAGTCATACCGCAGTATATTTAGACAAAAGCATGTTTGACAGTCAAACAAATAAGAAACTTCCCGTGAAGTTGCATCAAGAAATGAAGTTGCGTCAAGAAAATCAAATGTGTTTCTGAAAGACGACGGTGACTCGGTGAGGTCTCACTTCTCTTTTGATCTTCCTCCGAATCCCATTCACCAAAATCTTTCTTCTTCTTCGTAATGGCTTCTTCATCTTCTTCTTCGTCCTCACGTTCTCACAACTGGTTATACGATGTCTTCCCGAGCTTTCGCGGAGAAGACGTCCGCGTAACTTTCTTGAGCCACTTCCTCAAAGAACTGGACCGAAAACTGATCACTGCTTTCAAAGACAGCGAGATCCAGAAAAGCCGATCGCTCGATCCCGAGCTTAGAAACGCAATCAGGGACTCGAGGATTGCTGTGGTCATATTCTCAAGAAACTACGCCTCTTCGAGTTGGTGCCTTAACGAATTGTTGGAGATCGTGAATTGCGAAAAAGAGTTTGGTCAAATGGTGATTCCGGTTTTCTACGGTTTAGAGCCTTCACACGTAAGGAAACAAACCGGTTATTTTGGCAAGATCTTTGATGAGACATGCCTCAAAAGCACAAAGGAATTGAAGCTTCAATGGAAAGAAGCTTTGACCAATGTAGCAAATCTCCTTGGATATGCATGGTAAGAGATTTTTTTTTTTTTTTAATGAATGTAAAATTATATTCAATCAAAAGCCGTTTGTTATATAAGTGTTTCTTGTTTGAGCTTGGTGTGAGATTTTATGATTTTTTTTTTTTGTAAAGAAATGTTGGTGTAAGTGTAAATTAATTTTTTGTTTTTGTTATTAGGGGTAACGAAGCTACAATGATTGAAGCAATCGTCAATGATGTTTTGGACAAACTGCTTTTAACTCCATCAAAGGATTTTGAGAACTTTGTTGCCATTGATGAACATATCTCTCAAATGAGTGAATTGTTGGAGTTAGAATCTGAGGAAGTGAAGATGATTGGTATATGGGGTTCCTCGGGGATTGGCAAGACTACAATCGCAAGAACTCTGTTCAATCGTCTCTCCAGACATTTCCAAGGTCGTATCTACATAGACAGGCGTTTCATAGCTAAGAGCATGGACATTTATAGCAAGAACAACCCGGACGACTATAACATGAAGTTGCACTTACAAGAAAAGTTCCTCTGTAAGATACTAGACAAGAAGATGATAGAGGTTGATCACTTGGGTGCTGTGAAAGGGAAGCTAAAGGACATGAAAGTTCTTATATTTATTGATGATTTGGATGACCAAGTTGTGCTAGATACATTGGTTGGTGGGGAAGAATGGTTTGGTCCTCGAAANGTAAAGTATAATCTAGTTCAAAATGGACTAGGAGATCTATTATATGAATTCGAAGGGACGTTTTCGTTAAAAATCTAACATGTGGAAATGTTTTATTAAACAGAGATCCCACACAAACTGACCTTGTGTTATGTTTGTAAATGTTTTGCCTACGAGGAGACAAAAGCTCTCGCTTTTGTGCCCTACGATCATTGTAGAAATGGCTCGAAGAAGCTATGTATTGAGATATGTTTACTAGTGAAATAGTTAATTTTTCTAGTAAAGCAACACCTAATGTACTAATGATAGACTTTCCATAGTGTTTTGGTTCCTCCGTTCAAGACAAAATCCTCTCTCCAGTTTTGCAAATCCATTGACTTTTTAATTTGATTTTTTTTATTTGCTACACGCTTTTCTACAAAAAAAAAAACGTGGATACAGCTCGTTAACTCAAAAAACAATTCGTTGAAATCCATAATGAATCCAAAATTGAAAGACTAACCGACTCAAGACAAAAAAAAGTCATACCGCAGTATATTTAGACAAAAGCATGTTTGACAGTCAAACAAATAAGAAACTTCCCGTGAAGTTGCATCAAGAAATGAAGTTGCGTCAAGAAAATCAAATGTGTTTCTGAAAGACGACGGTGACTCGGTGAGGTCTCACTTCTCTTTTGATCTTCCTCCGAATCCCATTCACCAAAATCTTTCTTCTTCTTCGTAATGGCTTCTTCATCTTCTTCTTCGTCCTCACGTTCTCACAACTGGTTATACGATGTCTTCCCGAGCTTTCGCGGAGAAGACGTCCGCGTAACTTTCTTGAGCCACTTCCTCAAAGAACTGGACCGAAAACTGATCACTGCTTTCAAAGACAGCGAGATCCAGAAAAGCCGATCGCTCGATCCCGAGCTTAGAAACGCAATCAGGGACTCGAGGATTGCTGTGGTCATATTCTCAAGAAACTACGCCTCTTCGAGTTGGTGCCTTAACGAATTGTTGGAGATCGTGAATTGCGAAAAAGAGTTTGGTCAAATGGTGATTCCGGTTTTCTACGGTTTAGAGCCTTCACACGTAAGGAAACAAACCGGTTATTTTGGCAAGATCTTTGATGAGACATGCCTCAAAAGCACAAAGGAATTGAAGCTTCAATGGAAAGAAGCTTTGACCAATGTAGCAAATCTCCTTGGATATCATTCAGTGACATGGTAAGAGATTTTTTTTTTTTTTTAATGAATGTAAAATTATATTCAATCAAAAGCCGTTTGTTATATAAGTGTTTCTTGTTTGAGCTTGGTGTGAGATTTTATGATTTTTTTTTTTTGTAAAGAAATGTTGGTGTAAGTGTAAATTAATTTTTTGTTTTTGTTATTAGGGGTAACGAAGCTACAATGATTGAAGCAATCGTCAATGATGTTTTGGACAAACTGCTTTTAACTCCATCAAAGGATTTTGAGAACTTTGTTGCCATTGATGAACATATCTCTCAAATGAGTGAATTGTTGGAGTTAGAATCTGAGGAAGTGAAGATGATTGGTATATGGGGTTCCTCGGGGATTGGCAAGACTACAATCGCAAGAACTCTGTTCAATCGTCTCTCCAGACATTTCCAAGGTCGTATCTACATAGACAGGCGTTTCATAGCTAAGAGCATGGACATTTATAGCAAGAACAACCCGGACGACTATAACATGAAGTTGCACTTACAAGAAAAGTTCCTCTGTAAGATACTAGACAAGAAGATGATAGAGGTTGATCACTTGGGTGCTGTGAAAGGGAAGCTAAAGGACATGAAAGTTCTTATATTTATTGATGATTTGGATGACCAAGTTGTGCTAGATACATTGGTTGGTGGGGAAGAATGGTTTGGTCCTCGAAGTAGAATCATTTTGATTACAAAAGATAAGCAAATTCTAAGAGGTCATGGGGTAAAATGGATTTACGAGGTTGGTATGCCGTCTGCAAAAGTAGCTCTTCAGATTTTCTGCCAAAATGCTTTCAGGCAACGTTCTCCACCTGATGGTTTCACCGAGCTCGCTTATGAAGTTGCCGCGCGTGCAGGTCGTCTTCCTCTAGGTCTAAACCTACTAGGTTCGAGTATGCGTGGGAGAAACAAGAAGTATTGGATAAACGTGTTGCCGACTTTCCGGCTAGACGGGAAGATTCAGAGAGCACTACAAGTTAGCTACGATGGATTAGAAAGAAGAGAACACAAGGAATTGTTTCGTCACATTGCTTGTTTTTTCAACGGTGATGAAGTCGATAACATCAAGTTGATGCTTGCAGATAGTGAGATGAATGTTGATATAAGTCTTGAAACTCTAATTGATAAGTCCCTCATACATGTACGCGAAAAGAACATCGTGGAGATGCACTCTCTAGTAGAAGAAATGGGAAAAGAGATTGTTCGTGAACAGTCGGACGAGCCAGGAGAACGAGAGTTCTTAATAGACTCAAAGAGTGTATGTGAGGTACTTGAAGACAACACGGTAATACTTTTTTCTTTCTTTTTTTTTTCCATGTATATTTTCACTTTAACAAGATTGGAAAGTTTCTTGTTATGCTAATGATTCTTATATGTTTCAGGGTACTATAAAAGTTAAAGGTATATCATTGGATCTATATAAGACTGGTGAGTTGCAGATCCATAAGAAAGCTTTCAAAAAGATGAAAAATCTACGTTTCCTAAACATTTACACTAGGAAATGGCAGCATAACAAAGAAGTTAGATGGCACTTACATGAAGACTTCAACCATTTCCCCCATAAACTTAGACACTTGTGGTTTGACGGATACCCAATGAGACACATACCTTCTAATTTTCTTCCAAAAAATCTAGTTAATCTCAGAATGGAAGGGAGCAAACTCGAGAAGTTGTGGGATGGAATTCATGTAAGTTCCCGTTTCAGTTTAAGGACTGTTTTATACTTAAACGTTTTTTTTATACCTAATTTTCAATGCATAATTTGAAACAAATTTTATTCTTTCTTTTTTATGAATAAAAAATAACTAAATGATAGATTTATATTAATTAGGGACATTTCAAAATTTTTAATACGTTTTATTAATTCGGGTGTAACAATCTTAAACCACACTTATATTGATACCAAAGGGGTAATTAGTATTGAGATGTTGTTATAAATTTTGTTGTAAAAAGAATATATATATATAACAATCTGATGTGTAACTTGTTTATACTCTAGTCACTTACAGGGCTCAAAAATATGGATTTTATGGAATCTACGAATCTAAAAGAGATCCCAAATCTTTCCATGGCTACAAATCTAGAGACATTTAATCTTGCGTATTGCTCGAGTTTGGTGGAGCTTCCTTCCTCTATTCAGCATCTTAGCAAACTGAAGGAGATAAACATGTCATTCTGTGCAAATTTGGAGATTCTTCCAACCGGAAGGTACCTCAAATCTCTCGAACAGCTCAGTCTCGAGGGATGCTCAAAGTTAAAGAGTTTTCCTGATATCTCAAGCAATATCTCTGTGCTCAATCTAAGCGAAACAGCGATTGAAGAATTGCCCCCTAACTTGCGTCTAGAGAATCTTGTCGAGCTTCAGTTGTATAGAATGAAAAGTGAGAAATTGTGGGAAAGTGTTCAGGTATGTTACCTTACCTAACGTTTCTTTCATAAGCAATTTGAAAGAAAGTTTCTTGAGAAAAAAAGAAAAAAAAAAACACTATAGGTCTAGTATAAGAAACTACTGCAACTAGTTATCCTATGTCCGGAGGACATTGAGATGAAACACTTGTCTTGGCCCCAAAATGTTAAGTGGTTATTATGTATTAGATAACTTGAATCTAACATATATGAATCTTGGTAGAATAATTAATTATTCGTTAATAATTTTCTTTGTAATTGCTTTTAGACGTTATTAGATTCATTTGGCCCCCAAACTACTGGAAACAAAATATACGTGTAGAACACTTTGCCCTGAAAACCAGTCTCATTAATCTTAGGGGCGGCCCTGGTTATACTTTGAGAAAGTGAATGTTAGTATAGATTGAAGGTCAATAAAAAACTATGGATTATATATTATACAACCAGGTACAATCAAAGCATGCAAATTGATAATGTTTGGCATCTTCTAATTTTGTTTTATTTTTCTGTGTTATTCTGTTCAGCCGCTTACACCACTCATGGCCATGTTATCTCCCTCTTTGACGAGGTTGTTCCTCTCAGATATCCCAACTTTGGTGGAGCTTCCTTTATCATTTCAGAATCTCAATAATCTGGAATGGTTGAGCATCACACAATGCATAAATCTGGAGACTCTTCCAAATGGCATCAACTTCGAATATCTTGATTTCCTCGACCTCACTGGATGCTCACGGTTGACGAGCTTTCCTGATATCTCAACCAACATCTCAGAGCTCCAACTAAACGAAACAGGGATTGAAGAGGTTCCTTGGTGGATCGAGAGTTTCAGTAACCTAAACGTGTTAAGCATGTGGGAATGCAAAAACCTGAAGCATGTTTCCCTCAACATTACAAAACTGAAACATCTTGAGAAGGTTGACTTTTCTGATTGTGGGGCATTGACCGGAGTTAGCTTGCATGATACTCCAAGTGCGGTGGCAACGGCAACAGATAGTGGTAATACAAGAACTACTCTTGACGAGGCTTTTTCATCTTTTCATGAATATATATATACACCAAACATGATCTCGCTCAATTTCGCAAAATGCTTCAACTTGAATCAAGAAGCTTTTCTTGAAACACATACAGTGTTGCAAGAACTAATCTTGCCAGGGGAAGAAGTGCCTTCATATTTTACTCATCAAACTTCTGGAACCTCCTCACTAACCATCCCATTGTCTCCGAGCTTTCTCTCGCAAACGTTCGTCAGAGTTAGGGTTTGCGCTGTTCTTATGTCTACAAGTGGTGTCAACGGAGTAGATATCAACGTAAACGCTCGGTTCAAAGGCAGATCGGGGAACATCTCTGAATCCTATGGCCAGCGACATAGATTTTGGGCAGTTCATAACGATAGTCATCTGTTTATAATGGACTGTCGTTTTCCTTTGAACAAAGACAATGCTCCTTCTCTAGCTGAACTGAACTACGATCACGTGGATATACAACTTCAGGTAAGTAGTAGTTTTTTTCAACATGCAGTGGACGAGAAGGATCACGAGTACTCTACGTTCAAATGGGGTGTACGCATCTTGAACGAGTATTCATCAGTGGAGAGCGGACTTGGTAATCCAAATACTCTTCCACATGTTAATGATGAATGCCATGAGGCTGAACAAGGTGAAGAATGTGGAGATGGCTTGGTGGAGATAGAGAGACGCAGGGAGAGAATGCGAGTAAGCTTTAAGCTGATAAGATTCATCACACATGTTACTTCAAGAAGAAGCAAAAGAAATGAGATATTGAAGGTTTTGGAGAGAAGTTTGAAGAGGGCTCGAAGGATTAATGAAGTCAAAGTCTCCAGTTGACAAAGGGGGTTTGCCGTTTAATGAGAAGTCGTATTAATGAACTTTGTATGTTGCAATAATTTGGCAAGAGACATTGCGAAAAGTGTTACTAGAGAAGGAAAATTTCATACTTGGCTCTATGAGGTTAATAATACGTTTCAGTGATTCATTTACCTCCTTGTGCTAACTCATTTTGCATGTCCAACATTTTTGTTTCTTGGAATGGTGTTGATGTGTTATTCCTCCACGTGCCTCCACCATTACAATAATGAATCAACCACTCACCTACTTAGAACATCATCTCTTATCTCTTGTCGGATAAAGTATTATCTTTTGAAAGGTCGGAGAAAGTGTTCATATTTGCTTCTTGCTTTTTGACTAGTATTTTTTTTTTAGACATATATCCTTTCATGAAACCTACTCTTTTGCCATATAGTGAAGTACTATTAATTTACACTATTAAAGACTTGTCTCTTAACCAAGCAACTATGGTATTCTTTTAAAGAGAGTATTATAAAAAAGGTCTAGAATCTCTCAAAATTAATTACGATCAATTGCATAACAAGGATGCGTTTTACTCCAATGACTCCATTAACTCATTGATTCTAAACTTTGTTTAGGTCGCATGCATTTTCAACGTGGGATTACTATTATACATTCATTAAGCAATTAATGAGTGGAGTAGAATTTTTAAAAATACAAACCCGTTGAAGTTTCTTAAACAAACACACTAAAAATACAAGCCGTTCTTCTTCAAGTAACCAATGAGTCATGTGTCAAAACTTTCTCATCTAGTATTCTCTCCCTAGCCTTGTTTGCCTGCAAAATTCAAAATATAATTAAGTAAAAGCAAATATTATCTCCATGTATGGAAAATCGAACAAAGGATTAGAAACAAAAAAAAATTAATTATGCGGTTTTGATCACCTCTTTGTTCCAATTGGTGAATCCAACAACAAGAAAGAGGATTAAGGTTTGTAATGTTGATCCTGAGACTAAACCAGCCCAAAGTCCTTTCCCATTGAAGTGAAGATGAAAACACAATAGTAGTCCAACGGGAATACCAATGATATAATAAGAAGTTACGTTCACATAAGCTCCAATTTTTTGCCACCCTGTCCCTCTCACAATCCCTAAATACAAAACAACATTCGGTACCACAAAACCAAAAAAAAAACTTCGTTCCTAAACCGGAAAGGATGGTTAAGAAAGGCTAACCGGAGAGGACGGTCAAGAAGCTGTCCATGAGGATTGAAATGCAAAAAATGGGAGTGATCTCGGTCACATAACGAGTTACTTCCTCCACATTGGTATAAGCAAGAGGCCATACATTGCGAGATAAGAAGAGAGTAGAGCTCACAATGACTGACTCAACAGCTGCAATTATAATCGCAGCTGATGCAGAATCACGAGCACCTCGCGGATTACCAGCTCCTAGCTCATTCGCCACATTGGTACTAAACCAATATCGAAAAATAATAAAAAATATATTAAGTAAAAAAATGTGTGAGATTAGGACTTTAAGAGTATTAAAGTAAAAGCAAACCTTGCTGCATCACCAATTCCATTTACTAGATTGTAGTGCAAAGAAGAGGTTGTGAGGCTGTTCAAATAAAAAAAAACCAGGCTTAGACAATAAAAGCAAATTAAACTTAATATCGTTTTTTTGGGTCGAATCTAAATATAAAAGTCTATATTTCTTTTTGTGGTTAGAATCATTACCAAATCGAAATAACCGAAGTTTCGAGCTTTGAGTTTGGTAGTAGACCAGACAGCAGAGTAATCACCTCAAAAGCTAACCACTCAAGGCTATTGAATGAAGGAACAAAAATAACAACAACAAAAAAAAGTGTTAAAAGAATAGTGAAGAAAAATAAAAAGATCCATTAGAATATTCCTTTTATTACCAGAGTACTTACCAACACATCATCGCAGAAGGAACCGCAAACTGAAAGAAGATCTTTGTGTGAATAAACACATCCTTTGACATAAAAATCTGCGTTTTCAAGCACGCTTGAGAGCGTTTCATGTAAACCCAAAGGAAAACCGCGTTGAGCCAGTAAGAGATACCGATAGACACAGCCGCTCCTTTGACTCCAAACTCGAATCTATGAACCATTAGCCAACAAAGAGGAACATGGAAAGCGAGAGCAGCTAGAGAGCTCAAAACCATTGGAGAGATCAAGCTTTGTGACTGAAAATATCGAACCAACGACTCAAGAACCGAGTAACCAAACAACGCCGGTATGAGCCAGAGGCAGTAAACAGCTGCTAACTCTGCGACTTGAGGATCTTGATGAAGAAGAGTCAAGATCTGGTTCATGAACATCCAAAGAATCGAAATCGGGAAAGAGATAATCAAGAGATAAACCATGGAAGTGAAAGTGTATGATCCGAGCTTGTGGTATTGTTCTGCTCCAAATGCTTGACCACATAGTGTTTCTAATGCGCCTGAAAGTCCAAACTATTGTATACAAAATATGAGTATACAAAACCATATATTATAAAAAAAAATGCTAAGAAAATTCACAAAAATATGAAAGAAAAAAATTGCTTACGAGAACACCAAAACCGGTGACGTTAGCAAAGGAGCTTCCAAGAGCGATTCCGGCGAGAGAGAGTTCGCTGTGGTGACCGACGATCATCGTAGAAGTTGCTTGAAGAAGAAACTGAGACATGTTCACGGCGATCATTGGAACAGCCATTGAAGCAACGTTCTTCATCTTCTCCCATCTTATCTTTTCTTCTTTAGTCTTCACCAGTAATGGAGCTTCGATACTCTTCATCTTTCGTCTTGTTAGAAAAATGGGAAGTTGGGTCAAATTTATGAACTTAAGGTTTTGTATAAATGTGTTATCTTGAAATATAGACACGCGACACGAAAAAGATAGACACGTTGCAAAAATAAACTCATTTACGTCTAAATCCGAAACCGTGTCTCTAACTTTATCGTCCTCTCTCATTCATTAAATAGAAAAACAGTAACTACTTTACATCGGTCTAGAAGATTAATTTAAAGCACATGTTGGATTGGAAGTCCTTACGTGTCTAGTTCAAATACTGCACATGTGAAAAATGATGTATGTTCTACTTCTTGAATAAAACACTTTAAACCTCTCTAACTTGGTTATAAAAAATAATGATACAAATGGAGCTTGTTGAGAGGCCAAATGAACATGTTAACACATGTTAGAGATCCCAACCCAATATTCCATATCTCGATGTGATATATTAATTATGCAGGTCCACTTTAATGACTCCCGTTTTATTTTTGTGCACGATCGTCAAGAAGATTGTTCAAATCAAATCAGTTATATCATTTAATGCGAAGATAAGGAAACCAGATCCATTGGACTAGGAAGACAATTCTCCATTTCTCTTGTTCAATTAAGATGAAAATACATAAGACACTCCGGTATATCAAATTCTTTTTTTTCTTCTTTTTCTTAATTATTCTTCCATAGATGTTTTAGATATTTTTTTCTTCTTCCATAGACATGCTCATGTCCACAAAGAAACGGGGAATCAAAATGGTTGTAGTTTGTTTATGCATTTGCTGATTTGCAAATACATAATTTTTTTGTTCATATCAATAAATTCGTTTCCTGGCCACTCATCGAGAAAACCGAACTTAAATTTTATTTGCTAAAAAAGTAACAATAATGGCTTCTGACATCGTGTCCGTAATGGCAGAAGTAATAAAATACAGAGGTTTATTATTGATATAGTATTTGATTTTCTATTAGTGTTAAACAAACGCTAATCACGTGTGTACAACTTCATAATTACAGTAACTTGTTAAACAAACTCCAGCCGACGGTGAAGAGATCTGATTGGCTAAGTTCAGATTGGTTTCTAATCAGAGGTATTTGTAAAAATTATTAGCGTATTGTGTTCTGTTCGGATTCTTCATTGGTACACAAACATTTATGGACAACAAGAGCCTACGTAGAAATAATAAATGTCAGCAACTATAACTACACGTTAAACCCCCATTAACGTTAGGTTAAAAACAATTTGGACAATTCAAAGTTGGGAAACTTTTTGTTTAGTGTAGTGGTTGAGATTTGTTTGTTGGAAAATTAGTTAAGTTGATTTATCTGAATAATATATGAGACACTTCTGCCAGCAGAGCCATGCCTACATTTTTAGTGCCGTAGGCAAAACATAAAAATATAGTTTAGTATTTTGATATTATTATACAATACAAAAATAAAGTTTAATATTTCTTATGATTTTCTTACAAAAAATACATATGTATTTTGCATTAAATTTATACAAAATTCTATTATACAAAATGTGGTATTGTATATAATAATTTATAAACCGGGTCCTCGTGGTCTGGTGGTAATGGAGCCTCAGCTGAGGTGCCCGCCATCACGAGTTCGAGTCCCCGGCCACCCGGGCTGCCTTAAATGGTAAGAAAACGTGGACTGCCGTGGGCCTCGTGGGATTAGTCTTGGGCCTAGAAAGCCTTTGGATCACCCACGGTTATCAAAAAAAAAATATATATATATATATAATAATTTATATATTTTGAAATTTTAACTAAGATGAAGTACATATGGAAATAAATAGAGAAAAAGGAATTTGTAAAAATAAATTGAAAAATAAGAGCCAGTAGAGAGAGAAATGAAAAGAAAAATGTGAGCACAGAAATAAAGAAAGGAGATTAACTAATTTTAAAAATAGAAATTAACGTTGAGATATATTTAAAATAGAAGAAGACATTATTGTAAGGCTTAAACGGTAAACTCTATGTAATAAAATATTCATCAATGATAAATATGTCTTCTTAATAGTTTTCCAAAATTTAGTGCCGTAGGCCAATGCCTCAATTCGTAAGCCACAGGCACGGCTCTGACTTCTGGTGTGGTTGTTTTCAAACTGCTTCCATTTTCCGCTTTCAATTATTAATGGATATTGGGGCCTACCTTTGTATTTACGAAAAGCATGTTCGTTCAATTATTTTGAGATAAAACTTCCACCCAACTGTCGGAAGAAAACATTGAATTCGTGTCTATCACCTAACGAATAGTTTGTTCGAAGCCACAAAAAAAAAATGATAGTTAACGTCTGCATGACTGCTCTCAACTGCTTAAATTTCGTTAGGCGAGTGGATTTGAGGCTCTCCAGTCTCCATTATTGTCTACTACTATCAGACAGCAACTCAGGCGCTCTGTACTTATCTAGCTGTCAATTGAAACCAAAAATATAAACTAAGTATATCCATCGATGAACGAAATACCTAATACTATCCACAATGACTGAGGATGTTAGAAAAAGATTTTAGAAGGCTTAAATCGTGTAATGAGCATGTTGTGTGTTTTGTGAATCCATCTGGATTAAGAGGAATTGAATTTTTTTTTGCAACTAAAAAATATGAGGCCGCCACGTGGCGAATTGTTATTGGTATGACTTTGGGAGAAAAAAGTTTATGTTCGATGGAAACATGTGCTACAGATGTATTGTGATTAAATGCAGAGATTTTTGAGTTTTTTATTTTATTTTATTTTATTTCATCCTAATTCTTTGAGTTCAATGATTTTATATGAAACAGATTTTGATAAAAACAATTTGTATACCAAAATTCATCATTTTTTAATAATCTACAAATTGTTAATTTTAATGATCTACTATCATTTCATTTGGATATAGAAAAAAATGTTATTTTTCCTCAAAATAAATAACACAAAACAAAAATATAATGTAGAGTGGTAGAATAAAGTGTTCAATTTTACTAAACAAATTGTTGTAAAGCGTAATATGTGGAAAAAAAGAAGAAGGTGATGTTAAGTAGTAAAGAATATGGTGTTGAATTTAGAAACCATTGCGTCATTTAAATATTTTTAAAAAAAATTATATATATAAGACATCAAATATTTGTTTTTTAGCTTTATGCACACAGATTAAGAAATCATTAATTTTTTTATTTTTTTCAAAATAAAACATGTTATATCATTAATTCTAACACAATTGAACCAATGAAAAGCCAATATGCAGAATTTAAAGAGTCAAAAGAACAAAAATACATTATTTTTTGTATGTATTTGTAAGAAAGCCACTTATTTGTGAACAAATTTTTTTCCGACAGTTATTAGAAAACATAGGGAGTATTAAACATTTTCCCAATTCACATCAATCATACACTTCTCGTGTGGTTGTTTTCAAACTGCTTCCATTTTCCGCTTTCAAATTATTAATGGATTGGGGCCTACCTTTGTATTTACGAAAAGCATGTTCGTTCAATTATTTTTGAGATAAAATTTTCACCCAACTGTCGGAAGTAAACATTGAATTCGTGTCTATCGCCTAACGAATAGTTTGTTCGAAGCCACACACAAAAAATGATAGTTAACGTCTGCATGACTGCATCACCGCTCTCAACTGCTTAAATTTCGTTAGGCAAGTGGATTTGAGGCTCTCCATTACTGTCTACTATCAGACAGCAACTCAGGCGCTCTGTACTTACCTAGCTGTCAATTGAAAACAAAAATATAAACTAATACTATCCACAATGAGGATGTTAATTAGAAAAAAGACTTTTAGAAGGCTAAAATCGTGTAATGAGAATGTTGTGTTTTTGTGTGAATCCATCTGGATTAAGAGGAATTGATTTTTTTTTGAAACTGAAAAAATGAGGCCGCCACGTTGGGAGTTGTTTGGTATGACTTTGGGAAAAAATGTCTGTTCGTTGGAAACATGTGCTATACATGTATTGTGATTAAATGCTGAGATTTTTGAGTTTTTTATTTTATTTTATTTCATCCTAATTCTTTGAGTTCAATTATTTTATATGAAACAAAATTTGATAAAACAGTTTGTATACCAAAATTCATCATTTTTTAATGATCTACAAATTGTTATTTTTTTAATGATCTACTAATCTCATTTCATTTGGATATAGAAAAATGTTATTTTCCCTCAAAATAAATAACACAAAACAAAAATATAATATAGAGTGGTAGAATCTATGTTGCATGGAAACAGAAACAGAAACATTTCCGAAACGGGAAACGTGAAATTTTGAAAAATATAAGTTTGGAAATGTTTTGGAAACGCGTATATATATAATGTTAAATAGTTTAACTAATAATAAATACCGTAATGTTTAATGTCAAAATTTTAAAAATATTTTCTATTGTTATTGTTATGAGATTCATCAATGGAAAATATTTTTATCAAGAAAAAGATTGAAACTCAAAAATGATAAGATCAATCTCATAGAATAAATCAAATTAATCATTAGTTTATTTTAAACAATTAAATGAATCAATTGTATTATTTGATTCATAATTATTAAATTATACTATGTTATCAAAAACAAGATATAAGTTTCCGTTTCGAGTTTTCCAAATGGAAACGTCGCGTTTCCAAACTGAAAATTGTAGAAAATGCGGAAAAAGGAGTTTCTGATAAGTTTGTGAGAGTTTCCGTTTTGGAAACGTTTCCGCAAAGGGAAACACCTCAGACGGAGTTTCCATACAACATAGGGTAGAATAAAGTAATGAATTTTACTAAACAAATTATTGTAAAGTGTAATATGTGGAAAGAAAGAAGGTGATATTAAGTAAAGAATATGGTGTTGAATTTAGAAACCATTGTGGATAGTATTGAGTAATTTGGACCATCCCGAAACACTCTTGCCATACCTAAATCAGCTAGTTTCAATAAACCAATTTATTAGGCTTCATATTAGGTACAAAGGATGTCACAAACAAATCAAGATTAAAGCTAAAACCTAATTAACAAGCTAAGCGAAGTTACAAAATATTTTCGCCAAACCCTATACAACACCATTGCTTCTCCATAAACAAATACATACCAATATAACATTTTAAAATGTAAAATACACAAAAGATACAATCGTAACTTGAAATAAACAAATCTGAGAAATAACATACAAAGTTGATACTTATTACAAAAATATATAGGGTTATAACAGTTCAACTTTTTCCTGTATTCAAGATCTGGCTTGGCGCTAATCAGTCGGTTGGACTACGATTAACGATTTTTCAGAAGTCATCAATAAATCAGGAATTAATCGAGATGAAATGTTTACTTTATTTTTATATTTTAAAAAAAAAAAATATATATATATATATATAAGACATCAATATGAAAATCATATATTAAACATTTTTCCCAATTCACATTTAATACAAAAGATAAATATAGTTACACTCACAAATATACACAAATATTGTCCCAAATCTATTTCTTGATTAAGTGAGATGAGATTAGATTAGATGATGTGTGCCAAAGTTTCGACAAAAATGGCAACGTTAAACAAAGAAAATGGATATGAATTTGACAAACAAAACTTGTGACCCAAACGATTTTCAGATTTACTGGACGGTTTTTGCAATTTGATGGTCAAAGCATGATTGACCGGTTTTTGGTAGCGATTATGCAAAATCGACACGGTTAGCTACCAATTAAGCGAATTTTTGGATGACTAATCGGCTTAACAGCCGATATACAGCTTTTTTCTCATGTTACGGTTTGGAAAAACCAGAGTTAATCAGATATTAGTATTACACAAACTATTAAATACAAAGGTAAAAAGATTTGGCTTCTACGTTTCATTTCTATTTATAAAATATGATTTGCCTTTTGTACTTTATTTTCAGATTTTGATTGGTAAGACTAATTTGCATTAAGGCATTACAAAACTTTGATTTTTGAGTGTTGCGAAATCCAATCAAAGCCAATAATTGTACATACTTTCCCACAACTAAATCCCCTCAGGACCCATCACTCTCCTAATTTTCCCCGGAGGTGAAAGCACCGCCGGGCTACTCCGGTGTTGGTTTTGCTCCGATGAGCCCTTCGGTTCGAGCGCGTCTCCTTTCGAAGCCGGAATCTGTAGCTTCCCTGGCTCAGTTGGTGATGGAGAAGACGAGAAATACCTAAAAAAAAAAAAAAGAACACAAACTCAAATGAGAGATTAACCGGAATGTGTTTTGTCCCGGAGACGAGTTCAAGAACTAACCTATGGTCCAAAGCTTGCTGTATCGTGATCCTTTGTCGTGGGTCGTAGGTGAACATTTTCGCCAAAAGATCCAAAGTGTCATCGCTCGCCATAGGGAAGATGGTGCGTAACGGTGGAGCTTGTGTGTATGAGAACTCCATGTACTCTGGGAGATAGATCATGTCAGTCCATTGTGAAGGCGTTGGAGTTCCAAAAGCTTGAAAGATCTTTCCGAGTTGATCAATTTCAGTGGAGCCCTGAAAGAAGAAACCAAAAGGTTTTCACAACATTCTTGAAAAAACAGAGAGATCTTTTGAAAGATATACAAGAAGTTTAGAACATTTACCGGTAAAAACGGTCGACGAAGTAATAGCTCGGCGAAGATACATCCTGCAGCCCAAACATCAACTCCTGCTCCGTACTGTCTGCTCCCAAAGAGAAGCTCAGGAGCTCTATACCATGTAGCAAATACCTGTGTGAGTAAGTAAGTTTCTTTTAGATCCGAATCGATTTTTACTATGAACACAAGAAGATACACATATCTAAACCAAAAGAGATATCTACACAACCAATCAATCTCAGAATCTTGTAGAGTAACATAATGTCAATACGCCCCTAAGCAACAAAAATGGTATCTGATGACTTTGGAAACATAAGAACGCAAGAACTGGAAATCTGGAATTGAAAACGTTATGATATTTTCTCAATGCTCTGTATCATTTGTAAACATAAACTTCCACTAAATCATCAAGAGATGCCAAGATTACTAATCAAAACTTCTAGACTTAATCTAGCTGCCGATTCAAACCAAAAACATCAAATTGTATAGAGCTTGTAGAGGAACAAAATGCCTATACGTCCCTAAGCAACAAAATGGTATTGAGAAGATATAGAAACCAAATGAGATATCTACACAATCAATCAATCTCAGAATCTCGTAGAGCAACAAAAATGGTATTTGGTGACTTTGAAACACCAATCTTTAACCTCACCAAAGCAACGAAAACATATGATATCTTCTTCTCATTGCTCTGTATCATTTCTCTGTTATCTTTCTCAACATAAACTTCCACTAAATCATCAAAGAGGTGCCAAGATTACTAATCACAACTTCTAGACTAAATCTAGGTGTACAATGCAGCAAACCAAAAACATCAAACTGTATAGAGCTTAGTATATCAATCAAATGAAAGAAGTACCTGATGAGTAAACCTCCGATTTGGACTCCCAAACACTCTTGCAAGACCAAAATCAGCTAACTTCAACAGACCATTCTCTCCAATCAGCAAATTATTAGGCTTCATATCCCTAAACAAAGGATTTTCCCAAATCAAGAACCTAAACGTAACACAAGAAACTGAGAAGGAAACAAACAATTTCGATTTTACCTGTGTAAAACCCATTTCTTGTGACAATGAGCTAAACCTTTGAGAGTCATCAACATGTAAGACTTGATATCTCCAGGGGAGAGGAAGATGTTCCGGTCGCGAATCACAGCTTCCAAATCCGTCTGCATATACTCGAAAACGAGATGCAAGCTTCCGTCGTGAGGAAACGCGTCGATGAGCTCGACGATGTGTGGGTGATTGAGCTCTTTCAACAGCTTGATCTCTCTGAGCGCCGTGAAATTCACTCCTTCTTTCTGGTTTCCTAACCTAATCTTCTTCACCGCTACAGTTTTGCCAGTCTAGAGAAGAAATCGAAGATATATATATGAATCAAGCAATTATGGAATTGAAAATCGAAATCGAATTGATTTGATTGATTGAGTCACCTTGGTGTCTGTCGCTTTGTAAACGACACCGTATGTTCCTTCTCCGAGCACTTGTCGTCTTAGATACCGATCGACGGGTTGATTTCCGCCGGATTTCGACATCGGAGCAGTTTCTCTTCTTCTCCGGTTAGTGTTTTAACACTTCGACGAAGACGACGAGGGCTAATGAATAAATACACAGCAGTCTAAGGAATTAGATTCTTTGGTCTCATTTTTACCTCGAAGTTTTCGTAATTTCTTAAACTAGCCTCGTATTATTGAAATTATCAGAAACAGCCCAACATTCTTATTGTTCCTTAACTTTGTGAGTTTTACTAATTTTGATATGTTACGACACATATGATTTTTATAAAATATATAATTAATAATCCTTAATTTTAAGTATCATAAGAAACGAACCTCATATTTCTGAAATCATTAGACACAATCCTATTGTATATCTAATAATTCCTCCGATTCTTGAGAAATGCAAAATTAAAGTTACAGAAAATGTTTATGAGAGATAGGATGAAAAGTTTCGACGTAAGACATACGCTCTTTGAATTTACCAAAAGTTGGTTTATTTGGTTTAATTGTAGCCATATTCACTATTGTGTGATCGTTTAGGAAGAAAATAATAGTACATATCGGATTTGGTATTCTAAACCGGTTACCAAATCATTCATGAGCATGTAGTAAACAACAACACTAACTCGGACAAAAAGACAAAGATGCAGAAATTATGCAAGGCAAATACCAAAGCAAATAAATTTGTTTCAGTTTTATAAAACTATAGTATTAATATTAAAAAGGTAAAAAATGAGCGTTGACAAAAAACAAAAAACAAAATCAACTGAATAGTGATTTATATCAAGATTGATTTCGTTTTCTGCCCATGGGAGATAAAATATACATTCCACTCGTACGATATATATGCTCAAGTTGAAAGGAGCAGATCCAAGAGAGTATAATAAAAGAGATAGGAGACATAATTTCAAGTGCAAAGATCGCATAAGCAAACAAACGAATCAAAGTGGTTTCAGCAACACTGATAATATTATTCGACAAAAGACTAATTAACGCAAATAATAAAAAACATGATTGATATCAATTCTAAAAAAACCTAACATTCTCTACATAATCCGAAAAAAGAATTAATCTTACAAAACGCGTCCCAAACTCATAGTCTGAGTTTAGTTCAATCTTAATGTTTCTACAACTATTGCTGTTGGGATTGTAAAAGACAACGTAAAACGCATTACGAGCACTGTAAGGTGCCAAAATAAACTCACCCGTATGAGTAGTACCTGTTATCTGAAAGTTTTCTATTTGTAAACTCTTACAATAAGGTTCGACACTGAAACTTTTCTTCAACCATCCATTTCTTCCATAACCCACACATTAAACGTGTGTAATGGGTATGCTACAAATTTTGTCGCTATGGCTACTTTCCCCTCATACTTTATCAAAGTAAACCCATATGGAGCTATAAGATCTGCGGGTAAATCAGTTAAGAGTTCCAACTTTTCAGACCTCACATCAAATCTCATTAAGCTCCGCTGAAACATTCCTTTCCCCGTGAAAGCAAGATAATACAAAACACCATCTATGCACAAACCGTTAGAGTTAGACCAAGGACGGTGAGGAATGCTACAATCCATCACTCTCCATGATTCTCTTTCTCCAAGTGTGAATACTCTATCATGAGATAACTGAAACTTTCGGTGATTATCATGAAGTCTTTCCGTCAAGCACAACACTTTGTATTGATCATTAACCGGATCATACCCTGAATAAGTTTTGACGATCTTTCTCCTCGTTACGACTTTAGGTAGAGTTATGGACTTACCAGTAGTGGGATTATATATGATTTGTTCTTCGCAGAATCCAAGGCTTATTAAACCATTAACAAACTGCGGAAGGTACTGGTTTTGACGTGTAAAACGTGATATCAATGACGTTCCTGAAGAAGACGACGAGAAGAAGTCCAAATATTGGCGTCTTACTCTGTAGTCTAAATGACTGAAAGTTATTAGGAGACGAGGCTGCGAGGAAGACCCAAACGGAAAAGATGTGATGAAATCTCGACTTCGGATGAACGTTTCCCATGACTTTGATACTACTAGAAACCTCGCTACGGATTTCGAAGGCAATCTACCAACGATCTCGATCACTACGTCAAGAGGGATATGGTCAAAGTTTTTTTGATCTTCCAACGCATGTGGATTGATCTTCACGGACCTTACGGTCTTGGTCCTTTTGCTGCGTGTTCTTCTCATCATCTATTGCTCTAAACCCTAATCTCTGTCTACTCTTCGCTAGTAAAACCACAAATTCCGTGTTAATGGGCCTTGTGTAACCGGGATGCGTCTTCAAGGATACGGTTTTCTTTGTTAGATTGGGGCATCGGCCCAATGGGCGAGCCCAGTCCATAGAAATATGGACGGACATGGACACGCCTACATTCAGTATGAGCATAATTGGACATGTCCAACTTAACCCTAGGACAAATGTGGACGGACACGTGTGGACATAGGCTGTCCGGACGAAAAAATTTAGGTCAAATCGATTTGGGACAAAATCATTTCACATAATCCGCGTTAGGCTTGGGCTTTCGGGTTTCGATTCGGGTTTGGACTGGGTTTTTCGGGTTTCGGATTTTTGAGTTTAGAGATTTAGAAACTGTTATGGTGTTTTAAAGTTTCGGTTTGGGTTCGGTTCGAGTTTTTTCGGGTTCGGTTTGGGTTTTTTTCCGGGTTTTCGAGTTTTTTTGGGTTTTTAAAGTTTTTTCGGGTTTTTTGGGTCGGATTTGGATTCGGATTCGGGTTTAGAATCCGCGCCGAAAAAAGACGATTTTCAAAAAAAAGATATTATATACACTAATAAAAACAAAAAATGTTTTTTGTCCATGGACGCCCGTGGACATGGACGCCCGTGGACAGCTCATTTTTTATGGGCCGTAATGGGCATGGTCCAATATGAACATGGACCTAAATGGACGGGGACAATATTTGTCCATAAACAAATGGACAGTTTTGGACAGGCCAATATGGACATGGACGCCCATATTGACAGCTCTAGATTGGGTTGTGGAGAAAGCTGTATATTATCAATGTTTTACTTAGATGTGTAAATAAAAACTTTAGAATAAATATCCTTTTCAATAAGAAAAAAAGCTAAACACAATACAGTAGAACCTCAATATAAAATAATATTCGATAATGTAATAATTATTATAAGATAATAAATTTCTCTAAACTTAATTAAGTTAATATAAAAATAATTAATATGATCTAACAAGGAGATTGTGATCTTCAAATCCGGAACATTATATTGGGTTTGGAAGTGTATGCTTTCCTTTGATTAAAAACCTTTGCCCAAAATCAAGAAAACATTCAAACATGTCAAGAAACATATCCCTAAAAGATGGATGAAAATGTTTTGAGCTTAGAGAAGCAAAAGGCAACATCTTTGGAGACAATACTTCTCATCCGATTTTCAACGATTTCGGCTTAACCTGAGCTTCTTCACCATTGACATCAGATGGTTCATTAGGAGGACGAGGAGCAGTTGCAGGACGAGCCTCCTGGATGAAAATTTATAAGGCACTTAGTAACTCTCAGTTTACCAGAGAGTATGTTCCTCTGTACTTTATCAAGCAAAACTTTACTCGGAGGCTCATCACCATAGTCATTTTTTCACATAATACCCAACTCTCAAGAACTCTTGACCTTTATAAAACCATGTAAGCAACAGCAACGTGACACCGGTAATATTTAATATTTTCCTCGCGTCCGCGACGTGTGAAGTATATATGTGCTCAAATTAAAAGGAAAAGATCCAGAGAGTATACTAAAGGAGATATATGAGACATAATTTTGAAGTGCAAAGATCGCTTAAGCAAACAAACGAATCAAAGTGGTTTCAGAAACAAACTGATAATATTATTAGACAAAAGACTAATTAACGGAAATATTAAAAAAGAAACATGATTGGTGTCAACTCATGAAACACCTAAAAAACCTAATATTCTCTACATATCCGAAAGAACAACTAGCTTTGGATATTTTGCCGTAAGCTCATAGTTTGAGTTTACTTCAATCTTAATGTTTCTACAACTATTGCTTTTGGGATTGTAAATGACAAACACAAAACGCATTACATAATCTCACCCATACGAGTAGTGCCTTTAACGTGTATTCCTTTTCTAAACTCCTACAAGGTTCGATACTGAAACTTGTCTTCTTCCATACATCAAATGTGTATTCTAAAGATTTTGTCTCTACGGCTACTTTCCCCTCATACTTTAGTACTTTACCAAAGTATACACTTATATACTCATCTCATATGGAGCTATAAGATCTGCGGGTAAATCTAACTTTTCAGATCCAACTTTTCAGACCTCACATCAAATCTCATTAAGCTCCTTTGCAACATTCCTTTCCCCGTGAAAGCAACATAATACAAAACACCATCTATATGCTATGCTACAATCCATCACTCTCCATGATTCTCTTTCTCCGAGACTCCGAATGTGAATTTTATTATCATGAGACAACTGAAAATTTCGATGATTATCAGGCCAGGCCCACTTTAAGCCCACCAACTGAACCCTGCAACCTCTCTCCGTCAGATAAGCTGACACCACGACGGTATCAAGCTGTTTCTTGGAATCAGTGTTGTGTCTTTTTTAAGCTACAGATTGAGCATTTTTTTTCCATCAAGTTTGAGTACTATCTAAAGGTTTTTTATCAATGGAAACAGAATCATCATCAATCTCTAGCAGCTGCGAGGAAGCCGAGTTGACCCGTTGAATAGCATGAGTAGCGAGACATGGACGAGTTGGTCTTTCCTCACGTCTTTGGCTGGGTTAGTGATCAAGTCAATCGAATTTCCTCCATGGTTAATACTCAGCTGCTTGAGCTTCGTTTCCGATCCTTATCGAACAATGAGGCGTGGTAGACGCTTTCTACTGTCGAGGATTGTGGAGCTATGCGATTTAGGGTTAAAAGATGATACGAAGCCGGCGTTGGAGGTCATGCGCAGGTTAGCACGTGGTTTGTTTTGGGCTGTTTACGTAGGAGTCGTCTTGTTTGCCTTGTTGGTTTGTGCTTTCTTGATCAGTGGTTTGTTTATTAGCCATTTGGCTCATGAACCACTTGTAGTCAAAGAGAGCTTGAATTTTGATTACACCAAGAACAGCCCTGAAGCATATGTGCCTATAACCTCGTACAAGAACAGTCATATAAATCACAAGACAGAGATCACTGTCTCGGTGATATTGCCTGAGTCGGAGTACAATAGAAACCTCGGAATGTTTCAGGTCCGGGTGGATTTCTTGTCCGAGAGCGGTCAAATCCTTGCTAGCTCAAGACGGTCGTGTATGGTGAGATTCAGAAGCGAGCCTATCCGTCTTGTCCAGACATTCCTAAAGATTGTTCCGCTTGTCACTGGCTATGTCTCTGAAATCCAGACCTTGGACTTGAAGATCCAAGGCTTTGGTGAGAAAGACATTGTTCCCACTGCTTGCTTGAAGATAGTGATTGAACAACGAGCAGAGTTCGAGTTCCGTCGTGGAGAAGGTATACCGGAGATTTACGATGCTTCTCTGTTGCTCGAATCCCAACTTCCTTTCTTCAGGAGGATCATATGGAACTGGAGGAGAACTTTGTTCGTCTGGATCAGCATGAGTTTGTTTATTACGGAACTACTTTTCGTCTTAGTTTTCTTCAGATCTGTGATCATCCCAAGAACAGGTCAGATAGCACAATAAAGAGATACAACAACTTTCATTAATGTTAACTCATATCCAGACGAGGCAGGAAGAAGATGTTGAATCAATAGTTATTGTAACGGTACGTACACTTACTTTATGTAAATTTACTTTCTCCACATGTGCTCTGAAAGTCGTCCGTGTAGACTTTTATGCTATTTTTTAAAGTGTAAACTAAGTGATCGTCCCCGTTTTGCATGGAAATAAATTTGGTTTTTAAAATTACTAGGTCTTGGAAAGTAACTATCAAAATTTCTAAAACGTTTAAGAGATTCCTACAAATTCTCATAGAAGATTATATAAATAGATCACTTTACTGAAATTAAATAACTTATTATTTTAATAAGGTAAAATTATTGGATAATTGCAAAAATATATATGAACTGAAGTTAAAATTAAATGTAATCCATATTTTTCCGATTTCAGTTGATTTATTATAATTTAATAAAATTTATAATCGGATAAATAAATACAAGAAGGAAAAAATAATAAATTATTATTGAAGTACATTAAAAAATAGTAAAATACATTGAACATCCATTAAAATTTGATAATTTTAAAATTATTAATGGATTAAGCGTAGCACAGGTTAAAAACCTAGTAGTAGAAAAAATTAAGTGGTAACAAAGCATAATGCTTTATATATTGTTTCAGTTCCATGTGTGAATTTGGCAAAACTACAAGCAATATTATCTTAACCCTAAAGCCTAAAACCAAAATCCCAAATCCCATAAATCTAAATCATAAATCCAAAATCTAAACCCATAATCTAAACTCCAACACCAAAAATATGAACCTTAAACTCTATACCTAAAGTGCTAAACTCATAGATCTAAAATCGAATTTAAATAAACAACAATTCGTTTTATTCCACACAGAAAAAAAAAAAATAGTACAGAGTTGGTTTATTGATTAGATAAAAGCTAAAATGGGTATTAATACATAAAATATATATGGCTTGTATCCTAGGATTCCTAGCAAAGCAAATGCTATTGTCATTCTCCAAATTATCCATCTCAATATGATTACTGATTTCAAAATCCCTAAAGTTTTATAACTAGATTGATTTCGTTTTAAAAGAATAAATTAAAATTTTAATTTTAAAGATAATGTATACCCTTGCTTGTAACATTATTATTTAAAACTTTTGCCCATGAAGGATAAAATATACATATTCCACTCGTACGAAGTAAATAGATGCTCAAGTTGAAAGGAGCAGATCCAAAGAGTAATAAAAAAAAGAGATGGAATATATAATTTGAAGTGCAAAGATCGTATAAGCAAACAGACGAATCAAACTGGTTTCAGCAACAAATATGATTATATTATTCGACAAAAGACTAACTAACGCAAATATTAAAAAACATGATTGATAGCAATTCTAAAAAAACCTAATATTCTCAACATAATCCGAAAGAACTATTAGCTTTGGATATTGCGCTCCAAACTCATAGTCTGAGTTTACTTCAATCTTAATGTTTCTACAACTATTTCTTTTGGGATTGTAAAAGACAACGTAAAACGCATTTCTAGCACGGAAGGGTGCCAAAATAAACTCACCCATACGAGTAGTGCCTTTTACGTGTATAGATTCTATTTGTAAACTCGTACAATAAGGTTCGATACTGAAACTTGTCTTCAACCATCCATGTTCCTCCATAACCCACACATCAAATGTGTATGTTAAAGCTTTTGTCGCTATGGCTACTTTCCCATCGTACTTTATCAAAGTATACGGATATGGAGACATAAGATCTGCGGGTAAATCAGTTAAGAGTTCCAACTTTTCAGACCTCACATCAAATCTCATTAACCGCTGTTGCAACATTTCTTCCTCCGTGAAAGCAAGATAATACAAAACACCATCTATGCACAAACCGTTATAAGACCAAGGAAGGTGAGGAATGCTACAATCCATCTCTCTCCATGATTCTCTTTCTCCGAGTGTGAATACTTTATAAACAAGGCTTCGTGTCAAGCACAACACTTTGTATTGATCATTAACCGGATCATACCCGAAATAAGTTCTGATCATCGTTCTCGTTGTTACGAGGTTAGGTAGAGATATGGACCTACCAGTAGAGGGATTATATATGATTTGTTCTTCTCCAAATCCAATGCTTATTAAGCCATTAACAAAGTGCGGAAGGTACTCTTTGAGATCAGGAGATGTACGTGTAAAACGTGATATCAATGACGTTGCTGAAGAAGAAGACGAGGAGAAGAAGTCCAAAGTTTGGCGTCTTACTCTGTAATCAAAATCACTTCTTACTCTGTAATCAAAATCACTGAAAGTGATTAAGAGACGCGGCTGCGACGAAGACCCCAACGGAAAAGATGTGATGAAATCTCGACTTCGGATGAACGTTTCCCATGACTTGGATACTAGGAGAAACCTCGCTACTGATTTCGAAGGCAATCTCCCAACGATCTCGATCACTAAGTCAAGAGGGATGTGGACAAAGCTGTTTTCATCTTCCAACGCTTGTGGATTGATCTCGTTCACGGTTTTGGTCTTTTTGCTGCGTGTTCTTCCCATGATCGATGGCTCTAAACCCTAATCTCTGTCTACTCTTCCGTAGTAAAACTAAAAAAATTCCGTTCTAATGGGCCTTGTGTAACCGGGAGGGGTCTTCAAGGATACGATTTTCTTTGTTGTTGGATTGGGCTCCACAAGCAGTATATTATAAATGTTTTACTTTCGTTTCTTATTTCTTACTAGTAATTACTAGATTAGACCCCGTGTATACGCAGATTTATTATATGAAATAAATCATAGAAAAATATTAAATAAATTTGACACTTTAAAAGTAAGTATTAATATTAAAACCCCGATAAAAGACCTCTAAATAATATTAGATTGGTAATATTTTTACATTTTTATTATAATTGACATATTTTCTGAATTCATGATACGAAAAATGAATTAATTTGTTATCTTTTTACTTTTATCTAAAATTGAAAGACTTACACATGTGTAAGTTTGATTGATTGATTAATTCGTGAAAATTTTATTATTCATTGAAGAGATTTCGGTTGATGAAATCTTTTTTTTTAATATTTTTTTACCTAACAAAAAAAAAACTATTAAAATTAGAATATCAGTTCATTATAAATTTTCCTTTTAATATTAGTTAGTTGCTCGATAATTATTTTATTAGTTTTCTATTTATATTGTTTTTTCAGTTTTGTTTTTGACTCAGGCCATTATAAAATTTCCTTTCCATTATTAGTTAGTTGTTTTCTAATTATTTTGTTAGTTTTTTTATTTATTTTATACATTTTTCCAATTTTCTTGTGTTAACACTTGTTTTCAAAATATTAGACACAAGTAGCAACAATAATTTTGATTTGGATCCAACTGATCTAGAGTTAAATATTCTTCATTGATATCATGAACTTTCAAATACATTATATTTATTTCTTAATGAGAGAAGTTTAATCAAAAGATAGAATCACACAATTAAATCATGAAGGCTATACTTACTATATATTATTATTTTTTCCTTTTCGTATTTGAAATATGTTTTACTTTTCCTTTTCGTAATGGATGTAACAATTTTTCTTTTTTTTTATTTTCGTTTTTTTTTTTTCTTAATGAGAGTTATTTTTCCTCCTTTTCTTAATAAGATATATATATCAATATAATATGTTACCAACCTTTTCATTAAGTAATAGAAGTTTTTTTTACCAGCAGTCTGCAAATTGTTTCAAACAAAAGTAAAATTTAATGTTAATCAATGTTATAATAAGATTATTTATATCAATATAATAAGATGTTACTAACTTTTCATCAAGTAATAGAAGCTCAACTCCCATAAGAATATTATTTTCTTTAGGATTTTAGCTTCCCACTTTCGAATAACACATACTATAGTACGGCGATAATTTCGATTTCGATCCAATTGACCTAGAGTCAAATAATCTCCACTGTTCTCTTGAACTTTTCAAAGACATGATTTTAAAATTAGAGAAAGAGAATCAAAGAGATTTGCTGAATTTGCTTTGATGAGTTTGTGAATGAGAAAAAGAGAATACAATAGCTCTCTTTTTATAGGGGGTTCATGTAACCAATTTCATAAAGTTTTATGATATTTAGTTTACATACCTATTCCATGTACTAATAGGATTTTTAAAAATAGGGGTTTATGTAACCTATTCCATACAGTTTTAGGATATTTAGTTTACATACCTATTCCATGTACTAATAGGTATTTTTATTACATTATTTTCAATTTATTATATAAATTTTCGTTTTTATTATAAAAGATTAAAATTTTCCCTTAATTTTTTTTTCCTTTTTCCCAAGACATACATTATTTTCAATTTATTATATAAATTTTCGTTTTTATTATAAAAGATTAAAATTTTCTTTTATTTTTTTTCCTTTTTTTTCCAAGACATGTGTCACAATCTTAACAGACGTAACATTAAAAGTGACACATGTCGCAATCCTATATTTTATAAAAATCCTACATGTCGCAACCACGTTGCGCGCATCCAGCTTTATATATAACTAGATTAAGGCCCGCGTATACGCGGATTTATTTTAAGATTTTATACTAAAATCGTGGAAAAGTATTAAACAAAATTTGATCATTTTTAAAGATTAGCAGAATAATATTAAAAACCCGATAAAACTATTTAAATAAAATAAGATCAGTAACCTTTTTACGTTTTGATCGTAATTTATATATATTTTTTAATTCATGATATGAAAAATAAATTAATTTGTTTTATTTTAATTTTTTCCAATATAGAATGCCTTATATATGTCTAAATCTGATCAACTAATTAATTCAACAAAAGTTTATTATTCCATTGAAGATATTTCAATTGATGAAATCTTTATTTAATAATTTCTTAATATTTATTAGTTAATTGCTTAATAATTATTTTGTTAGTTTTCTGTTGATATTGTTTCTTTCTCAATTTTTTTTTGTGTCAGACTATTATAAATTTTCATTTTAAGCTTTTTATTATTATTTTGCTAGTTTTTATATCTTTAGCATTTTTCCAATTAACACATCTTCATCGGATCAATTATTAGATACATGTAACAATAATAATTTTGATTTCTATCCAAGTGATATATAGACTATAGAGTTAGATACATGTAACGACAATAATTTTGATTTCTATCCAACTGATATAGAGTTAAATATTATTCATTGATACCAAGAATTTTAAAGACGTCATTTTTTTATGAGAAAAAAGATTATACAAAAGATAAAAGCACACAATTAAATCACAATAGCTTATTATATATTGGTTTTTTTTCCTTTTCGTAATGGGAATATATACACATATCGCAATTTTGTGAGTTATAAAAATCGTATGTATTGCTATCATATCGTTTGATGAGTTTGTGAATAAGAAAAATACTATTTTAATTCTCTTTTTATAGGGGTTCAAGTAACTTATTTCATACAGTTATAGGAAATTTAGTTTACATAACCTATTCCATGTACTAATAGCATTTTATTTATTTCATTAATTTGAATTTTATATGTGTTTAGATAATATAAATTTGATGAATGAGAAACCTTTTTCTATTAGGATATGACAAATATAATTGTTTTCTTTTAATTATTTTGTTAGTTTTTGTTTCTTTTTCAATTTCCTTTTTCCCTCTGAACATTATAAATTTTCATTTTATTATTAGTTAGTTGTTTTACAATTATTTTGTTAGTTTATTTATTTGTGCTACTACATTTTTTCAATTTTCTTGTGTTGACGCATCTCATCACTTCATCAAATATTAGACACATGTATCAATCTAAAGTTAAGTATTTTTCATTGATATATTTAACTTTTAAAGACATGAATGTTTTTTAATTGGATGTAACATTTTTTAATTATTCCTTCATGTTTTTCCTGATTTTTCGTTTTTTTTTCCTTTTCGTAATAGGATTATGTTTTTTCTTTACTTCTCATAATAGATGTAATATTTTTTCTTTTTAATTGTTTGTTTCTTTTTTCTGATTTTTCCTAATGTACTAATAGGGTTTTATTAAAATAATTTTAATTTCGATCCAATTGACCTAGAGTCAAATAATCTCCACTATTATCTTGAACTTTCAAAGACATGATTTTGAAATTAGAGAAAGAAAATCAAAGAGATTTGCTGAATTTGCTTTGATGAGTTTGTGAATGAGAAAAGAAGACTACAATAGCTCTCTTTTTATAAGGGGTTCATGTAACCAATTTCATACAGTTTTATGATACTTAGTTTACATACCTATTACATGTACTAATAAGAGACTTTTAAATAGGATATTTAGTTTATATACTTATTCCATATACTAATATGAATTTTTATTACATTATTTTCAATTTATTACATAAAATTCGTTTTTATTATAAGATATTAAAATTTTTCCTTTAAAATAAAAATTTCTTTTTTCAGAAGACACATGTCACGATCTTAACGGACATAACATTAAGAGTGACACATGTCGCAATCCTATATTTTATAAAAATCCTACGTGTCGCAATTACGTCGCGCACATCCAACTTTATATAATAAGATATATTGAAAATTGTATTTCCCTACGTTAATGATGAACATTTTTATAAAATGTGTAGATTATATCTCAAAAATTATAATCCCTCTATTTCTTTTTAATTATCGTTCTGAAATATTTTGCGCATCAAAAAAATAACGAAATTATTATTTTACCATTAAATATTATTTTGTTTTGTTTAATATGAATAATTTAAAGAGTATTATTTTCTCAAAAAACATTAAAATGAATTAAATTTTACCAAAAAAAAACATTAAAATCAACATTATATTACTCATTTATTTGGAATTTACAGCCCATTTACAGATGAAAATGTAGTCAAAGTGGAACAATTACTCTGTTTCTCAATTTAAGTGGTCTCAATTATTATACTCAGTATAAGTTTATAATCGATAGATCAACTCTGTATCTATCGTTCCACGGTCAATTATTTTCCACTTTTATTTATTACATTACAGAAAAATAAAAAAATAAAAATTTAGGAAATAAAAATAAATGCTGAGAAAAAGAAACGATCACCGATTTTCCATTTTAGTTGTGCCTTCGGAGATGTAACGTCGGTGGGAGTGGGAGGTTTCAGCAGCGGCGAATTTGTCGATCAGCTGTTCAACGCGGCGGAGCTAATCAGAACCACCGGAAACATTAACGGCTACCACACCGTTCTCACCATCTCAACAGTAACGTCAAACCTCCGTCTCAGAGAGCGGCCTCTCACATCGCCGAAGCTCTCCTCTCACTCATCCACGACGCATCACCACCGCTAGTCACGCCGGGGAATCTCATTCTTCGAATCGCCGCATAAAGATCCTTCTCCGAAACCTCGCCGTTTCTCCAATTCGTCAAGATCTAAATATCCCTTTCAGCAGATTCCGATGTTCTTTTCAAGCAGTACGTGCTGACTGATTTTGATTCTTATATTCCTACCATCAATCTGAAATTTTGAATACTTACAGTAGATTTAAGACTTCTCCGACTTTATGAAATGGCTGAGAATAACTATCGTGATGAGTGAACATAAACTCTAGGATTTGATTGGGAATATACTGAATCTGCATTGACTTGTATTTCTTCCTATGATGAGTGAAGTTTCCGGATTTTTTTTGTAGATGCTCGTCAAAGTGTAGCCTTTCAGCTTTTAGTCAAGTCTGGTGGTTGTGCTCGTAGTTTGGCTTTTGCTTGTATTTTATCTGATGATCTTAACTCTTATGATTCATGTAATCTCATTATCTTTCTTCTAGACCACCATTAGTGACCATGGAGAGAAGACCTGTCCACTATGTGCTGAGGAGATGGATCTGACTGATCAGCAATTAAAGCCTTGCCAATGTGGCTATCAGGTCTTGGCATCTGCCTTCATTTTTCGTAAACTGTAAATTGTTACATGCAATTGCTTACTCTTATAACTATGTGAGGACTGTTAAGACATACTTTTCTTGGTTTAGCCTTACGTTTCTGCTGTTGTTTACTGACAGAAGTGATCGTTTACTGGCCTCATTGACCAATGATATTTGTTCTTTTAATAATTTTGTGCGTGTGAATCAGATGTGTTTGGTGTTAGCATCACATAGTGGACATGGCAGAGAAATATCAAATAGAAGGGCGTGGTCCAGCTTGTCGCACTCCATATGACAAAGAAAAGATTGTTGGGATGACTGTTAATTGCGACAGGTTTGTAATGATGCTTTATATGCAATCTTTTTGGCGAATTTAATTTTACTATGGGACAGTCTTTTTCCACTTTCTTTTGCTGATAAATTGTCTATAATTACCTGCACACAGTCTGGCCTCTGAAGGTAACATGGAGCGCAAGTAGGTTCAAAAGTCAAAATCGAACCCTTTTGAAGGGAAAAAGCAACTCACCAGTGTGCGGGTCATTCAAAAGAATCTTGTTTACGTCGTTGGGCTGCCCCTTAATCTAGCAGATGAAGATGTATGAGAACTCTCATCCCAACCGTTTTAACCATTTCCTTGTGGGTTGTTCTGTGACTATTTCTCCATTTTTCTTACAGCTACTCCATCATAAAGTCGCTACGCTCGCTTCTTGGTTCGAAAGCTGAAGAGACGGAGAAAGTAAAGAGAATTTTAATTGCATTAATGTGTGATTTTTTTTTTTTAATAAGAGAAGTGCCACGTGGCAATGTAAGAAAGAATATTATTTTATACAGATCAACTGATTAATTAATCAAACTTTTATTATTCCAAGAGATTTTAATTGATGAAATCTTTATTTCAATTTTTTTACCTAACAAAAATTGAAAATCAAACTATTTAAAATTAGAATATCGATTATAATTTTTTAATTTTAGTTAATTGCTTGAATATTATTTTGTTAGTTTTCTATTTATATTTTTTCTTTCTCAATTTTGTTTTGCTCATATCATTATAAATAATATTTATTGATATTTTTCCTTTTCGAAATGCATTTTTTTTCCTTTTCTTAATAGATGTAACAATAGAATTTAAATTATTTGTTTTCTGTTTTTTTTATTACTTTTAATGGATTTATTATTTTTTCATTTTAATTAAAACAAAATGAAAAAATATCAATATTAATGGATTTGTTATTTTTTCATACTTTCATAAAAAAAATTTCTAAAACAAATGTCACAATTTTTGTGAGTTATAAAAATCATATGTATCGCAAAACTGTCAAAAATATGATTTTTTAATTGGAGAAATAGAATCAAAGGGATCTGATGAATTTACTTTGATGAATTTATGATTGAGAAACTTTGACTCTCTTTTATATGGATTCAAGTAACCTATTACATCCCGTTATATGAAATTTTGTTTACATAACATTATTTATTTCATTATACAAATATGATTTTATTTATTACATTATTTTGATTTTATTATTTGTTTGGATAATATTTAATTTGATTACATAACATTATACAAATAGGATTTTATTTATTATTTGTTTGGATAATATTAATTTGATGATATGACAAATATATTTTTATTTCTTTTAACTGTAATTGATTAATTTTTTTAAAAATTCTTTTATCTAAAAGCATCCAACTTTATAAAATAAAAAAATTTGATGAATGGGAAAGCTTTTTCTGTTTGGGTATGACAAATATTATTTTTTCCTTTTTGATATAATAGATTAAATTAAAATTCGTTTTATTTTTAATTAACATTTATCTGAATTTTTTTTTAAGTTCTCCTTTTTTTTTAAGACACATGTCGTGATCTTGAATTTTATAAAAATCCTACGTGTCGCAACCACGTCGTGCGCATCCAGCTTTATATAATAAGACTAGATTAGGCCCCGCGTATACGCGGGTTTATTTATTTTTATTTTTTAAATCACGGAAGAATATTAAACAAAATTTGATCAATTTTAAAAATAAGAAAATAATATTAAAAACCCGATAACAAATCTCTAAATAAAGATATGTAGTCTTTTACATTTTTATTTTGAATTCATGATATGAAATAGAAAGATTTACATGTGTCTAAATCTAATCGACTCATTATTTTATGAAACTTTGATTATTCCATGATGAAATATTTATTTTAATATTGTTTTAGCTATCAAAACATGGAAAATTAAACTATATAATATTAGAAGATCAGTCCATTATAAAATTTTCTTTTTTAATCATTATTTAGTTCCTTAATAGTTATTTTGTTAGTTTTCTATTTATATTGTTTCTTTTTCGATTTTGTTTTTGCCTCTGACCATTATAAATTTTCATTTTCATTATTAGTTAGTTGTTTTAATATTATTTTGTTAGTTTATTTATTTATGTTACTACATTTTTCCAATTTTCTTGTGTTGACACATGTCATCACTTCATCAAATATTAGACACATATATCGATCTAAAGTTAAGTATTCTTCATTGATATCTTTAACTTTTAAAGACATGAATTTTATTTCTTAATGAGAAAGAAACTTAAAAAATATAGCTTGTTATATATATTTTTTTTTTTCATTTTCGTAATGGGAATGTGTTTTTTTATTCCTTTTCTTATTGGATGTAACATTTTTTAATTATTTCTTCTTTTTATAGGGGTTCATGTAACCAATTTCATACAGTTTTAGGATATTTAGTTTACATACCTATTACATGTACTAATAAGATTTTTTTTAAATAGGAGTTTATATAACCTATTTCATACAATTTTAGGATATTTAGTTTACATACATATTCTACTACAAGAAAAACATTTATTAGTGTCGTTTATTTTGTATCATTTGTTAAAATGATGTTAACTTAAAAATTAATCAAAATTAGAAAGTATCACTTGTTCAAAATGACACTAAAACAAAAATAGTTACATTTTACAAATCATTTGTAAACAAATGATACAAATAATTAGACTTTTATATCATTTAATCTAGATACAAATAAACAGTTTTTAGTATCACTTATAAGTAAATGATGCTAAAAATCAGTATTTTCAGGATTTTTAAAAATCAATAATAATGGTTTGACTTAAAAAGAACATATTTCCATTAAACAATAATAGAAAAAACAGAAAAAAAAAATTCAGATCTCTCTCAGCTTCACGCTAGCTCGATCTCGATCTCCATCAAATCATCATCGCAGAGGTTGTCAATTGTTTCCGATCATCACCATCGCTGAACTCAGTACTCAGGTATCGCTGAACTTAGTACTTGCGATTTTGAGATTTTGAGATTTTGCTTGTGATTTTAGTCTAATTGCATGCTAAGTGATTTTGCTGGTGATTCTGGTCTCTACTTGTGGAATCGACCTATATTTCGTGTTCTATTTGCTCGAATTTCTCTTCCTTTTAGTTATTGTTGAATCGGAGTTGGCGAAGTCGCAAAACTAGTCATCGAGTTCCATTAGGTGAATTTGTTTCTGCAATTTCGATTTCGGGTGTATATTGAGAAAATTCTCTTCATTCTTCTTCCTATTGTATTGTATTAACCTCTGAGAATTTAGGTAAAACGGTTCTCTTATCTCTTTATCATCCGCCATTGATATTTTTTAATTTTATCTTCATCTCCGTTTCTCTTTTCTGTATTTGGAATATGTGTATGAGAGTTGTTGATTCGGAGTTTATCTTGTCAGATTTGTGGATTTCTATAGTTAGAATGAATTATCTCTGAATTTTGTTTCACTGACAATCAGCTGATTACAAGAAACTCTTCACTGTTTTGTGTCAAATCGTGGGTTTGAAATTTCTGGATTTGAAATTGATTTAGATCAAGCTGAGCTAGATAGAGTTTTGTTATAGTGACGATGCAGAATCAAAATGATATGGTGAAGGATGAAGCTGAAGTCGCTTCATCAATATTTCTTGCTTTCGTGACGAGAGAAGAGTGATTCCATCTCTACTTCTTCCCCTGAAGTTGCAGAGAATCAAGCTTCTGGCAAAGCCTATCTGAAGCTTCTCCAAATAAGCTGATCATAGCTGCTACATACTTAACAACACAGAAGAAAGGTAAAACAAATGACTTTCACAACTTGAAAAAGAAAAAGACTCATACTTTTTGGTTACCTTCATATGCAATGCAGGCACAATCGCACGTCTTCTTCTACGCCATATCTCCCCATCAGCCGGTATGAGTCCTTTTCCTTGCTGCCGTTGAATAGTTGTCTATAGTTTATGTATTAGGATAGGTTGGTGATTATAGGAATGTTGTTTACCGCGGAGTATTTAAATTACTTTCGTTTCTTCTGATGGCAGTTCTCATGCAATGCTCATAGCATTTGTGATAGCGAATTGAGACCTCAGGGGATAGGATTGTATCCCTTGGTTTCCATCATTAATCACAGGTAATTGCTTCACTGATCTTTTTTGTTCGTGTTCTGTTTCCATCATTAACCAGCTCGTTTCCTGCTTGAAACTTTTTATCTGTGTAGCTGCGCTCCCAATGCGATTTTGGTGTTCGAAGAACAGATGGCTGTTATTCGAGCTATGGAGTACATACCAAAGGATTCAGAGGTAGTTTATGCGTTGCTCATCTTGAGTCTTTCGTATATGCTAATAGCACACTGACATATAGCTGTTAGATCCTTTGTCTTTGATCAGGTAACTATCAGCTATATTGAAACCGCCGGAAGCAATCTGACTCGGCAGAAGTCTATGAAAGAACAATACCTCTTCCAATAATGCAATAATGCCTAAACAATAAGCGATGCATTTCCAGAACTTTCAGGAGCTGTACTGGTTTGCTCTGTTCCACCTTCTGGTAATAGGTAACTTTATATCAGAACTTCTTCTTCGTTTAGCTCAAAAATAACTTTTTGAACGCTCTTTCTTGTTCACCGGCTTAGTGTTGCGTTATCTCTTCTCTAAACCTGTAGCTGCCTTTAGGCTGTGTGGCAAATAGTCTTGTTCTTGCTCTGTTATAAATAGTCTTGCAAAGAGTCTTAGCTCTTATTCTTAGATCATGCTCGTGTTGTTCTTATTGCTATGTTATAAATAGTCTTGCAGAGGTACTTATTATCTCGTGAAATGCTTCTCTAATAGTCATATGAGATTATAGTTTGTGTCATCCACATTGGCTCTCTTATAGTTTGATATCATTTATGATATTCTGTTTGTGTGGATTTGCTTATAGTTTTGTTAATTTTTTGCAGGGTTTCTTTTTTTAAAATGTGAAGGAGACATACAACGAAGAGAATACAAGTCTGAAAGTTGTTCCATACAAGGAAGAAGACACAAATACATTGTTTTAGATACATTATTTTAGATTGTATACATTTTCCGTAAGTTTGATTACTAAATAAAGATATTTTAGCTTGAATAATTTTTTTTTTTTAATTCTAATCTCAATTTTAGTATCACTTAAACAAGTGATACTAAAATGACATTTTAGTATCATTTGAACAAGTGATTCTAATCTCAATTTTAGTATCACTTGTTCAAGTGATCCTAAATGTCATTTTAGTATCATTTGTTTAAGTGATACTAAATGTCATTTTTAGTATCACTTGTAAATAAATGATACTAAAGTTTAATTTTAGTGTCATTTGTAAAAGTGATACTAAAAAAACTTAGTGTCATTGATTTTAGTGTCATTTTTTGAAATGATACAATAATTCTTGTATCATTTAAAAAATGATACTAAACTTTAAAAAAAATGACACTAAAAATTATGTTTCTTGTAGTGTTCCATGTACTAATAGGAATTTTTTATTACGTTATTTTCATTTTATTTCGTTTTTATTATAAGATATTAAAATATACCCTTTAAAATAAAAATTTCCTTTTTCCGAAGACATGTGTCACGATCTTAACGGATGTAACATTAAAAGTGACACATGTCACAATCATATATTTTATAAAAATCCTACGTGTCGCAACCACGTCGTGCGCATCCAGCTTTATATAATAAGATAAGATGGAGATGTGTAAGTAAAAACTTTAGAATAAAAAAAATGTTGAACAAATAACTAAACACAAGTAGAACCTCAATAAAATAATTTTTTATATAAAACAATACTCCCTCTGTTTCAAAATATAAGCGGTCTAAGAGTTTTTTTTTGTATCAAAATATAAGGGGTTTTAGAGTTTCTATGCAAAATTAAATGTGTTTTTGTTAGTTTCGATTATTTATATTCTGCAGATTTTTTTTTCATTGGTTGGAATGTTTTGGATTCTGCAAAATATAAGGGATTTATTTATATTATAAAACAGAGGGAGTATAAGATAATAAATTTATGCAGTTTAGGGCTAATGTAAAAATAAGCAATATGATCTAACATATTGGTTTTGGAAATGTGAATTTGTGATCTTCAAACCCGGAAGATTATATTGGTTTTGGAAATATATGCTTTCCTTTTATTAAAAACCTTTGCCCAAAATCAAGAAAACATTTAAACATGTCAAGAAACATATCCCTAAAGGTGGAAGAAAATGTTTTGAGCTAAGAGAAGCACAAGGCAACATCTTTGGAGACGATACTTCTTATCTGTTTTTCAACAATTTCGGCTCAACTTGAGCTTCTTCACCATTGACATCAGATGGTTCATTAGGAGGAGGAGCGGTTGTAGGAGGCTCGTCTTCTGGATGAAAAGATCACAGGTAAATCTTTAACAGCTTAAAAAATTGTAAGAGTGACAGCTCAGCAAAATTGACCTTCAATGTTCCTTTTCATATATAGAATCTCATAATGGAAAGTTGGTTTATTTATAGCCATATTCACTATTGTGTGATGGTTTAGAGAAGAAAATAATAGTCGCGGTTGCCAACAAATTGGGTTTGGTATTATAAACCGGATACCAAATCATTCACAAGCACATAGTAAACAACAACACTAACTCGAACAAAAAGACAAAGATGCAGAAATTATGCAAGGCGGCAAATACGAAAGCAAATTAAATTGTTTAATTTCAGTTGTGTAACACTGTAGTATTAAAATTCAAAAGGTAAAAAAGGAGCTCAATGATTTCACTTTAATTTTTTTGACCAAAAAAAACAAAACAAAATGAATTAAATAATGTTTTATATCAAGATTGATTTCGTTTTAAATTAAAAGTTTATTTTTAAAGATAATTTATACCCTTGATTGTAACATCATTATTTAATTTTTTTGAGATAAAATATACATATTCCACGATATGAAGTATATATGTGCTCAAATTTAAAGGAAAAGATCCAGTGAGTATAATAAAAGAGATAGGAGACATAATTTGAAGTGCAAAGAATCAAACTGGTTACACACTGATAATATTACAAAATGACTAATTAACGCGCAAATACTAAAAAAGAAAACAAGATTGATATCAATTCATGAAACTCCTAAAAAAAACCTAACATTCTCCACATAATCCGAGAGAAGAATTAATCTTACATAACGCGTCCCAAACTCATAGTCTGAGTTTACTTCAATCTTAACGATTCTACAACTATTGCCACTAGGATTGTAAAAGACAACGTAAAACGCACTACGCGCATGATAAGGTGCCAAAATAAACTCACCCGTATGAGTAGTGCCTGTTATCTGCAAATCGTTTATTTGTGAACTCTTACAATAAGGTTCGACGCTGAAACTTGTCTCCAACCATCCATGTTCCTCCATAACCCACACATTAAACGTGTATACTGAAGCTTTTACCGCTATGGCTACTTTCCCCTCATACTTTATCAATGTATACCCATATGGAACTATAAGATCTGCGGGTAAATCAGTTAAGAGATCCAACTTTTCAGACCTCACATCGAATCTCATTACGCTCCGTTGCAACATTACTTTCCCCGTGAAAGCAAGATAATACAAAACACCATCTATGCACAAACCGTTAGACCAAGGACGGTGAGGAATGCTACAATCCACCACTCTCCATGATTCTCTTTCTCCAAATGTGAATACTCTATCGTGAGATAACTGAAACTTTCGATGATTATTATCATGAGGTCTTTCCGTCAAACACAACACTTTGTATTGATCATTGACCGGATCAAACCCTAAATAACTTTTGACGATCTTTCTCCTCGTTACGACTGTAGGTAGAGTAATGGACTTACCAGTAGTGGGATTATATATGATTTGTTCTTCGCCAAATCCAAGGCTTATTAAGCCATTCACAAACTGCGGGAAGTGCTCTTTGTGCTCAGGAGCTGCGAACGGACATGTAAAACGCGATAACAATGACGTTGCTGAAGAAGAAGAAGAAGAAGACGAGGAGAAGAAGTCCAAATACTGGCGTCTTTCTCTGTAATCTGAATTACTGAAAGTGATTAGGAGACGAGGCTGCGACGACGAAGAAGATCCAAACGGAAAAGATGTGATGAAAGCTCGACTTCGGATGAACGTTTCCCATGACTTGGATACTACTAGAAACCTCGCTACGGATTTCGACGGCAATCTCCCAACGATCTCGATCACTAAGTCAAGAGGGATTTGGACAAAGCTGTTTTCATCTTCCGACGCTTGTGAATTGATCTTGTTCACGGTCTTGGTCCTTTTGCTGCGTCTTCTTCTCATGATCGATGATGGCTCTAAAACCCTAATCTCTTTCTCTACTCTTTGTTAGTAAAAATCTACAAATTTCGTATTAATGGCCTTGTGTAACCGGGATGGGCCTTCAAGGATACGGTTTAAGTAAGTCAAAACGCAACCGTTTAATTATGCGTTTAATCGATAGTTGTTTTTAATTTACTTTGGTTTGGTTCATATTGCTTCGCATGTGCTTGCCATTACTGATCATTAGGCATTTGTGCATGTGCTCCATCGTATAGCAAAGTTAACTTTCTTCTTCTTTTAAAAAACTTTTGAAAAATCAAGTGTTGCTATGTGGTAAAACAAGTCTCTGTTTTCTGTTGTGTCTGATTTCAGGGATAACCTATTTCAAAGAAGCTTGAAGTTGCCATGCTAATGGCGAGAGATGATGCAAAGAAGATCATATCTTCAGAGGACATAGTCAGGTCATTAGCTCTGCAGGTATAGTCACATTCACAATTTTTTGTTTCCGACATCATTTGCTAGTCCTATTAGATATGATTCTTGAGCTCCTCCAATGGAGTTTTCACTCTTTTTGCTTCTTATAGTTGAAGAACAGAGAGCAACACATTTGTGAATTCGTAATTGACAAACAGAGAAAGAAAACAGAAGTTTAAGTTTGAACCTTTTGTTTTGTGTGATTTTGATTTTTGTGTTTCAGGTTAATCCAGCCCGCGGGCTGACCCGCAAAGCCCGCCAAAACATGCGGGGCGGGCTTGGGCCTATAAAATTTATTCGCAACCCATGGCGGGCCAACCCGCACGGACGTATCAAAAAGAAGAAGCCCGATGGGCTGGCCCAGGCGGACGCGGGCTGACCCGATTGACAGCTCTAGATTTGGCCTATACTGGTTTTGGAAATGTATGTTTTGCTTTTGATTAAAAAAAACCTTTGCCCAAAATCTAGAAAACATTCAAACATGTCAAGAAACATACCCCTAAAAGCCTCTACCATGTGCAGATAAATGTTTTTGAGCTAGAGAAGCAAAAGACAACATCTTTGCTTATGGAAGAATCATCATGACTTCTGCGGTTTTGGTGGCTGCTAAGGCAAAACTTGAGCTTCTTCACCATTGACATCAGATGGTTCACTCGGAGGAGGAGGAGCGGTTGCAGGAGGCTCGTCTTCCGGATGAAAATTGATAGGAAATTTAGTAACTCTCGGTTTATCAGAGAGTATGTTCCTCTGTACTTTATCAAGCAAAACCTTACTCGGAGGCTCTTCCCTAAGCTGCTCATCACCATAGTCATTGTTCACATAATAACCAACTCTCAAGAACTCTTGACCTGTATAAGAACATGTCAGCAACAGCACCGTGACACCGATTATATCTTCCTCGCGGATCTTTGATGGATCTGGAGGATCAGCCTGTAATAAAAGTAAATGGACAAAATGTTAAGATCATCAAGAACTCTGTTTTGATAGACCATAAATAAACAAAATGCTTAATGTTATGTTACCTGCAATACAAAACGGTAGTTGCCAACATTAACAGGTCCTACGAGTACACTCTCTAGAAGTTGATCGTATGTCTCATCTTCTGCTGATCCTACGTATATCAGTTTCCATTCCAAATCTGCACCAAACGCAAAGCTGGTTTAATCCATTGCATACCCAAAATCTCCAAAATCATAACCATAACTAATAATTTTTTCAAACTACAATCATCAGCATACAAGTTAGTGTCAAGTATCATAGAAACAGAGACTGAATTATAAGCAAAGAAGCAGGATCAAGCCTTAAGCTGCTACAGTTCTCTATACAAACCCTTTTTCATCATGTTATCAAATCAAAGACGAGAACAATTTAGGGGAATTGAGAAAAATTAGAGATTTATACCGTCTTTGAGAGATGTCAAGCACTCGTATGAAATCTCGAACTGAAAAGGGCTGACGAAAGGAGCAGGATTATCTAAAACGGCGACGTTTGTGATGTTGATTGCGCTCATCAGAGAAGAAGAAACCCTAGATTCAGAGAAACTTCATTTCAAATTTCGGATAAAACAAGTTGCTTCTTCGAATAAACAGCGAAATTCGATTGGAAAATCAAAAACGGAGAAGCAGAGAAGGAAGAGTTTAAGGGTTTTTTCTCTCTCAGAATTTGTACAGGATTTAATCAACGAAAAAGCTCGAGAGAGAGACAGAGAGAGATTGTTTATCTGTTTGAGCTAATGGAAGAAGATGGTTTCAATT